AATTTTGTAATTTTTTGCTGCAAAGACCCCATAAGTCATGACATGTCAACAAAGAAGAAAACTATCAGCAAATTACGGTTTTTTTTCAGCTTTTGATTAAAAACTTTCAGTTTTGTGATCGGTTTTTGAGAAAAATTTATTGATTTTCGTTTTTGTCTCGAATTCGACACCAAAAAGAGTTTTTGTAAAATTTCTACAAAGCTATAAACTTGCCTTGCAAATTTTTCGCGTAAAAAGCTCCACATTGTCAGTAGTTTTAGGTAAAACTCTGCAAAATAGAGCGTTTCTGAGTAGAAAATCAAGTAAGGAACATTTTCAGTCAAAACTAAAAACCCAGTTTTTAACAAACTCTCCAGTCTTCAGAGGCATGGGAGTGACGAGTTTTACCAAATAATTTATTATAAACTTTCCCTTATTCTGTTTGACAAAAATGAATGTGATTTTTGTCCCAATTTGCAAAAGGAATTCAAAACTTTTTACAAAGTGAGGAAGGAGGCAAGTGTTCTCGTTACTATAAGATTCTCAGTATTTTTTAGCAAAAAATAGTAACTTTGCTAAAACTGAAAAATGCTGAAATTTTGTAGAAAATTTAATAATATTAATAAATAAAAAACAACTAAAAAAGTCCAACTCCTAAAAGTTCACTGAGTCACCCAGGCCTAATTTGTAGGGAAATATTATACAGAAGCATCTCGATGAATCTTGCTGAACTTGGGAGTTAAATGCTTAAATCAGAGCAAAAATGTTTTTTTATATTCATAACCATCAAGCAATAAAAGCATTGAATTTTCCAATGATGCCTACACTCACTGGTCCATGGCCCAAAGTAGCTAAATTGTAGGATTAGACTACCATTTATAAATGCCTGCGAAAGTATTTTTGTAATGTTCTAGATTCCTATCGCAAAGCGGTCGCTCCGGTTCTCAGCGCCACATTCTCAGCCATCTTTCCGTAGCTGAGACAGCGTTTAGCGAGTCTCCCAGTCCTCAAGGGCCCGGGGGAGTGCAAATGGAACTATCAGAAGCCGAATGCGATATCGACACGCTGAAAAAACTGAAACTTGGACTTCGCAGCTCGTTGTGGTCGCGACCGCAAAGTGGACAACAAGGGGGCCAACAGCCCCCATCAGACTACTCAATTGCAGTCTGAATGCAAAGAATCTTCCATAGATTGAGCGGCTAGTTCTCCTGCATATATCTGCCTCTGTAGTATAAAAGTTCGATTTTCTTCCTCAAGACCGATAACTGACCGCTCAAGTGCAAAAACGCAGAAACTTCACTAGTTTTCTGCGGGTTAAACCTAAGCCTAGTGTAATATATCATTAAAGTTTTACTGATAAATCAAAATTTTATACCAAAAGAATCAAAAGCATAGATATATTGCGTTACTGTCGCGGAATGACCAAAGAGGCAGGATTTCTGGCTGAGTAAATCAAAGTTTGTACCCAGATTTTTCGACGACTCACCCAAATCACACAGAAAAAATAAGTTTGTAAATACTGAAGCAAATATTTGCGAAACATCAGCCATTCAGACACCCTGCAGCTTTCGTACATCCACGATCACTGCCTTTGTTATAATACTATATCTTTCGATAAAAGAATTTTGGAACCGTTTTCTATGATATGTGTAATATTTTTCACTGTTAAATAAGACTTAGAAGAAGGACCGTCGCGTGGATAATACTAGATTCGTACTGGATCTATAAACCATAGGCGCAATCCTTCTTTTTAAAATAGCAATTAAGTACCACTACCTATAAATCAAACAATAAGAATCAAAATTATTGAAAACATATGTACCAGAGTTCATAGTTCAAATAAAGAAGATGGTTTAAAGGCAACGTGTTTTCGATGTTCTTCTATTTATCTGTGAGGATCAAATGTTATCAGTTGTAATTAGCTGAATATTTCTAGTGTTTTACAAAGTTCGTACTGAATCTAGATGAAGCAAAAGTGTTGAAATAAAGTACTCACTTTTGTCAAATTGAATATATTATAAAAATACAGGCTTATTAATATATACTGATAAGGTGTACTAAAAGAAATAACACAGCAGCTCAAACTGCCAATTGGTCTGGAAAAACGCCTTCACAAGGCATAATAAAAAAATCTTCAAAAAACCAATAAAATCTTAAATATATAAACATACAAGCAAATGCCTCACTGTAAAAATATCGCAACAGGCAAGAAAACGCATGTTTTACGCATCTTATCATCTCCAGTACTCTCTCCATACAAGTACGCATCTTATCATCTCCAGGTTTTAACAATAATACGTATCACTTGATTAATGTATCATATGATTCACTATCAAGATTTTGACGGTGATTTGTTTCTAGAGATAACATTTTTTCAGACCAATCACTTAAAAACTTGGCAAGTTTTCCACATTAAATAAATGGGTGGAAATTTAATTTCCTTAGTCCCAATCATTATAAAAAATAAATAGTAAGTAACATAAAAACAATACTCTACAAACAAGTCTTGAATCCCCGTATGTATTGGTGCTGCTTCACTGAGAAACTCCAATAATTTACTGGCCAGTTGGAGGCTCAATATTCCCTAACAAGCTTCATTTTCAAAAGCTTCCATATGGACAACTTTACGAGTTTTAACATGCAAATGTACAGGGTTTTGGAGCATTTACAGCGTGCAACTTTTTACGAGAAAAAAGCTCTAAACTTTTGTGGAAAGACCAGAGAATCTTGTCAAAGGCTGAATTTTGCCTGCCGTTCGAAAGGTAAGCTTTTACTAGTATAAATGATTTGATGATAACTGTTTTTCTATAAACTTATCTTGTATAAAATCACTCTTTTTGCACTGCAATTTTATAGTACATTAGACAAAGTTGCGCCAATAAATTGTGAACTGTTTTGGAAGAAAATGTCAGTTTAGAAGAACAACCTGAAGAGGAAGCAATATTTTCGTAAATACGTTCGCCCATAAGATTCGCCTAAATATAGAAAATATTCACAAAAGGAAAGAAAAAGCAAATATTACATGGGATACAAAACTACTAAATGAGGTTGATATACCCAAATACATCAAGCTCATTTAGTTTTTTTAGTTTCTATAATGCAAATATGGGAGGCGTCTATCGAAAGTGTTGTACTTATATTATTTATATATCAACGTGAATATTGACAAATATGTATCTGTTTAATGTACGATAAAAACTAAACCAAAAAATGTGTATTTTCACATAAAAACATTTGAAGTTGTCCAAATAAAAAAATATTCACAGCAAACGGAAAAATGCCACTGGTTTCATGAGGCTTCCCGCACATCGGGGTAAATAAAATTATACCATAAAAGGCCAAACTTCATAAAAAGTGTGTACTTTTTATCAATAATGTTCATAGTCATTTGGGAACAACCTCAAAACATTTCGACGATTTACTCGAGGCGCAGTCAAACGCCTGTCGAAACTCTGCTAAATTAGTCCATGCCATCTCCAGTCTGAGTAAAAGTTAATTTCAATACAAAATGGCTATGAAACAGCGTAATAAATACTTACAAGTCTTTGGATTCTAGCATGAAGTATAACGAACTCTGGTAGAGCTGATACTGTTTGGTGGACTCAGAACAGCGGGTCTAAAATATTGAAAACCATCAGAAAAAAAACCATAATTTCAGAAAAATTCAAATTAGGCCTGGGTAACGCTGTGTTGAGTTGCCCTTTTGAGTTGTTGTCGCGAAAAATTAATTTAGTTACCTTTTCTGTAGAAACAATTGTTAAAAATGCGGTCTTTTAGTTTTTGGTCTAAAACAGGGAAAACCGGAAATTTTGAAGTACCTTAAAGAGTCTTCAGAGCGATGAGTGTGACGAATTTTCCAAATAGTTGAAAATTTATTTTTTTTTCGAAAAGAAAACCAGAGAACTTTATTTCGATTTTGTCTCAAATTCAGAGGTAAAACGGGCATTAGAAAACTATACCAAAAGAAGATGAAGAAGACTAACTATTAAGACCAGTTTTTTTCTTATAAAATCGATCTTTTAATTTTTTTGCATAAGAGACTCTCACTTGCTAGTAGTTTATAGCAACACATTAGGAAAAATCGCGTTTTTCTATTTAGAAATATGGAGCTAAAAGTAAAGAAACCAGAATAAAAAAAACTAATTATTCATATCGATGAAGATGAGTTCCCAAATAATTGTGCTTGAGTACAAGCTTTAGCTGGTTCTGTCCGGGGAAACATTTTTAGGAAAAAACCCGGAAAAATTATTACGGTTTTATCCAACTTTTTTCAAAAAAATTTTTCACAAAAAATGCCTGAAGATCTAAAGTATAACTTTAGAAAGTAATGCGTTTTTTTCCTTAGAAAGAATTGCTTACGAAAAACTGTGATAAAACTTGGGACCTGAAATGTTAAAGAAACTTTTAAAATATTTACACCGATGAGGGTGGCGGATTTAGCAAATAATGTTGTACACTTTTGTTCCCTGGTCGTTTTTTTCAAGATAATCTTAGTTACTTTCGGTAAAAAACCAAATACAATTATTTGGTTTTTGTGCCAAATTCGAAGCTGAAAAGAGTTTTCTAAAATTATGCAAAGTTATGCAATTTATGCAAAATGCAAAGCAATTACGCAAATCGATGAATGCGGCGAATTTTCAAACAAAATTAATTTTGTAATTTTTTGCTGAAGACCCCATAATTGCCAGAAAAGACGAAAGGCATCAGAAAATAACAGTTTTTACGAAACCTGAATGATTTTCGGGAAAAAACGGAAGAAATTCATTTCCGTCTTTGTCCCGAATTCGACTTTGAAAAAGTTTTTTAAAAATTTATATAAAGCTATAATTTATCTTGTAATTTTCCGCGTAAAATGACTCCAGCCTGTCAGTGTTTTTACAAAATAGAGCGTTTTTGACTAGCAAGTAAAGCAAAAAAAGTTCAGTCGAAGCTAACAAACCAAAGTTTTTTTAACAAACTCTACAGTCTTCAGAGGTAAGGAGGTGAAGAGTTTTCCAAATAACTTATTATAAACTTTCGCTTATTCTGATCTATGTTCGATAAAAAACTATTTAATTTTTGCCTGAAATTCAAAGCTGGACAGGAACTTCAAAACTTTTTACAAACCGACAAAGAAGAGGATTTCTTTTTCTAAAAAAAATTATTTTATAATTTTTGGCAGAAATTACGTTAAGATTGTCAGTATTTTTAAGTAAAACTTTAGAAAATTGAGCATTTAGAAGTAGGCGTAACTTTGCTAAAACTGAAGAATTCTGGAATTTTGAAGAAACGTTAAAAATATTGTTGATAAATGGCCGTTAAAGTAATCAACATTTCCTCAGCAAACCAACTGAGTTACTGCGCCGGAGCGTTGGGTTAGCGCACCAAGCCATTTACTGTGCCGATTCCTAAAAATTCACTGAGTTACCCAGGCCTAACTGAGATGCGGTGATAAAGCTTGTAGGAAACAGCGTGTATGCGATTCAAATTTACTTATTAAACATGTTCTTCTTAAGGGGGTTAAAACGCTGATCTTTTATAGTATGAGAATCCCTCACGAAAATATCTCTATATTTCTATCTCCTAATTTTTTTAAAGAACTCGCTATAGCATCATAAAATTTACCGCAACTTTGCAAACATTCCATGTGATTTGTGAGTGAATTTTAATATTAAATTGAAAATAACCTAAATAAATAAACAAAAATATGCGCCAAATACTTATCTATTTTGTTTAACTCATAGTGAACATACCTGCGCATATGTGAGAAAATATAAAGCTGAGTCTTCATATTGCTCCAAACCGCTATAGTGGACATGGTTATTGCTTCCTGATAAAAGAGCCTGGAAGAAAATACAGCAGCTATTGAGACTATAAAACACATCAAAATCCAGTTGAGGATTTTCCTAATTTATTTTAGGACTAGTTCAGAGATATTCAACCTCCATTTGTTTTAGATGAATTTACAACCCAGCTCACCTCGTTGGCAACTTTAACCGCAAACAGCTCTACAAAGGCGGAAAGTGCCACTTCTTTCTGAGGCGCAAAAAGTGGATCAACGTTCTGAGACAGATAACTGAAACAATTAACATCGCATCATCTAAAGTGACTGTTTAGTTTAATCAGTAATCACTTACGTGGATATGCATTGCACGTTCGATTGCACTGACTTCAAAGATTCGGCTACAATCGTATGAAAAGGCGACAGAATTTTTTTATCCGCCGTCCACAGACTTCCGTATGGTAAAATAGCTGATAAAATTGCGGAGGCAATTTCGGTGCCCAAACGTCCATATATCACAGGTCTAAAAAATACCAGCTATAAAAAAAAGCAACAGCAAAAACTCGAAGTTACCTCGGATATCCATCTTCGACGAAAGGCTCCATTACCAAAGCTCTTGGTATAATAATGGCATTCTCCGAAGGTATGTATCTAACTTTAGGTACGTCCTTCAGTAGCTCCTTTATAAGCACACCTTGAGGCAACGAATTCATCAAAAGCCTTTCGTCCACTTTCCTCGTCAACGGGATGCTGCTTTTGATGCTGTCGAATAAATTCATCTTGAATACAATCAACGGATTGTAATATTCTTTTAAGTATGTCAAGTTTTTGGCCGAGCTGGGAAGACCGATCTGCAGCGACAGTGTATTTAGCTAAAGGAAAAACAGTTAAAAAGTCTTGAATTTATTCGATTATTAAATTGATCTACTTTGGCGGCTAGCTGATCTTTCAATAGCACTGATTGACCAAATGTGTCTAGCTTTTTCTTAATTACTTCCAGAATTGTTCGAAACGTTTCGTTCAAAGATTGCTTCGTTGCTTCAGCGATAGGGAAAATCTTTTCCAGGTGGAACTCAGTGGCTAGAGACATAAACTCTCTCACCCATTTTACACACACTTCCCAACGTTTGTTGGACTTTGAAATGCCTAAAAATGTTTAGTTAAATAGAGTTTTCTACACAGGTGATCCTAACATCGTTTAAAAAAATTTCAAAATTTCAAATTTTTGCTTTGTTCGGTACTTAAATTTCATACAAATATTGGACTGTAAATTATTTGCTTCCGGTCTACAGATTTATTAAATATCAAGTGTTTTGCCTTTTCTTTTAAATATCTCCTGCACTTTTGAAATGTTTTGATCAAATTTGGAGTATTGCAAAGACAAAAGTGTATGAAAAACACACTAAAACTTTTTTTATAAGAAACGAACAAACTCTTACAAATTCCTCAAATAAAACTTACCAAATAACTCATTATTAAAAGAATCAAGGGCTGATGTGTACACTTCGGACAAAAAAGGCAAATATTCCCTCACCAAACACCAAATAAGATACCCATTCATCGTATGCCTATCGGTAGAAGAGATGATTTGAGCCAATTCGCTTAGATACTCTTGCGATGTGACTATCACTTCTGTATTTTCCGATATGCTGACTTTGGGGTACAGAGCTTGCAAAATGTCATGAAAGGGAATCTGAAGTCATTTAGAACATTTAGAGAATTTAGATCAAATAGAATTAAGAAAAGCGTTTACTTACAGTGCTTGTGGTCAATTTGAGTTCGGCCAATGAAACAGCATTGTATGTGGTAATGGGGTTTTGTAAGTTGGCCAAATCTGGAGTAATTTCCGCTATTCGTTTCTCGTAATTGAAAATATCTCTTCCGAATTTTGCTGCTTTGTTTCTCGTGGAACTTAGGGAGATCACAACATCCCTTATGTAATCCATATAGGCTGTTAAAATCTACAATTCATTATTATTGTGCAATCAGTATTCATTAATTTATGATTTTATCAGTTAAATATTAGATACAATTGAACACTTGTATGTATTAGTTAGGAAACCATTTAACTCCAAAACAATTCCAACTTGTTACATTGTTGTGACATTGTTATAAACAATAGTAATTTAAAGATTCTTGTCCGCTATTTGAATTATTTGACAACTCTGAAAAATTGCGATTTTTATATGCTTTTAACTTTTTCTTAATCTGCATTTCTGCACTGAGACTTGCATTTACTTCCTTTCGCTTTCCTGCTTATATTAAGCAAGGTTTTTCTCACAGTATTTATGTGATTTTTATAATCCCAGAAAGAAAAAACATGTTGAACTTTAGTTCAAAAGTATGCCTCTATCTTATAATGAGTAGTTTATAAAAATAAATATTAAAAAAATGAAATTAGGGAATTATTGAAACCGCGAACATTTCTATACAATTGGGAATCCGATGATCAAAAAACCGCACTTCCATAATTTAAAATTTTATAGAATAAAATTATCTAAATTAAAAAAACTCTTTATTCACTAACATCTGATGGCACGCACAGAACCCTTTGAAGAAATTGGCTTAAAAACAATTTTAGATGGAATATCGAAAGAAAATTCTTCAGTGCATTTCATGCATCAATTGACTGAAACAAATAAAATTTGACTAAAACAGCGAACTTTTACTGGAGCATCTGAATTAGTTTTGAACTCTAATTGATCAGAACTGACTCTAAATAATCTAAAAAGTCTATAAAAATTGGAAAATGTGGGGGTCTTCACAAAATGATGGTTGGTTTTGGAAATGCTTTTAAGCATTTTGTGAAAACAGCAGAAATAAAAATATAAATATAACAAACAAAACTATTTTAAATTAAATATAAGTGTGGTAAACAAAAGAAGCAAATATATCAGCTAAGTGATTTAAATGCAATGGTTTCCAATGGAATGAAACCTACATGAATTACTTAGTAGTGAAAATAAAGTAATAGTAAAAAACAATAAACTGAAGCAAATTTTCTATTTTTCTGCTTGGTGGTAAATCAAAGTTCACTGTTCTAATTAAATAAAAAATCAATTTTAAAAGCGTTCGTCATCATCTATGTAATCTATGCGTTGGCTAATGGAGTGAGTAGAAAATGATGTTTTTAGCTTGTTCTTACACGGTCATCTCTATAGTAGTAGTTTCTATCCGGAAGTCCGAGCCCAGCAGGCGAAATTCGGATGCAATTCTTCTCGGGTACATGCGGATCGGGTTCAACGTGCACCTTGAAAAAAGGGTTCACTCCATACTGCACCTGCAGCACTGTCAATACTTTCATGCCATCAAAGTCCACTTCGCTCCAGTCACGCAAAATGTGCCAACCACCTGCAAAAGAAGCGAAAAAAATTCATATTACGTGCGGCCTGGATGGTACCATAGATGGTTCTACAGACACTTCGTCAGCTCGTACAAGGAAATTTACTTTCGGTCTTAAATTAAAGCAAAAGTAAGCGACTTGAATGCGCAACTTAAGGGCGTAGCTGACATAAGAGTTGCAACACACGGACAATTTGCGAGAATGGAATACGAAAAATCGCCGAAAATTCCGACGAAGATGTTTTGCAACTGCTTATAATTCGGACATTTTTCAACGAGAGGAGAAACACTTCTTACTTTCCTTTCAAGGTTACCAATGAATAGAATTATCATAAGTATGGTATTATTGTCCGCTGGTCAGCGGCGTTTCATTACAACTTGAATTGTTTAAGCATTTTGCATCGAGTGGCTCTGTAAACACAAATTTCTTATTTTTCAAGCATTTTCTTTCATTTCGAATTATTATTTTTTTCAGTCAAGTCACAGTTTTATTCAAGCATAGAAGAAGAAATGCAAACTACAGAGAAGCTGATTAATTCAAAAGAAACAAAATATGTAAAATTAATTTTTGAAGTACAAAGATGAAAAGTCTGCCAGATAATATGCAAAAATCGTTTTTCAAGATGCCGAACACAAAAATTAAATAACATATTTTCGGTCGGTTATAATTTGGTTTTCCTTCAGTGTGACTCCACTTCACATCGTGAATATCAATGGTTTGGCAATGAGTAGATTATGTTATGTCATCATATGATCTGGTTAACGTGAACTGCAAAAGGCTGAAAAAATGCAATTTATGAAGATGTAGATAAGAAACTTTTGCAGCTGTTTATTCAAAGGGGGCAACCCCGTTCTTCAAGATAAGACTTAAACATGTAAATAAGAAACTGTTCAAGCAGTCTATTGAAAATTAGGCCGAAAATGCATGAAACACAAATTTACAAGGAAAAGGCTACATAAATGGTCACTTAACAATGAAATAACAAGAGGTTTGATGTTTTAACAGTCGGATCAAAGTTTCTAAGAAAACATGGTATAATTGGAGGAAAAAGTTTAAATATCCACTGGACTTTTTTGTAAATTTACTCTGAATAAAACTACCAGTGAAATATCAAACAAACAGTAAAGCTTGAACTAAAAAAATGCAATAGAAAACTTTGAAGTTCCTTTAAATCAAGTCAAATTGATATTAACTTGTCAACCGTTAGATTGAAGAGTGCTCCATTTCTTAAAATCGCAATACAGACAAATAAAGACAATTAAAATATCGGAAACAATTTTTCATTATCCATTTAGAAGCCATAAACTCCATTTACCGAGTTCGGCATGAAGATTTTATCAAATAAAAGATAAAGTACCAATAATGCTAGAGTGATGTTGTCGCAAACCAACTTTTTTGAAATGGAAAGGAGAAGAAAAATTTATTGCGATTTATGAGAATATCGTCTGAATTGTTAAGAGACTATCAAATCAGTGAATCAGTCTCCTTCCCTATTCCCGTTTTCACTCTAAAATTAATATTTAATTTTTTCTTTTGAAATTTCTATAACAACTTTGCTTGTCGGTTTTTCGTATTTAATGGTCGCATGTGTGAAGAAACTGACGGCACTAAAGAAAAAGATAATAAAGGTAAAAACAAGAGTGAGTCTAATAGTAAAGTTGCTGAAAATGTACTTTCAATTGAAGCAATGACGCCGAAAATGACCGAAAGTCGAGTACGCAAGTAAAGAAATACTCTCAAAGAGAGGTGGAATAGTTTCCACGAAATTTATTTAATATTTTAATTAATTAAAACACAATAACACCCATCAAGACAGAACTTTTACTTTTATTCGGTACAAGCTACACACCACTGGTGGTACATTAGATATTATCATCCTACAAGTTTTAGATAGAAATAAAACAATGGGCAAAAAACTAGATTTACATATGGACACTGCCAACCACGCCCCTCTATTGGCGTGATATATTGGCCATCATTGCAAGACGTAGAAATTTCTTTAGGGGAATCCGGCACATAAAATGCTAATTTATTTTAATGGATGCATAAAGGTAATAGCAGATTTCTCCACGCATCTAATTCAGCCGATAAAAGAAAATGCCATAAGATCGTTCTTGTTTAGATCGAAGGGAGAATGCGCTGGCAAATTTCAGGGCGGTGTCAAATCGGCTTCTATTTACCACTTAAGTGCAGAAATTTAGCACAAATTAGAGAGTTTTTGTGATGGCTTTATGCACACACAGCGTTATGTTTAATACGCACATGGAAATTATTCATTTCAATGTAATTATTCACGTTTTTTAAAGCATTTAAAGAGTTTGTTTAGAATTCCCCAGCATGGATAATCTCATATCATGTCTTTCAAAAGTGAGTTCTAAAAATGGCAAAAGTGGCCAAAAACACAAAAAAAAACACTTTTTAATCCCAACTGAATGTAGAATTACAACGTAATTTTGGTGTGCAGAACAACCATTAGCTTGCATCGTTTTTCCATCTGGAAATTTTGAAATGTTAGATATTGCGTTTATTATTTCAGGCGCTTTTCAGTTTTTAATTAAAAAACTTTCTTTGCAGAAAAACCATTGGTGTGCACCGTATTTCTACCTTGAAATGAAAAATGTTTGAAATAGCGCTAATTTTCTAGGAGAAGCCAACGTTTTTGACGTTTTTTGGTTGAAAACTATGAAAAAACTTTTAAAACGCTTTTTTGTGTCCCACCGCATGCTAAATTACCAAATAATTTTTGCTTGCAAAAATATAAAAAAAAACATTGGTGTGCATCGATTTCCAGCAATTATAGCGCTGATTTTCTACGGGGATTGGAAACTGAAAGTTTTGTAAAAAACGGGAAAATTATTTTCTTTTCAACTGCATACAGATTTATAAAATAATTTTGTTTGCACAAAAACGATTGGTGTGTGCCGTTTCTTTGTCTAAAAATTATATGCAAAATATAGCGCTTTTCTAGAACAATCCGACGATTTAAATTTTTTAAATAAAAAACGGTACGTTTCAGCAAAAGAACGCAAAAGAGCTTTTCTGTTTCCAAGTGCCTGAAAAATTAGTAAATATTTTGCACTGCTTTTCTGTCTGAAAATTATCAAATGTTAAGCATAGCGCCCAAGTTTTCAAGACAATCCAACTCTTTTCATTTTTTTAATCAGAAATTTAGCTTTCCAGCAAAAAATTCCAAAGTTTTTTGTTTCTGTGTGCAAAATCAGACATAATTTTTTTATTGCAGAAAAACCATTGGTGTGCACCGATTTTCTGTCTGGAAATATTGAAAAACACGAATTTGTCAAATAGAGCCAATATCAAGAAACGATTTTTGCTGAATCGTTTTGCAATTTTAGAATAATAAACATTAATATGTTTTCAACCTGTAAATTTTAGCGATATGAATAAAACGAGAGAATCAGCCAGAGAAAGTTCAAAAAGTCTTGGTTGCGTATTATAAAATACTGGAAAAATTGCGTGACAAAGCATACTTCTCTTGAACGAAACTTAGCTTCGAATGTCGGCCCTCAGATCAGAAAAGAAAAAATTTAAACTGAATCTTTGCCTGCTGAATAAAAATTACTCCTTTATTAGGAAGTTGTGCGCTTATTAATAGCAAGCTTTTAACTCCAAGTTTTTGCAATAGTATTTAAAGCCGCTCTGTATACCAATATTTTCCTAAATTGTGAAATATTTAGATTGTGAGAGATTTTCCTAAGATGTGCTAATCTTAGGTACTCCCAGAATCAGACGCAAATTTATTAGCACTCATCCGGGTATCGCCTGAAATTAACACTCCCGAAACTTTCCTATAGTTTTGATGTAAGGTAGTGTTATTCTCAGAGCTAATAGACCGGAACCAATTCTGGGAGTGTTTGAAAATTGTACTTCTCGAAATGTGCATCTTCTGTTACTATTTGTTTTGCTCTTTGGATGGTTTTGCTATAACTTCTGATGTCTTCATTTAAAATCGTATAGACGTTCTTTCTAGATACAATGTAACTAGGGAGAATTTGATGGACAATCGCATGTCTCATGAAATAGTTTAGTAATTTAGACTAAAACTAAAGTGTGCGAGTTTAATATAATCATAATATACCCTTCTTTTTATAATGATAAAAATATAATATCACTTTTTTATTATTGTCAGCAAAAGCTTTACACTGCATATTAAACTGTTTGTATTTTAAATTCGACTATCCAATTGCCTTTAACTGACTTTCGAGTCACTCAAAATATTTCCTCATTAACACTATATTTGAGTAGACAAAAGAGTCCTCTTATTAAAGACAAGAGAGGAATAAAACTATTAAAGCTACAGCTTGAGATTAATTAGGAAAAACTGCTACTAAAAGACAGTCGATTAATCATCATCATCAAGATTTAATCAGTGATGAATTACATTTCTTCTATCTCTCGGACATATCGCAATTAAACTGGTAATGTTTGCGGCCTGGACTTGTATAGTAGGTTCGAGTAATATCCACTTTCGATCACCATGATACAGATCCGCCAAGTACCGAGGCCGGGCAAACCCGCCGGCTAAAAGGTGAAAGAGGAGATGTCGTCCGAAAAATTTCTCCAAAAAAAATCATCACGCGAATCGGTGCCACGTAACGTTTTTTCTGTCAATTACCTGGGCAAATATTGACTTTGACTGCAATAACGATATCATTGTTCAAAGGCATGTCCTGGAAATATTTAGCATACTCAACGCATTGTGTTGGCTGGAGGAAATTTGCAATAATCAACATTCTGTTGACAATGCGTTTGGTTTATAACTGTAAAACGGTTGCTGATTTGCGACTCATTATGATAAAACCTGGGATTTTCTAAGCCCTGAAAAATTGTGCATAAAACGCTGAGTTGGTCAAGCACTCAACTGGTTGAGTTCTGATATTTCTCACGACTCGAACAATTAGAAGCAACCCAACCCAAACCCAACAGTTTGCATAATTCATGAAGAAACACCGCATACGTGACACCGCTCGCATTATTTGGGTGCAAGTCTTCCATCGGCGAACCTGAGGGGGGTTCCGCGAACGCTCTTCGTATAAAACCAAGGGGGACGAACCAAATGAACCAAAACTTCCGGGTTAACAGAACGGTAGCGCAGGGTTACCCGAAAACGGTCTGAATCGTGATTACCAAAATGAAGACACTTTTGGTAAGTACCAACGAGATTGCTGAAACCTGTCGAAAAAGTGCTTGGTTTTCTTGTTTCGAGTGCAGTTAATTTAGTTTCTTTCTCGTTATTGTTCAGTTGTCACAAAATTTGTTTAGTTCTTCAATCGTTATTTGCTACATTTATGCCCAAGATTCGTCACTTTTTTTACTTTACTCAAGCGTAGTTATCTTCTACCTCAGTTACATCCTTAAAAGTTATTCTCGTTTACAATCTCCAGCAGTGGTTTCCACAGTTTCTCGCAGAGTTTCAGCTGTTGCCATCAAACTTAAAATATTCTTAGCTGAAGTTGTCAGTCGGCATTGCCACCTAAGTCTTCCGATCTAACCCCTTTAGATGTTTACAAAATAACAATAATTTAACCAAAAATATCACTACAACAATTAGTAGAAGTTTCAAACGATTCGTACAAAAAAAATCATGTTAAATTACGATAAGTTAATGAAAAATATAACACTTAAAGGTCTTCGACGACTTCACTTCTGTTTTCTCAGAAGAACCAATTTGTTTGTCTAAACACAATAATGTTATTTGAACATTCTATCAACCCCTGGTCTCCCAAGGTACGGTGGTAAACTTTACCCTTAGACATTGTTCTACAATTTCAGTTTTCAGAAGCAAAATTCAACAAATTTTGCAAAGGTTTCTTTGTAATGTAAGTCGTGTTCATTCCAGATATCACTGTGCATTTGCGCCTTCGCTTCAGCCCGACCAGAAGCCGGCTACAGCTATCCAGTACCAGCTGGACCATCCCTTTCTCTTCCCGGTCCCAGCATTGGAGGCTCCCACGGGATTTCCAGTATCAACCTGGGAACAGGAGGCAGTCATGGTGCAGACATCAGCCACATCAGCTTGACTACTTCGGGAGCCGGCAGCTTAGGAGGACACGGAAGCTCCTATGCAGGCTCTGGACCTAGCTACTTATCCGGAGGGTCCTCCTATGTCCCGGGTGGCTCCTACAGCGGAGGCTCTGCATTGCTCTCCGCAGGACATGGCGGAAGTTCCTACACTGGTGGTTCGTCGCTCCTATCTGGAGGCCATGGTGGCTCCTCCTTCGGCGGAGGTTCATCACTGTTATCAAGTGGACACGGCGTAGGCTCTATCTCCGGAGGATCTCTGCTCAGTGGAGGTCATGGCAGCAGCTCGTTTGGTTCCGGCAGTAGCTCCTTTGGTTCAGGCAGCAGCTCCTTTGGTTCAGGCAGCTCAGGTTTCTCAGGTTCTTTCTCCGGTGGCAACAGTTTCGGTTCCTCTGCTTCTCTTGGAAACATTGGAGGAGGTTCCACTATTGTCCAAAAGCACATTTACGTCCATGTGCCACCACCAGAGCCTGAAGACTTCAGACCCCAACGCATTATCCCTGTAGCGCCAGCTCAGAAACACTACAAAATCATCTTCATTAAGGCTCCATCAGCTCCAACTCCCACTGTGCCAGCCATTCCTTTGCAGCCTCAGAACGAAGAGAAAACGTTGGTGTACGTTTTGGTAAAGAAACCTGAAGAGGCTCCAGAATTGTCTATACCCGCGCCAATCCCCACTCAGCCAAGCAAACCAGAAGTCTACTTCATTCGCTACAAGACTCAAAAAGAAAGTTCTGGCGGCGTGGGCATTTCCGGATCTTCGTCCTTCTCCGGCAGCGCCATCGATGACAGTAGTGCAGCTCTGGCTGGATCCGGAATTTCCGGTTTATCCGGCAATTTGGGAAGCATTGGAAGCATAGGAAGCTTATCTTCTTCTCATGGTGGCAGCTCCAGTAGCTCTTTCATTTCCAGCTCGTCTGGAGGCAGTTTGAGCTCCTCCTATGGCCCCCCTGGCCATGTCCCCGGGCCATATTAATTCGAATTACGGAATAGTGATGTTGAGGTTACAGGACTTATACAGTGGCTGACAGTGATCGCGATTTACTCATTTTGTACATAAGCCCATCCTAGGTTTAGCTCCATGTATGTTATGTCTTACTTTTTGGGCGAAAAGTATTGTTTAAATAACCCCCTTTTCTAAGTCTTTATGTAGTTGTATTGTGATACGGTGACAAATGTAGCGTGTAAGTTTTATTTAATGAAATAAATTATTTTTTTTAAATCATTGTGTATTATTATTAATCTAATAGGGGTTGAATCTAGGTAGAGCTGAGCAAATTCAAAAAGAAGTTGATTGTCTAATAATTCTGGCAAAATTTGAATTCCGTTCGTGTTTAAAACGGTGTTTAATTGTTGCTTTTTCAGAGTTGGGGCGAATCTGAAGCAGAAGAGATTTCTTCCAAACGATGAGTTATCAATGTGGCACCTACAAAGTCGGGTAGAAATTGTAGAAACTAATCTGGCAGAAATTTCGAACTAATTTGCTGAAAAGCTTGCTTTATTTATTATTTGGTTTCTACAGGATTGTCCAGATTAAAACCTCAGTGTACAAAAACACAGCAATTATGCGGATATTTTCCAAAGCGTTCACAATTTTCACAATTGTTGAATCATTTACCATTTCTAAGATGCCTACAATTAATCTCGACACATTCACTATCTGGGAGTGTCTGAGAACAGAACTTTTAGCTGTAGGTATAAGTAAAAACAGTAACTTTGATGAAAAGTAATAAAAGAGATCTGTTTAACAGAAATGTGCAATAGAACTGATTAAACAATGGAAACACATGATGAAAATATTGCTTCTATTCCAAGTTTTTGAGAGCAAACTTGCGCAACTTATGTACAGTTTCCCAAATCTCAATGACGAAGCTGGAGAGAGATGATGAGATTGCTCATATTGTAACTATAGCGGACACAATATAGTATTTTATAAATAATAAAATCATGCATTAAATTCCTTAACTGTAAAGCTCAATAATGAAAACAACAATTTTTTTAGGAAAAAGTATGTAAGCTTGAAAACGTATGATCGACAACAAAATAGTGGATTGTTGCTGAATTGAACAAAAAATATAACAATACAATTAAAATTAAAATGAATAAAAATTTAGATCAAAGTGCAAGTTATATAGGATCAGCGGCAAATTCAAATGCAACAAACCACAATAAATAATTAACTAAAATTAAAAGAAATCTCAACTGAGAACTACACTATACGACTCTAGTCTAGCCTGAAAAATACTCTAGTGAACAATTTTAAGTAAAGGAAAAGTAACAAAAGTAAACGACTACAAACAACCTAAAAAATCGCTCTTGATTCAGTTTTTTTCTGTTCTTTCAATTTCAATTTAAAAATCCAACTACAATCTTGTAAAACGTAAAAAGTGACGTTCTCAATGGACCCTCTTCACATGGTTTCATTTTATTATTAGCAAGAGAAAAAGTTGTTTGTGTATATTTTGGGATGCGAAAACAAAACCAAACGACATGGAGTTTGCATCTGTTGAACATGTTTAATCAGTTAAAGGAGGCTGAAAGTGGTTTTACAAATCGCACTTGGCATATTAAAAATGGGAACAGTCTGATCCGAAATAGCATTCAAAATTCAATAAACCAGAGACTGATTTTTATTTTTGAGTCAAACAATTGTTACTTCCACAATACACACACACTGTTTCGTAGCTTGTCCACTTTCAATTTTTAAGTTGCCACTTCAAGCGATGCCCGTTAATGGAACAATTATGTATCTGGCCTGTGTTTTCTTATGAACAATAGAACTTTTGTTTTCCCTATACTGATAGGTCTGGAGGTGGAATTAAATACATCACTTTTAACTTTAACAATAAAATTTCATTTTCTTCTGTTAAGTATAGATGAAGTCACTTGGTTTGCACTAAAAAGACTAAAACCCGTCCCTGCTAAACCGATTATTTACTATTGCGAACATGATCATGTTGTACAACAGTGTGGGTACACAAAATCTACATCTGACACGGCCTAAACAAACAAAAATTGTCATAAAAATCAATTGAAAAACACCAAACAATGCTCTTTTGCCCAACTTTGGTTTTATAATATTTGCGTTTAGGAAAATGCGGGCTTTCTCTGCTATCTTTTCCTCCTATATAACCATTTGCCACTAATATGCCATAAGTCAGTTCAAAATGAAGTTACCTTACCTGTTGATTGTACGTACCAAAATCCAAATCCAGTTAGTGAATTTTACGAATTTGTGATTTTTTCTAGTGTTTGTGGGTGTTTTTACCCCTAAGTCGCAGTCGGCCAGATGCCCCTTATTACTACTCAGCCCCTGCTGAGGTTGAAAACCCCTTCACTAGAACCTCAGGCTTTCCATCAGCTGCACTAAGCCAGTCTTATCTACCAGCAAACCGAGCCCCTGAACATTCTCAGCCGAGCTTCAATAACGTTCCAGCTACCTCCTATGGAACCCCTCTTTTGAGAACCTCAATCCTTCCTTCAAGCAGCTCACTAACGCCGCAAAGGTAAGTTCACTTCTGCTGTTATGTGATATTCTAAAGTACCGTTGTTAAGAAACTACGGTTCTCCTGAAGTACGGTCCCAACTTCCTCCACTGAGCCCTTATTCAGCTCAGCCGCAACGCGCTGTAAACATCCAGAAACACTTCTACTTTCATGTGGCGCCTCCAGAGATGGAGGAGCAAAGACCTCAAAGAGTAAGTAAGTTATATCTAAGTCTCTTAGTGACTGATGACAATTTGTTGCAGATCCATGAACCGAAAGTCGCCCAGAAGCACTACAAAATTATCTTCGTCAAAGTTCCCTCATATGCTCCAGCAGCAAAGTACGTGGAGCAGCAACAGGCGTTGCAAGAAGAGAAAACCCTCATCTATGTGCTAGTGAAAAAGCCAGAGGAAGAGGTTCCAGTGAGGGCCAACCAAGTTGCAGCCCCAATTAATAAACCAGAGGTCTATTTTGTTAAGTACAAAGGAAAAGCTGATGCACCACCAGTTCCAACTGGAGAACAGAGTGAAAGTGTTCAAAATGAGGATAACGACTCAGTGGTGGTTGAGAGTGCTGGGAGAACTTCCCAGCCCCAAGCCCAAGGGTACATATACGAGAAGCATGTAGGTGTGCTGAAGTAGTAATATGGTTACAGTGTATTGGGAAGAATAAGTTTTATATTGTCATATATTTTTTTAGTTAAGTCGAATCGTGTTTCATTTCATTCATTCTGGTTACTCCAGAACTCCTTAATGAAAATGTTTAATTTAGTTGGTAACTTGTAGATTCCTCTTTATGATGTCTATAATTGGTATGACCAAACACTTCAACCCACAAAACTGAGATTATTTTTTAATTCCATAACGCGCTACCAAAACTTTTTAAGAAGTTTGCAAAATGTTTGTTCTAAGAACCAGAACAAAGCTAATAAATACAAAACTCGAGCAGATTAAGCAAAGGAATGAAAATTTGAATTAGATTTCTCCGCAAATCGGCATAAAAGCACAAATAGAAAATCGATTTAACTTCATTCTAGCTGACGAAATCTTATGCAATAACAGAACAAACGCTTCAGCCCAAGACAATTGGATGTTTATGATTCCCAGACGTTCTACCAGAGCTTTCTAAGAACTTTGCAAAGTATTCGTCTGAAAACCAAAAAAAATTGCAAATCGACCTAAAAGTGGAAATAAAAAAACGCTTTGTTCCTTGAAACTGACAATATCTAATATAATAACATAACAAAGGATTCAACCCACGACAATGAGATGGTTTTTTTTATTTCCGAACGTTCTATCGAAACCTTTTAAGAACTTTGCAAAATATTCGTTTTATAAAGAATAATAAATCAGAACTCGTTCAGATTTATCAGCAGAATGATAATTTGAAGTCCGTATATCAGGCTAGACGCAGAAAAAGTTCACTATAAGTTACTTCAAACCGACAAGAACTTTGCAAATATTCGTTCCAACAACCAAAAATACAGAACTCATCCAAATTAAACAAAAAAAATAAGAATTTGAAGATATTCCCTTCGGAAATCGAGCTAAAATCGCAAATAAAAAACGCTTTAAGTTTCTAATATAATACCATAACAAACGCTAAAAGCCATGACAATGATTTTTACATTTCCAAACTTTCCACCACAACTTTTTAGAAACTTTGCAAAATATTCGCCGTATCATCCAATAAAATGCTAATAAATGCCTTTCTTATCCCCAAACGCTCTCCCAAAACCGTGTAAGAGCTTTGCAAAATATTCGTCTTAAGAACAAAAAAGCCTAATAATTACAGAACTAGTCCAGAATAATCAGAAGAATGCGACGATATTTGAACCACTGTCTAAGCTACTCAACTTAAAAGCACAAAAAATCGCCTTCAGTTTCCTCAAGCCGGCGAAAAATAATATAATATGTAATAATAAATTGATAAAATTAAAATCAAACTAATTCAACGTTTAAGCCTTACTTAATCGGCAATCTGCAAACACGTCGATTTAAAGACCCAAAGAAATTCGCGAAATTTAAAAACCCTCTTAATTTGTCTAAACTATGTAAACATAAAAATCTAATTTCAAAATTCTCCAATTTGCTCCAATCTATCTATGCCTTGAAAGTTTCGCAGAATTCTAAAAAATCTTGGACTGGAAATTCGAAAAAATATTTTTAGTTTCTTTGATTAATTTAACTTAACTCGAAGAAACACAACACGTTCACAGTACGCCCTAATTGATCTGAAACTGGCAAATTTGAACTCAAACAGTAAAGTTTACGAAGCTGCAGACGCCTGCAAAAAAAATTGTCAATTTCTGAAGGTGAAAAGGTTAAACTTGAAGAAACACTTTTAAACACATCCTGCAGCTTTTTCAAAAATTGTTAATGGCCCAATTAGAACAATGGGACTAATGAATATTAAACCATAACTAGCAAGAAACGTTTAAATCGACTTTCTAGCATAAAAAAATAACCTTAACCAAGCTACATGATACCTAAAATGAGAAGAAATCAACACTGAAATCAACCATTAAATGAGGGTGACTTATTATTAGTTCATCTTAATTAAAACTTGCGTAACATCCTGATAAGACGACCCTTCAGCTGGTAGACGAGCTTCCCGTGCCCAAAATAGAAAAGTTCGTACAAGAACAGATTTTTCATTGATATTTATTGGATATTAGAGCGGTTTATTTATTAGAAATCAAAAACCAAATGGATCATATCTCGATGGTTTAAAAGCTTTCCCGAAATAGCTTCCTCAACTTTTGAACCACTTAAGTTACGTGGCGCTTGAAACATACGAGGACGATTACTACGTTGTAAACATGAATGTTTTATGAAGCCAAAATGAAAAATTACAGAGTTTTTTAACGGCGACCAAACAAATATTGTGATAGTTGAGTGAGATCACATCGTAATTTTTTATGGTAGATAAAATCACTGCTGACAAAGTAGGTTAGATGCTAGGCTATTAAATTGCGGGTGTTGGTAAATAAATATTTTTTTATATACATAAGGCGAGCCAATTTATTGCGGCAGTTTGAGCAAAAAAATATTGTATTTTATTCGTTTTATCTTCCATTGACTCGTATCAATCTTAAGTTAAAACAAAGTCGCCAGAAGTGATTTTTTCAAAATCCTGTTAATTTGCAAATTAATCCATGGTAAGTTACGAAACAAACATAAATGGATAATAAATAAAACAATCATAAAAATGTTATGTGAAAATACAATTTTTCTGATTGCCAGAATTTTCAACTGGACTGGACACTGGACTCGAAAAAATGCTGATACTAGTTTAAAACATTTCTTTGCTGATAACGAGACTTATTAATAAATTGGTAATTTTATACATACTAATATAAATATTACAAAAACTGTTGTGCAACTTTTGGCCTTAAAAAATCAATTTAGACTCGAAATTAAATTTTGTGTGTACCAAAAAAATTATTGCAAACCTTCGGTACAAGGTACCTACCTATTTCCATGAAAAATTCGTCAATTTCCACTACGCCTCACTTACTGTTATTTTTACAAACCTAAGAGCTTTTGATGCTTTATAGCCCACACTTTTCTGGGCAAATTATTGGTTTTCATACTAAGATGTTGATTTGTGCACAACTATGTGCACTATACAATAGTTGATTTCCTCTTAGTTCTTGCCTAGAGTGTAAAAATAAAATTTTGTGTGCAATAAAAACCTTTTCTCAAAACCTTTTCTTGAAACCACAAAGGCGAATAAATTTTAAAATATATAATACTTTCTTCGATTTGTGCACAAATAAAGTGGATTTTACTATCGATTTTTCAGACTGTTTTAACGCTTTTCCCATTTTTTTCTGTTCAAGCTTTCCAGCCTCTACTTTTCTGGACAAGTCATGGTTTCTGTATTTAACTATTGTCAATTTTTGTTTTTTTGTTCCGTTTTTAAGAGCTTTTTCGTGTTCTTTTCTTTAACAAACTTCATCCTTGTGTACGTTTCCCATTTTTCCAATTCCCGAAGCGTTAATTTCTTCACTTTACATTGATAATAATAATAGTAATCTCACTATTGATTTGCCAATAATTGAATATTTTTTTTTCAGTTGTCTCTTAACATTTTTCAGTTTAATTGAGTTCTGTTGTACTGAATTAATAGGCTGAATGTATAGGATTAATTTGTGATCTGTAGAGTAATTTTTTCACTTTGGCATTTTTAAGTTTGATTTACAATATGAATTGTTTCGTCCATTTCATTTCCTTCAAACGTTTTATTTTTTACTATGTACCATTATAATGATTTTTACCTTTCGCTGTTTCTTTTAGGTACTGTTTTTTTGTTTATACAGAAAAAACATTGATGATTTTTATGCAAAAATTACTTATTCATTCTTGCCAGTATTTTAAGATTTTCGCAGCCAAAACCCAGAATTGCTTCATTTATTTTCACTTAAAATGCACCCCGATTCCAGTTGAATTTCTACCCTCTGTCGGCCTCAGTTTCTGCTCCCCTGATGGGGATGCTTAGTAAATAGGGATTCCCTGTGCGGCGGCATATCTGAAAAGTAACCTTTTTAAGGTTTTTTGCCACTCGGCAATTCTGCGCTCCGGCTTAAAAAAATGCTCAACGCAGCTCTCCTGAGGGGAATAAAACCTCACAAAATGTCCGAGCATGCATCTTGGAGCTCTAACAAAGGGGCTCTATGCACTGTGGTAAACAAACAACTGCTTGCCATCCATCCAGCATGCACCATTTTTATTCCTTTTCAATAAATTATTCTCCACCGTTTCAGGACGGCTTACATTTTTGTCTGGTTTTGCGATGGCAAACCTTCAAACAACCCTTAAATCTTATTTCCGGGGCTCTGGGATCTTTGAGGGATAGGGTGAAATAAGGACTAACAGACTCTAAGTGGGAGAACATCGTATTAGGGGTGCAGAAAAGGGACAGGCGAAATAGAGCCGGATTCGATTGGAATGGCAAATTCCGCGCTCTACAGTGAAACCGAAGTGAAAAGCTGTTATTAGCGGAACTCGCATGAAACAATGCCAATAAATTCACTTCTTAAAATATCGGCGGCTTAGGTTGGGTTTTCAATGTTATTGTTAAATTTCCCCATAAAAACAACGATGACACCATCATCGTCCGGTGAAAGTATTTCTCGAACCAGCCAGGTTTCCAATCAATTTACTTTTAAATTGCCATCAGTGGATTAAATTTGCGTTTAATTATATGTAATTTTAACGGCGAGCCCATTCTGCTTAATGGAGTCACTATTGTATCTATTCACATACGTAGGCGTAATTAATATACATAACGATATTTTTTAAGTTTAATTATAAAATAGTCCGGTGATGGCGAAAAAAGGTCAGGCAAATTTTGATCTACCACCCTTAACGGGTCGTTTCGTATTAGCACAATCCACTGTTTTTGTGTAGAATCAGGACAGCAGCACTGTCAAAGAGGTGATGCATAAGCCGGCAGGGATGAAAAACCCTTAAGGGATGGAATACAGTTGCGTTCGCGCTTAAATGTCCATATAAATAGGGGTGGAAGGATATAGGATTAGGGGCGCAGCATTGTGGAGAATATTGATTCGATGGCTAGCCTCAACATACTGGCTGTTAAATTATTATATGGAATTAACTGCTCGAGTCTTTTAGTGGTTAAGTTATTTTTTGAAATATTAGAAGCGATTTGTGTACAGTTGAACAAGAGAGTGCAAACTCGAGCGCCCATTTCCACTTGTCTATGTAATTTTGGAAAAACCTTTCCTATAATTTAATTTATACAATTATATGTCTTTGCTACGCGTTTTACTTGGTATTTTGTGTTTTCTTCTTGCGTTTTTACGCTCTCATCGCTTTCATGCACTCATTTCCCGTTATGTGTCTCGAATATTTCAATCATGTGGCCTCTTTTATGTTTTTTTGCTTTAATGTGTTCACTTTCTGTTAAGTTACTGTTTATTTGTCAAAGCACTTCTCTCCTTCAGTGTTTAATTTAACTTTAGATTCCTCTAACTCATATTTTCCATTTTTTTATATACATAGATTCAATTATAGTGTATTTTGGTGATACACAAAAACAGTACAAGCGATTCGTGTACAAATGAGCAAAATACTGCAAATTGCAGCGAACGTTGCCATTTCTGCCTGTAAATTTCCTAAAACCTTTATTTATATTTGGTTTGTCCATTTATATTTTTCACGCGTATTAATTGACATTTTTTGTTTTCTTCTTGATACTTTTCTTTCAATACTTTAATACTAAAATGTTTCAGTCCTATGCTCCTCTGTTATTCTTTAATATCTGAACTTTATTTTAATTTACCGGTCACTTCATCAATAAATCTATCACCTTCAGTGTTAGATTATTTCGAAATGCTTCACTTTAATTTAGATTTCGTTAAGTCATATATTTCATTTTTTTACACATTTGATGTCTAGGGCCTCAACCTATCGAATGTTTAAATTGTTATATGGGATTCATTATAGAGTGTTTTAGTGATTAAAAGTATTTTTTAGAAACATTCTAAGCGATTGGTTTGCAGTTTACGAAGAGATTGCTAATTGCCATTAGCCCTCGCTACTACGAGATTGGTACAAGCCCAAACACTTGTCTGCAATTTTCGTAAAACCTTTATTTTTAATTTGTTTTGTCCACTGATATTTTGTTGCGCGTCTTACTTAGCATTTCATGTTTTCTTTAAGAAATTTTTTTCATCACTTTTATTGACTCATTTGCCATTCTATGCCGAAAACATTTGAGTCCTGTCTATTCGATGTTATTCTTTAATGTGTTTACTATCCTGTTGATTTTTTTCAATACATATGTCTTCTTCGGTGTTTTGGAATGTTTGAATTAACATTTCTTTAACTCATCGTTTCCATTTTGTGTCATTTTTCTACTGCTTTCAGCTGTTTGCTTTTCGTATTAGTATCTGGTCGGCTGTTCTACGCTGCATCAAAGTGAATCATGCACAAAAAAATCCTACAAACTGTTAAATTATGCGACAAAGACAAACTAACTCAAATGTTCCCTCATTTTTCATTTTGCGTCAAAAATACTTGAGCCTCAGTGTCCTCTACATATCCATCTGCWATAGTATTTTCTGTGCTTTCAAGTTTACTGTATATTTCTTTACGCCACCTGTTCCGTTCCGTCTTGTTTCAATGGTTTCAGCTACTGTTAAAGATTTCTTTTAGCTTATCTTCTTGTTCATTTATTTTACCTCCCTTATATATATGATGTGTGTCTTTCTCCTTTTACTTTCGTGTTTACTAATAAATTGACATGTAGAAAATCCCAATCAATTATAATAAAAACGCAATTTATTAACTGATTAGCAATAATTAAAGACGACCTATTAGATACTTAGAGAATAATTAAAGAAAAAGACTAATTCAAATAGATGATGATCAACACAAATTTAACAACACAAAAAACTTAAAATGGGACAACGAAAAAGCTAAGGCAAATTATTAACAAAATGCCATAAATAAAGTGACGAAACCCGTATTACTTCCAGCTTACCTCGATAATTTTAGGTAGAAAAAATACCGAAGGTTTGGAACTAAACTGGCAAAACAAAGACAGTCGATTGACTTTATACAAAAATGCTTCCGAAAGAACATTTTCAAGTATTTTTTTGATATTGTTTTCAGCTGGTGTGGTAGACTTTTCAAGCTTGTTATTTTGTTTCTTTCTTTTAACTCACGTGTGTTCTTTTCTGCGCCCTTTCTTTACTTACAAGTGGTCTTATATTTAATGTCAATCTCTTATTATATTATCAGATACTTTTTTCGTCTATTATTGCTCACTTTTTATAAGGCTTTTGCGTCCTTTAGATTTTTCATTATTTTATTATTTTACTGCATTCAGCTACTCTTCGAGGATTATCAGGTTTGCTTTCGTTCTAATTCCTGTTAACTCATGAATGATGTTTTATTTGTCTCCCATTGTTGACATTTATACTTACAACTTTTCTTACATTCCATTTTACTAATTAAAATAAAATGATGTTAACAATTGGTTTGTAAAGAAAAATAACAAAAATAACCAGCAAACAGCAAAACAGTTTTAATTATTGGGCAAAAAAAGAAAAAGTTTTTGGGCTCGTCCGGGATTTGAACCCGGGACCTCCCGCACCCTAAGCGGAAATCATACCCCTAGACCAACGAGCCGCCTGATAGCTGCGGTGCCATTCCGCGACTAATGCAAAGAGAATGTATTGTAGGAGCACAAATTTTTAAAATGAAATGCTTCCAGATCTAAATCTTCAATAGAAAACTCATACTGGCTCCAGTCGTATGAAAACAGATATCGAAGACAAAGGTTGTGCTTGATGTTGGATTAAAACGATTAAAACCCAAAACCAGCGTGATAAAAAATTTGTAATTTTAAATAAAAATACTGAAATTTTGAACAATAACAATAATCTGAAAATTTCATGAAACAAACGCCGAAAAAAAATTACGACTTCATGTTGTAATAATCCTGCTGGACGAAGGTCGATAATTACAATTTCAAAATTAACGATTTATGCATGACCGAGAATCAGAACTGAATCGGAAACGTATTGAATAATCAATCAGTGATTAGGTTCCGGTCGAAATATTATTAGAATTATATTCGCGAAGAAATCACATTTTCATGGCCGCGTTCAGATATGCAACATTCTTGGCGATCAGATAAAATATTGCAATTCAGATAAGAAAGTGTAGACTAAACTGGCAGGCAACTCACCCAATTCTGAAATAATATTCGTTAAAGGTCTGGCTGCATCCAGGACCACATTGTCCAAATTCATGCAAGCATCGTAAAAGTTCTTCAGCTTCCAGTTAATTGTACCGGCATGAAGTGGCAATTCCAACGTTGATATCATCGTTCTGATCCGTTCCAACTCTAAACACCATAAAAAATTGATTTTCGGTAACATTCAACATGTAGTTACTGACCTTTCTGGATCAGCTTCTGCTTCTGATTCCAAACGGGAATATCTAAGGGTCGAGCTGAATTATTCACGTATGAGAAACAGACTGCGCTCCACAAATTTGTACATGGTGAGACTGAAACGTCCAGATTTTCTCGAATCTACGACAAAAAAAATATTTTTGTTTGCATATTTTTTTCAATTATCAGAACTACCTGGCGAAGAAAGCGTATAATTTAAGACTTAGCCCTTAGCTAATTTAACCTTTAGAGTGTTCATTCTTAAAAAGGTTAGAAAAACTGAACTGACCGTCTAAAAGGACCTTTACTGTTTCTGGCTTCTTTGCTTTCATTCTTCTTCCCTTTCATCTTTAATGTGAATTGTTTCCTCTCGCATAAGTCTCATAAAATGCATTCGATTATTCCGAACGCAATTTAAAACGTCCCTTGAACTATCAAGAAATTTCTTGAAGAAGATGGACTGGAAACCAGGTAGTAAGGAATGAGCCTGTAATATTTCATCTTTATTCGGAGGCTGACCTATTCTATTCATTTTATTCATGTCAACTTCTCCTCTGTCCATCTTCTGGGTCTCCTTAATGGTTTAGTAAGCAATGTTTTTAGTATATCGAAAACTTTAGACGACTGCCGCAGGTAGCAAACTCAGGAGCGCCTTAATTCAGAAGATCTTCACGATGTTTTAGAATAAAATATTTTCAACCACTTGTTCGAATGAAACTAGATTCATCTAGATTATTAAGTTTGATTTGTCGACTATCGTTCACTGAATGCCCATATCTGTCCTGGATGTTGAAAAATTGACAATAAAGGAGGAGAGCGCATTCGTGCTAAATCGCCCAAAAGTTCGGAGGATTCAACATTTAATAAAAATTTGCTGCTTTATTATTTAATTTAAAAAACTGCTTTTTAAATGAAGGAAAATCAGCATACAGTCTGAACTGAAGATTCGTCTATCGAGTATTAAGTCTCCATCCCGATATCTGTCTGGGACGTTAAGATATGAACAATAAAGGTGGAGAAGGCACGAATGGCTAATTCAGATATATTTAAGCACGACTTCACCAAGAGCACTAACTGAAGCTTCAGTTATCTAACGTTGAAGTCGAAATGCCGATATCTGTCCTGGGTATTGAGAAATTAGCCAATAAAGGAGACTACTGAGCGACTAAATCCCCAAAACTTAGGTAATTTTGGCAATTAATAAAAAAATTAACTTCTCGTCCGAATGAAGCAGCTTGCACATAAAATCTTAACCGAAGATTAAATTCATTGACTATTCAGATACGCAATTTGATATCTGTTCTTGATGTTCAGAAATGAGCAGTAAAGTAGGATAATGTACAAAGAGCTAAATCGCCAAACACTTAAAAATTTCGTCAATTCATAAAAATTAAACTTCCTTCTAGGATAAAGCGAAATGCACAATAGATCTTAACTTTAGCATCCCGATATCTATTCAGGATGTTGAGAAATGAGCAGTAAAACCGGAGAATACACGAATGCCTCAAAAACCTCAAAAACTTGCCAAATCAAATTAATTTCACTACTTATTCAAATGAACCTAAACTCAAGACAAGTACTAAGTGAAGCCTCATTTATCGACTGTTGAAGTCTGAATTCCGATATCTGTCTTGGATGTTGAGAAATGAGCATTAGAGGAGGATGATGCAAGAATGGCTAAATCGTCCCGACCTTAGGAAACTTTATCAATTAATAAACATTAAAGTTCTTGAGCGGATGAAGCAAACTGCACTCAAAAGCATTAGCTCAACATGCATTTATCGAGTTTTGAAGTTGGCATCCCGATATCTGTCCTGGATGTTAAGGCTAAGCCATAATGACCGAGAGTGCTCGAATGGCTCATCGCTCCAAACTTCTAAAATTTTATAAATTCATATAAATTAACCCACTTGTTACTCGCTCCACGCAGAAATCGCTCAAAACTTAGAAAATGTCCTTACTTAATGAAAATTGAATTTGTTGTGCGGGTAAGCGAAATCTGTCCTGGATGTTGAGAAATGACCAATGAAGGAGGAAAGTGTTTGGATTGGCTAAATCGCCGATCACTCTTAAAAGTTAAACTTCTTGTGGAGCTGAAGCGAAATGCATGTCGTTAAGTAATAAAAATTGTCAAAAACAAAAATTCTATAGGTACCTAATTCTTGTAGAAAAAGGTAACACCTAAGGCTCGTGACAGATCATTTTAAGCTAAATTCCAAAATCATTGAAATAGTTCAGAGCTGAATAGTTCACTTAATGCTCAATTGATTTTAGACCCAATTTTCCAAGTTTGATAAGCCGAAATGCACATGAAACAGTTTAAAGTTGCATGCATCTGCTGCCGATCCACCGTATTTTATAAACTATTTTCATCCAAGTACGTAAAACACTTCTTTTCAGCCCATTGCTCATAACGAGAAACGAGCTGCTTTCGTAATAACGTCTTGCGGTTGTCTAAAACTTTGAACTCAATTTGTGCATTTAAAAATATTCCCATCTAATATTAAAGTGAAATGTTTCATATGCTTTAAGTGCGGAAACATTGGGATACTTTTTGAACTTCCATTAAACTATAAATATTTAGGCCAACCAAACGATTTTCTATTATTCCAAAAGCTTGAATCAACAAACACGAAAGACACAATTCTTGTGTTTACACTCCGGACATTTGAACGTATTCGCTCGGGTATAAGTGATTTTGCATTTTGCATACTGCGATTATGATAAAAGGCGTTCAATGTTTCATACGTTAAATAATCAATCTGCATTGTAGGCATTTTGATAAGTTTCAACTTCAGATTAAACCGATGCAATTCCTTATACATATTCTATGGGAGCAACAATGGTTCACAGTATGTGAACATTTGCAGACTCACTAATCAATTTGATCTGTATCTACGAGTAGCCTTCAGAACAAAATATCCCAAAAAACAGAAACCAATAATGTATTTTGTAAAAACAGTAACGACAGGAAAATTTCACTGAACTAAAACGGCATAGAAATTTGAAATTGAACAATTAATAGGAGTTTAGTGTGGTAGTTACTAGAAAACATAATAAAAGGGATGAAGGATAATGGACTGTTTGGTCTCGAAAATTCAGCAATTTCTCGTGTCTTTGGTGTTAATCAGTGATAATTGTGCTATTAATAAATTGTTACACTTAGAAGAAATGGTGCAGTGGTTTCATTTGCAGGAAAATCGGCCTGGATTCTCCTAACCTTTATCCCTCTTGTACATTTGGTACCGTATACAACCAACCGATTAAAGAGTCCGGAGTTTTATACATCTTGGTCAGAAAATCGAATTTTAGAAAAAGAAAAAGCTTTCTTATCTAACAAACATGAAAAACATTATATAAGTATAAGTTTCAAACGACAGCGAGCTATGGTAAAACGAATCCTAAGCGTAAATCTTCAAGATCACATCACTAGTATCGAAATAAGAAGAACAAAAGTCAAAGACATAGTAGAAAGAATATGTACATTAAGGTTAAACTAGGCGGGAGACCTCTTGGAAGAATGACAGCCAACAGATGGACTCAAGAGAGTGATAGAATGGAGCCCATGGGAGAACAAAAGCAGCAGAGGAAGACCTCAAACAAGATGGTCCACTTAGTAAAGAGATTGGCTGGATACGACTGGATGAGAAGAGCAGATAAAAGAAAGGACTGGCAGGAGGTAAAGGATCCAGTCGCACGATGGACGAATTAAGCTGCTGAAGAAGAACTAAGTACGTCTATGTTTGTTAATACATATATCGATCGGTCCAACATTGCAAGTACTTTTATCCCTGTGAATGACTAGCTTTGACTAGGCCTGGTTACACTGTGTTGAGTTGGGCTATTGAGTTGTTGCGCTCTCTGACTCAACGAGTTTTAACTCATCGGTTAATGAGTTACAAGTCATTTATTAAAGTTGATTTAAGTTTCACGAGACCCGAGGGAAAAAAGGTCATCAACATTTTTTTTTGAGTAACTTCGGAAACCGATTAAAATCATTCAAAACACAGTCTGGATTTAAATGACTGTTTGTTAATGGCGATTCTTGTGATTTTGATGCTGAATTGAGGTAAAAATTGTAACAACGTTACAGATTACAAACACTCGCACAGGGGACAAATAGACAATCAACAAAACGCGGAAGTGCAAAGAGAAATATATTATGCCATCATTCATAAGCTCTCCTTGCAGGCTGGAGAAAAATTCCCTGGTAAGTGATTGAATGAAATTTCCTCTCTTAACACATAGAAAACGTTCTTTTTCCGATGACAAATGTTTGCAAAACTAATCAAGTTAAATAAGAAAAAATACCACTTTATTTAGTATTCAAAACGCCAAAATGAATCTGCCGAAACTGACACTAAAATACAATAAGCCACTCATTCCGAATTCATCTAAATTGGCAAAACCCACGTCTATTTTAAAGAACACATTGATTCCTAAGCCTCAAATGACTTCGAGCTCGAAGCAGCATCGCAATATGACCAAAAATAAAAATCAACCGTTGTCAGGTCTGGTAAGCAGAGGCCCATTGGAAATTTTTCATCAACGTTGCTGTCTTTAAAAAACGCCAAAGGAAATTCCCTTGAACTTAACGTGAGCATAGAAAACCTTTGTTTTCCGGGGATAAATGTTGGCATCACTAATCAAGCGGATTATAAAAAAGACTTTGTTTAATATTTAAACTTTGCAAACCCGAAAATTTTAACGAAATCCATTAAACACGCAAATACTGCTAATCCTCGTAAATAAAAGAAACTGTTTGAGCAGGGTAATATGGTTAAGGGTGCCAAGGCTTTGAATTCAGGAAAACCTGCCCTTCCTGGGAGTTTCTAAACCAACAGCATCTGATTGCAGTGGCTCTTAAGCTAATCAAACATTGTGCAACTTTAAATTAATTAATACTTTACAGTTTTATGTCACATCAACATGAAGATACATACCTGAGAAGCAGCTCGTAAGCACTGAGGATCTCTACACAAAGAGTACCGAAACATGTGGGGTAAAACCGGCCAGCCTATCACTAAACCCACAACAACTAAAAACAGCACTGCCACTAAAGTCACTAAACCCAAAACGATAAAAATCCATTTTCGCGATAATCCAGTTTTGCTTTGAATGTTCGACACGTATTTTTCATAGAATGGCAGTTTCTTCGGTTCGGAATCGCTTTGGATCAGACAAGGCTCGATTTCGGCAGCATACAACTGAGGCTTCTGATCCACATTTGCGTCCACTCGCCCATTTTTCGTTATAGATTCATTATCGTGTTCAGGCATTGTTTATGTTGGTTTTTAAACATATAAGATTTGAAAGTAAAAATCTGGGTAGCGGCTAACCGGTTACATATTCACGCAATTTCGTCCACTTCCAGGTGACTTTACCCTGTAACAAAAGAAATGATAGGTATTCAAAATTATGCAAAAATCGCCACAATGACTATCCAAAAGGCCCATAAAGTCAAAGATTTACAAATTAATTTCAATATTCTATTCAAAAGCTTTCTATATGAAACGTTGCCGCCACATAAAAAGTTCTGGTAGTTTTTGTACCAACACACTCAAGACTTATGCGCTTAGATTGAGCCAAAAATGAAACACCCTGTATATGAAGATCATTCGTATGTAGGTACATGTTCTTTATTTCACTGAATACAATTTTTTGAAGACCTTTTCATACAGCCCCTATAACAATTGTCATAATAAAACTTGGGTAAGCTGAGGATGAAGAGGTTGTAAAAAAATGATGTTATCACCAAAAGTTGAACAATTACATCAGTAAAGTTACGTCTTTTAGCTTTTCCAGGGAAAATCGCCTAAAAAATTAGGAATTTTATCGGGGACTTTTGAATAAGCCTGCATATAAAGTAGGCACTTAGGTATATGTAATACATAAATATGAAAAAATTGATTTAGTAGCCTCCTATTTTCATGTGTCAACTGCACGTACGAAAAGAAAAAAATAGCGTTAATTAATGTTTAAGCATTACAAATTGAAATTTGCAAGTCCAGTTTCAGGTGAAGTACCTTTGAACAAAACTTTGCTTGCTTCTTTGGCCGAAGAAAATGTAAAATATTTTTTAGTTATTTTTATTTAACATCCAGGCGTTGCAAAGATACATTTTTAGTAAGCACTTATAACGATATGTTTTTTTATTAAACAAGGAGCTAACAGAGTTTGACAATACCTTGAGTGTCCCAATGTGAATTTACAATACAAAAATTATACGAGATTTTATCTACTTTCGTAGAATACCGAAAAAAATGTTACAAACATATATTTCACAACTGTGAACATTTTTTTAAACGTTATTATGTTGGAAACAAATGCTAAATGAAATTCGCCACAACACTAGTATTGTAATAAAACCTATTCTAAACAAATCTATTTTTTGAATTGAATAATTCCTGAGATTTAAAATATTTAAATTAACGAATAACATTTTAAACATTGAATAAAACTTTAATAAGGTAGTGAAGTAATTAAATAATGAAATAGTTATTCACGCAAAACATTAGAAGAAGCAGTCTTCTATTGTTATCGATATCGGCAAACGAATCTATAATTAACTTTAAATCTATTTTTTTGCAATATCTTTTGTTCTTAAATAGTTTTTAATTCTCTTTAAAGTGCTGAAAGTCCTTTCAAAACTTGCACTGGAAGATTGTGCTGTCATTGCATTATTCATAGTTTATTCATTTCTGGCAAGACTAAACTAAAATCTTGCAAAAGAAGTGTGAGCTCTGTTAAAGTGTTTAATATTAGATTATTTGTGACTTCTTAGTGACCTTTTAGTGGTAAATGGCAATGACTTTGCCTCGTTTTCAATTCAAACTAAACTGCTCAACAAAATAGACTTTACACCCAAAAATGTTGACCAATTTTGAACATGGATAAATTCGGATGGCGTAAAGCGATTTCGTTTCTGTTTGTGGCATTATTTAGTGCAATTCTTTCTCAGTCTATGCGCGTTTTTGCAAAATAATAAACAAACTTTCTCGGGGTGGCAACTGAAGCAATGCAAAATTGGCGAAAGTTCCACATGCTCTCAGTTGGGCAAATTCTGTTTTTTTTTTATTTTAGCAATACACACACTAAGATAGAGCTCATATCTCTAAAAAAGTTTTTTAATTTTTCGACCATCTTGTTTATTCACAGAGTGGTCTCAAAAAATCAACAGTGATACTTTCTTTCTCTTGAACCGATTTTCAAAATCCAGAGCTCGTCAGTGGACTTGAGACAAAATTTCGATATTCCGAGTTGCATAAATGAACGAAATACTTGAAAGTGAACCACACTTTACTTGAAAGACTGCCAGAATCACAGATTTCAGAAGCAACACTTAAACTCGTATCTTATATTGTCTATGCAGCGTCTTGACTTGAGCTCTAAATCGTAAAAATCGGAGCAATAACTGAAAAGTTACCGCTGCAAGACCAAACCAAAATTGATTTTTTGAGACCAGCCTGTAAATAGGGGAGATGTGCTAAAAATTGAAAAACCATTTCGAGCTTTTTGGTTTATCTTTAAACTTTTGGCGTGGAGAACCAGAAAACAATCTTTTGTCCAACTAGAAGTACGTCAAACTTTCCGGAATTGTACAATTTGTCATTTGACACCCTGTAGAAAATGTACCTGAGGTGCTTGATTTTAACCAAAACACTGACTAACAAAAAACAAATGAGGCTCAATAACGCTTCAAACCGAAACCAAATGGTTTGAAGCAATCAGAATTTATCCAGTTCTAAAGTTGGGGCAAATTTGGCTATGTAACGTCGATTTTGTTGAGCAGTTTATATCACATTGGTAATCGTTAGCTAAAGAAATTAAAGTTCTAAGTTTAAAAAAATGGTGGTAGATGGATTAAATGGACTAAATCGTGTTTCTAAACCCAGCTTTTGATTCTGCAGCCCTTTGCCAGTTCTTGTAGCCTTCAGTGACAAAGCTTAAACTGCTGGTTCCACCTTGTTTGAAGAAAAATCTACCAGGGAAAACATACAGCATCTTTGAGAATGCTGGACCTAATTCAAGGATACAAGATGTAATAAATGGACTTAAAAGCTACGAAGATCACAACCATACTGTTTTTTAGGAAAACTTCCTAAGACCGGCGCTATCTTGAAAGTTCATGTAGCGATACAGCCAAATCAATGACTTATTTTTCCTCTATATGAACATATAGTTGAGTCCGGATATACCGAACTTGAAAAATGTACTAAAACTGGTTTGTTATATCCGGAGTTCGCTATAAGCGAATAATAATACAGAAACACGTGGTGTATTTTATTTCGTTATTTTTACAAAGGGTAGTAGAAGTTAGTAGGTATGACTAAAAAGAACACAGAAAGATAAACAAAATTCAATTTGAAATCTACTTCATAAAGTTCGTAATTTTTGTTTGTACATTTCTGCTGCAAAAATAGATGTTATTTATGTAGTTTTCAAGATCACAAAATGACTCCCAGGTAGGATTAGGAACTTGGCGTGATTGTAGAAAATTCCGAGTTTCTGACACTTTTTTTGTCATTTCAGAAATGATTGGAACAGCATTAGTGTCAACAGTAGAATCAGTTTCACCTAAATCGTCATCTTTCTCATTATCGCTTAAAGCTGTAGATGAGGTTACGGAGTCTATAATTTGCTCATCGGTCAACATTTCTCTTGTAAGAATGCCATTATCAATGCTCACATATTCGAAGAAATTGAAATCACTCAATTTGGTTTTAACTTGTTCTTCGACAACATTGGGACATCTTCGTCTGTGTCATACTGGTAGTCAGAGTCTTTATACTTTTCTAACCATTCGTTAAGTGGAATTTCATCGTCTGGATCATAATAATTTTCTTTTTCTACAAATCCACCATGCTTAAAACAATTTGCAATGGTTTTTCCGCTACCTTTTTCCAAGCTCTATGAATGAAATTGACTGCATCTAAGAGATTTATAGAAAATGTGTCATTTTTATCGATCGCCTCTAACATTTTCATAACAAGAATTTTTCTGCAATGACATTTGAGCGAATGTATTACTCCTTGATCCATAGGTTGGAGCTTCGCACTTGTGTTCGGTGGCATAAAAACTAACTTGATTTGTTCTAATTTAACATCAGGGTGAGCGGGACAGTTGCCGACTAGAAGTACAATTTTTCGGTTTTTAAGCTTTAGTTTCTCATCCGATTGACGCAATTCAGTTCTAAAAATGCCCGATGTCATCCAAGCTTTGCCGTTTGTTTTGTAGTTTACTGACAAAATCTTGTTTTTGAAACATCTAGGATGAGTTGACTTTCCTATCACCAATAACTTTATTTTTTCTGTTCCCGACATGTTTGCCGCCACCAAAACTGAAAGGCGTTCTTTAGATAACTTGCCCTCAGCACATTTTTCACCGACAAATTTTAGTGTTGCGTCGGGCGTTAGTTTATAAAATAGGCCCATTTCGTCAGCATTAAAAATATCTTTGTACTCATAACTGTCTCGGATGGTGGGCCATACATTATGCAACCAATTTTTGACCACATTCATGGTCACACCGGCAGACTCTCCAACAATTTTTCCGCTACTGATATTATACCTCTTCTTGAACCGCTCTACSCAACTTCTAGAACAARCAAACTCTTTGTTTTTGATTTTACTCCCYATTTCAYTAGYCTTTTCTTGMAAAACACTGCCASTTATGGGAACGTTTTCTTGTCTTTTTTGAGTTAACCACTTAAYAAGCCCTTGTCAACCTCTTCATGTGCAGATAATTTTAACTTCTTACATCTAACATTTGTTTTGYCATACGCTGATAAAAYGTTTTCTCTGTTTTTCCATATTGTTGCAACAGTMGACTTCCAAGTGCTAATTCCTTACAAATGCCACTCTGCTTTACTCCACTTTTTATTTTGTTAATAATCAATTTGTACTTTTTATTTAGTGAAAAAGCTTTGCGTTTTTGTTTTTCCATTCTAAAACGATTTACATACATAACGCGGCAAAAAACAAGTCACTGCCGGTCTCTCGCTCTCACTAATATAAACAACTCCGCACGATTGGTGTTGCCGAGCGTGGAAGTTCGTTATAAACGGAAAGTGAATATACAACTAACCCAAAAAGTGATCGTTATATCCGGAAGTTTTTTATAAACGGGTTTGTTATAACCAGTAAAAAAATAGGCCTTTATGGATGACGTTTCAATTAAAGGAAAAAAGTTAGTTTTAACTGAAAGTTCACTATAACCGGGTTCATTATAAGCKGACTTTACTGTATTTGGTACAACAAGTACCMATATTTAGATTAGAAAATAATTTWTTAATATTAAGTACTTTTCAATTCCCGAATAACTCGTAATGTTTTCMCGTTCACTATCATTATTGTCGAATTTGGTCTGATTTTTTCATTTCCCAACTATTTATATCGCTATTCAAAGTGGTTGGGCGCTCGCCCGGCCCCAACGCCACCACTGGGGTTCAGTTGAGTTCAAAATCAAATTTTGCAACCCCCAGCACCAGTTTAGGACTGTTTCTACTGCCTCAAAATTGCTTTTGACTCTAAAGCTGTATTTTCTAAATGCATATGCAAATCGCAAAAACAACCAGCCAATCACCTCATGATGCAGGTCACCAAAACCATAAAAAGTATGGTTTTGGTACCACCTGTGCAGGTGATTAACCTGTTGATTGCGAGACATTGCGACCACTGTAAAAGACCGAAAGGAATTGATAAATTCACACAGAAAACTGTTACCTGGTTTTCCTTGAACCACCACCGACGGTACCAAAAATCAACGCCAACACCATAAACTTTCACTTCATATGTTCATGTGAGAGCAGTTTTTCCTGATCTTTAACAGCAACAGACGGACACGACAGTACCACTACTGGTGGTTAACTTGCAAGAATTTTACGTCAATGTTGTGGAACGTTAACAAGTTGTTAACGAATGCAGTTCAATACCGATAGCAAGTAAAACACTTAGCGGAACGAGTTTCAAAAGTTCTCAGCCTTTTTGAGTGTTCAGGTACGCATTAGATTGAATCAAGCTTTACCGGTGGTCTGATAGTAACCCGGGCAACCGCGTCTCTAAGCCATGACTTGTATGTTCGATCGGTATTTGAGGCACACAGGATAATATCATATAACGACAACAATTGTTTTGCACGGAAAAATGGCTTTTTACTGAACGGACCGCTCAAAGATAACGTGAGCGTTGCAACCTAGGGTTAATTGAGCACAAATTTTGAGATTTCAATAATTTAACTGAGATCATGTGAAGCGCAGTCCGGCAACCGCACATACATTTTCCGAAAGTCTGTGTCGATTCAAGATCTATTTGAGGCAAAAATTGACTGATCTTTGGCAGGAAAATGAACAAGGCAGTTCAATTTTCCAAGGTTTTCCAGTGGCTGATTTTGTGGCAAATATGACTTGTAAAACCAATGGTAATTATTGATAACAATTTCTTTATACTACGTAGTTTCTTAAGGGCTACCAGTTAAAATATTAAACTCTGTATACATGTTTAGGTCTCGCACCTTTAATGAATTTAGGGAACCGATGAAATGATTGAAACTACATAGTTTTCACGTAAAAAAAGCCACGCCTCTTAAGACTTTTTGAAAAAGTTGATAATTTTCGACTAATTTTGATGGGATTTTCTACACTTTTTAAAAAAGAGTGATTTTTTTTGGCAGAAAGTAAGTACTTATAATGCTGTAACGAGCGTCCAAGTTCATTACCAAGTCGGTCTATTTGTTCATGCATATATTTGTTGAAAACTAATGGCTGAAAAAATCTCTGTTGAAAAAAAAAGACTGGGAAAAGTCTCGAAAAGACCGCACTTTTTCACTTAAAAATTCTCCTCTTCCGATAAGCAACTTGAGAAAAACATTAACACCGGCAAAGTCTAGACATGCTGAACCAACAAATTACGAAGTCATCAAAAAGGGCGAAAACCCGTCAACTGTGTCAATATTGAGAAAATTGAAATAGGAAGATGTTTATTTACTGTTGATGTGGAGTGAATGCAAATATTTGCATCTAAATAATAATACAGAGCATAAATTTGATTCATTTGGTTCCTGCTTTAATAACTTTTTCCAGACATTCGCCATCGGATCAACATTTTCCTTAAAATGTTCATGTTTCCATTATGAATCATGAAGTAATAGGCCCTGTGCAATGATGTGGAGTAAATGCAAATATTTGCATCTAAATAATAAAACAGAGCATAAATTTGACTCATTTGGTTCTTGCTTGAATAACTTTTTCAAGACATTCGCCATCGGATCAAGATTTTCCTTAAATTGTTCACGTTTCCATTATGAATCATGAAATAATAGGCCATGTGCAAGTTTACTTGCAAATATTTGATGTGTTCAACATTTCATATTTTTAAGAAAAACATCAGTTATATTCATTGAGGATTGTGACAACATTGATGTGCTTTTGCTTAAAAGTTTCAAAAACAATGCGCCTACTCGCGCTTCTATTCACGCAGAATAGTTATGTTTTTATGGAAAAATTTGCGTATTTACTATGTTGAGGTCTCGTAGCTTTACTTAATGAATTTAGGGATCCGACTTTTTTTCTGCCAATTTTGAGACAACATCGGCAGTTTTGATTAAAACTACATAGATTTCACGTAAAAAAAGCCTCTTGAGACTTTTTCAAACAGTTGATGGTCTTCGCCTAATTTTGATGGCATTTTCTACACTTTTTAAAAAGGAGTGATTTTGTTCGGGCAGTTGAAAATTAATGGCTGAAAAAATCTCTGTTGAAAAAAAAAGTCTCGAAAAGACCGCACTTTTTCACTTAAAAACTCTCCTCTTCCGATAAGCAACTTGAAGATAACATCAACAACGAGGAAAATCTAAACATGCTGAACCAACAAATTACGAAGTCATCAAAAAGGGCGAAACCCCGTTAACTGTGTCAATATTGAGAAAATTGAAATAGAAAGATGTTTATTTACTGTTGATGTGAAGCAAATGGAAATATTTGCATCTAAATAATGAAACAGAGCATTAATTTGATTCATTTGGTTCCTTCTTTAATAACTTTTAACGAGCGTCCAAGTTCATTGCCAAGTCGGTAGATTTGTTCATGCACATATATCTTCAAAAAAGTTGAAAATTAATGACTGAAAAATTCACTCTTGAAAGAAAAAACGAAAGACTGATTCATTTGGTTCTTGCTTTAATAACTTTTTCAATACATTCGCCATCGGATCAAAATTTTCATTAAAATGTTCAGATTTCCATTATGAATCATGAAATAATAGGCACTGTGCACGTTTATTTGCAAATATTTAATGAGTTCAAAATTTCATATTTTTAACAAAAAGCATCAGTTATATTCATTGAGGATTGTGGCAAAATTGCTGTGTTTTTGCTTTAAAATTTCAAAAACAATGCGCCTACTCGCGCTTCTACTCAAGCAGAATAGTTATGTTTTAATGGAAAAATTTGCGTCTTTACTAGGCCCCAGTGTATACTTTTACAGCTTGCTTAGGGGTTTTAAAATTTTCATTCAAATTCCGTTTCTTTCTTCATCTGAATGGTAATTCGCTTCATAAAATGAAGAAACACTCTGTATAAAAAGTTTAGACACGCTAATAAGCAAATGAAACAGCAAGAAAATCCGAATTAGTCTTATCGGAATATTTGTTCGAACACGGAACAATAAGCTCTTTGCTTGTTACTTATTAATATGCGAAATGCAACAGAACGAAGAGAACTTTGACTCAGATATTTTGTTTTGATCGTACGATTTTCTTATTTTATAAAGGCAAAGTTCAATGTAGCGTGCAGATTGTTGCTTTATTTATTCCGCTTTATTAATTGGAGGATTTAGTGAGTGCAAAGATCTCTAGGATGGTGCTAAAACTATCTTATGTGATCCAGTTGGGGTACAAAAGAAACTCTATGACTGGCTCATGTAGAAATATGATTTATAGGAGTTTTGGTAAGTTATCAAGAAATTCCACGTCGTTTCTGCATTATGAGATTAACGCATAATAACGATAACTTCTTACTATTTCATTATACAACTAGTGAGTTCAATGCAGTTGACGGGTGTAAGTAAGTCGTTGATTGGTCGTTTGATTTAGGTAAGCAAACAATCTTTTGTCTTTTTTTATCTGCGTGTTAACAAAAGATGTAGCAACTAGGGGGAGTAATCGATAAACTCGCACTAGGAATGTGGCCTTTGATAAACTCAGGTTTTTTGCGCAAGATCGTTTTTTCGGTCTCCTACTCGTTCACGTGAGCAATCGGTCAAATTTCTACAGGATGCTCACGTGATACGAACGAAGTCCCACAGGAGCTTTAGGAAGAGCGCGCATCCCACCACTTATCGACCAAACTGTGTAGCATTGCAATTTCCTGAACCTCCATTCGTTCATTTTCGTTCGAATCTTTGTATGATTTGTACGTTATTGTCAATATTCTCTTTATTTTCGAGAGCAATGGCTGCTAACGCTGAAAGAACGTTCATCATGGTAAAACCCGACGGTGTCCAACGGGGCCTGGTAGGGGAAATTTTGAAAAGATTCGAACAGAAAGGCTTCAAACTGGTTGCTTTGAAATTTGTCTGGGTAAGTGAACCAGTAATTACCCTTATTACCTTTACCCATGCAATTTTTAACCGTTAATCGAGCTACTTACTACCAAAGGTGTGTCGTAAACAGCAATTTACTCACATGTTCCTTAATTAGTCCTTAAATTACTAAGGATTTAACCTCAAATGTGCTTACTAAACCGGCGTGGCTTGATAAGTCATTAACTACAATATGGCCATTTTATGTAACTAATTAGGTTCTGGGTGTTAAAAACGTTGTAAATTCATAAACGGAGACCAAAGTACTAAACTTCAAGAATGCGGCACATTTTTAATGGAAAAAAAGGAACACTGGGTCTTCAAGAGAGGAAATCATGCCGGCATATTCATAAATTAAGTGAAAAATTGCGAACGTAGCACCTTTATAAAGGGTATTTAAAGGCCAATGTTGTATGGGGTTTTAGGAGCACCCACTTAGCCAAGTAGTTTAAGGAAAAGCGTTGCTGAATATTCCTAAACTAGACGAAAAATGTAAAAATTCGCGAACGTAGCAGATCATTTAAAGAAAAACATTTGCGGAATATTAGTCAACCAAGTGAAAAATGTTAAAATTCACAAACGCAGCACCAATTTAAATGGTATTTAAAAGCGCCTTTGGTTTCGTTTAGCGACTACTAGGCCTGGGTAACAGTGAATTTGAAGGAGTTGGCACAGTGCTGCGCAAATGGCTTGGTGCGCCAACCCAACGCACTGGCGCAGTAACTCAGTAAAACAGTAAAGTATTTATTAATATTGTTAAAGTTTCTTCAAAATTTCAGAACTTCAGTTTTAGCAAATTTTACTTAAAAATACTGACATCTTATAGTAACGAAAACACTCAAACAAACCTCCTTCCTCACTTTGTAAGAAGTTTTGAAATTGGGACAAAAATCACATAAGTTTTTATGAAACAAAGAACAGAATGAAGCGAAAGTTTATAATAAATTATTTGTAAAACTCGTCACTCCCATGCCGCTGAAAACTGTATTTTTTTAGTTTTGACTGAATTTTTTTCTTGCTTTGTTTTCTACTCAAAAACGCTCTATTTTGTAGAGTTTCACCTAAAAATACTGACAATCTGGAGCTCTTTTACGCGAAAAATTACAAAACAAATTTATAGCTTTGTAGAAATTTTACAAAACCTTTTTAAGCGTCGAATTCGAGACGAAAACGAAAATAAATGTCTTCCTTTTTTTCCCGAAAATCACTAAGGTTTTGTTAAAAACCGATCAGGAAACTGAAAGTTTTTAATCAAAAGCTGAAAAACCGTTATTTTCTGATGCTTTTTTTGACAAGTATGGTGTCTTCAGCAAAAAATTACAAAATTAATTTTGTTAGAAAATTCACCTCATTAATCGCTTTGTATTGCGTAAGTTTTTGTTAAGCAATTTTTTCTGCCCAAAACACATTATTTTCTAAACTTTTATTTGAGAACGCTGATAATCTTATTTCAATTATGAATTAAGTTTCATTGAAAACACTCGCCTCCTGAACCGCTTCGTGAACAGTTTTCGAAGATCTTTTGCAGCTTCGAATTTTGAACAAATTCAATAATTTTTGGAATGTATTTGGAAAACTCGTCAACTTTGTCGATGTGAATAATTTGGTTTTTTAAATTCCGGTTTCTTCAATTTTAGGTCAATATTTCTAAACAAAACTCTATTTGAATAGAAAAACGCGCTTTTTGCTAACATTTTACCTTAACATAGTGGCAAACTGAGTCTCATGCAAAAATTAAGAGATTCATTTTACAAGAAAACTCGTTGTCTCTATAGTGTGGTCTTCTTTTTGTATCTTTTTCCAATACCCGTTTTACTTCGAATTTTTTACGTGTTAGCGAGTTAAAGGATATTCCGGAATATTTATAAATCAAGTGAAAAATATTAATATTCGCGAACTTTGCACCAGTTTAAAAGGTATTTAAAAGCAAAATTTGGCTTTAGGGGTTTCTGGGTTTAAAGAGAAATATTGCGGAGTATTCATAAACTAACCGAAAATTAGTAAAATTCGCTCAATCAATCATTTTCTAACGATACTTAAAGGCTAAAGTTCGGTCAAATTTATTTTTCTTTAATTTTTAAATCTTTAAATTGAACCGAATGTGGAAAATCTTATACAGGGAGTTCGTAGATGACACCGAAATTTTTCTACTAGTCAAAATGTACTTACGGTTTCTGCTAAAATTAAAAACTTGGACAATTTTTACAATACTTACAATTACTTTTTTTGTGTTAATTAGTGCAGATTTCAGTCACGGTTAGTAGATATTGCCAATACTTTTTTCTTTGCGACATTTATTTTTAAAATGTTTTGGATGCTCATTAAAATACCTCTGAGCGATTTTTTAAATCTTTCAATCTTTTGATCAACAACAGATTAATCGAAAGGTACTTCTTCACATTAACACACGTATACGCTTAAAGCTACGTTCTCAAATTAATTATTTTGAAAGTTTCTTGGCTTGATCCATGAATATTTATCAGCTTTTTTAATTCACTAATTTGTTTTTAATATTCTACCATCTTTTCTGTTAATTTTTTTTGTTTTGCCTTTGTTCACACTGTCGGGAATTTCGCAGAATCTACTACTTCTTACCTAGTTTGTTCTCTGCATTGACGACAATTTCGCTTAAATGGTTTGAATATTGCATAAAACGCTAGCATAGAGTACGTTGACAACATTTTCATCAGCATTTGGGACAAGAAAATCAGAAGACTTGCAATCTTCATTTTCGTTGGCATTAAAGCATGGAAAATACTTCAAAAATTAACATATAAAATCGGAATTTTTGTATGTTTACTGATTTTTTACATTAACATATTTCTTTTATTATTATGATTTTCTAACATTATTTTGCAACTTCCATAGATCAGCTCGCTGCTGGCTTCAATTTAATGTAAAAAAAGTCCAAAGAAATTATTTTTTATTTATTCGATTACCTGAAAAAAGAAGATATTCTCGAATTCAAGATATCGAGGTAATTATACCGGACTAAGCTGCGTGAATTGAAAATCTTGGTATTAAAAATTACAATAATGGGTGCCATTTTCAAGAGCTCTATCAAGAATACTAAGCGATTGATTAATCAATCAATCAATAACTCATTATTTTTTGGTGGTGGATTAATGTTTTTTCAAGCCATTAATGCACGTTTATCACCTGACCGGGAGTGGTAATAGACACAACAATCACGCGATTAATTAAATAAGAGAAATATGAATTGACCCCTGAAATGTTCACATTTTAGCCCTCAGAAGAACTTCTGAAACAGCATTACGCTGACTTAGCTGGACGTCCATTTTTCCCTGGTCTAGTCAAGTACATGTCGTCTGGACCAGTAGTGCCCATGGTGTGGGAAGGACTAAATGCAGTGAAAACCGGCCGTGTATTGTTGGGAGCCACCAACCCTGCCGACAGTGCCCCTGGAACCATTAGGGGAGACTTGTGTGTCCAGGTATAATTTGCTTCAATTCGCTCTCAACATTTTGTAAGTTCCGTATTTCTCCTCTTAGGTGGGCAGAAACATCATTCATGGATCTGACGCTGTAGAGTCGGCAAATAAAGAAATCGCTCTTTGGTTCAACGAGAAAGAGGTCGTTTCTTGGCAGCCAGCCCAACAACCCTGGGTATACGAAGACTAAATGGTTTTTAAAAATTGCTAGTTTAAATCCCGAAAACTAGATCAGTTGCATTTGTCTTACCTAAAGTGCTCGATTTTGTAAGATTTTATTTTATTTATCAAAACCCAATAAAATATTGGTCACATTTCATTGGTGTTTCATTCAAGAATTAATAATAAACCAAACCTTTTATTGGCAAAAGTGCTAGTGATACAAAAACTTGCACCTGAATATTCGCTTGTTGGAATGGACAAGGTCCAAAACATTCCTGAGTTTAAAAAATCCAAGTCTTCATTGCAACTGAGTTGAAGATTCTCTAGTCCTAAATATTTTAATTGGAGTGTCACTGAATAGTCTGCAGATTAAAATCAATTTGCAACGACGCGCATACTAAAAGTCCACAATCTATAAAATAATCAGATGTCTTTCCACTCCGCCTTCCTTACTTCACATTTCCTCGCTAACCAACATTTATTTCAACACCATCTATAAGAAATTGCAAATAAACACATATTTTTTTTAATCCGTTTAATTAAAATCTTTTTTACCCGACAATCTTTTCAAGATCACTATCGGGTTCCAGTTTGACCTCAGGCAAATAGAATTCCTGCGACCTTTTCCTCTTCGATTTTTTTTCGCCTACCCCCGACTCTTGAACCTTTGTGCTGAAGTCATTGTCAGCATCGGCAAATAGCGACTTCATATCCAGGGACTCCAACGAAACCTCACGATCGCTATCCTTTCGCTTGTTTTTGCGCTTCTTTGGCGATGCTTCCTTAACTGAATCCTCGGAAACGTTAAGTTGACTGTCTTCCAAAGTCTTCTGTTTGTGCTTGCGTTTTTCCTTCTGGGGGCTTCCTTCGGTTTGGCTAATTTGCGATGTTTCTGCACCATCATCGAGGTGATCTTCCTGTTTGTTTTTGCGATGTTTCTTTCTCGGTGGTTGGGATTCTTCGGTTAAAGATTCACTTTCTTCATTTGTTTGGATTGGACGTTGCGATCTAAAATCATTAAGGGCATATATATTCAAGAAACCTTAATTAAAATGGAATTGAACGAAGTCATAAGTGGTAGGTACTTTTTGGGTTTCCTATATTTGCTCGCTTGCATTATCTTGGGTGGTTCGTTGACAACAGTCTGTTCAGCACTATTGTCTTCGTTATGAAATACGGTTTTTTTATTCTTCTTCTTCAACTTAGTTTGTGCGATAACGGCACCACTTTCCCCAATAATTGATCTAAAATGGTGATGAAAATGTTGAGATATCGAAGATCGCCCTGCATATTATGCAGTTGTAGTACTATATATTGTCTAACAATTTAAGTAATTTTGTCTATAATTTCATTAAATATTTTTTGTGTAGGTATATGAGGTATATGTAGTGATATATATATTATTGGAAAAAGTTCTTACTCTATTTCCCCACGAATATGTGGTAAGCGGGCAAGTAGATTAACGTGAGTTATTTGGAATTGAACCTCACTGCCCACATTGACTCTTGAGCCCAGCCAAGAATCGTCGTCGCTTTCAGTTTTGGGTAAAGAGACATTAAACGTTTTGTAGGTCAGACAACCCACATGATCCTTAGTTATCCTGGTCACTGTGCCTAGAGCAAATAAATGGCTCCTGTAAAGACCGTATCACTGGAATGAAAGTTTCTAATGTTACCTTTTAGAACCATCTCGAGCTTGGGTCTAAAAATGAAAAAGTCCGCACTAACATCCATGTGAATGTAGTAGCTGTCGGAGCCTATGAGCCCGATATCGGAATGGAGTTTAATGTTCCGGAACCCAAGCAAGATTCCATCAAAACTGCAAAAACCCCAGTCTATTTAAGGATACGGATGAAATAAAGACTGTAGACTTACGGTTCATCGTATCTGCCAATCTTTTTACTCAATTCGTCTTTGATGGCCTGGTCGTAATCTATAAGCTGTGCAGGGTGCAAACAAATGTGATATTTACAATGTTGTTCGAAAACTCCACTGTCTGGCTGAACAGTTAATTCTTTTAAATATTTTTTGTTGAATTTTAGTTGATTGGCACTAAAAACTCCCTTTGTTGAACAAGGTTTCATGATGTTAAAGCTGAATAATTTGATTTATTAACTTATAACTACGAAAAAGCGATACATGCATATAAAGTTGGGTTAGAGGAAACAGGATTGTGGTTAATGACACCACTGCAGAACACCTCTGAACCACGATTTAAATGTCTAGTTTGGCGTTGTTGCCCGTTAAATTTGGCAATGCCCTTAGTAGGGCACTTTATTTGAAACTGTTTGAAGAAACGGAATTAAACACATGCTTCCTTTCTAATGTTTTCTCAGGTTTAATTTATTTAAAATCAAACTAGGCCCAGCCACCATACAGGTCTAATAAACTGGCACTGAAAATTGATTTGCTTTAAAGTTTAAAAGAATTAAGAAACTAGAATAAAGCCTTGAATCAAACACTTATGCTCTAAAAATTGAATTAATTTGATCACTATCTAGCAAAGGTTGAAAAACATACCTATCTGTTCTCAAAATCGATATACAGGATGGCAAAAAAATTGTGGTCCGCTTATTGCGCCCATAACGCATTTAAAGCGGTTATCTCTAGTTCCTCATATTATTATGGTAGAATAGGATTTATTATGTTTAAAAACTCATGTATATTACATCACTCCGTTTTAATCACACCGTTTTAAGCCTAAAACATTTTTTTAATGATTCAACTTGGACTTGGACTTGGATGGACTAAGGAAATTTTAATTAATATCTACTTATGAGTAAATTATGAATTTCTCCTTTTTTCTTGAAATACGCTACTGATAAAATCTTCATATTCCTATCTGTCTTAGATCTGAAGAAATAAATTTTTGAAATCAAGAGAACAGAGTTCAGCTAAGTTTCAAACGTAAACCAGTTTAATTTTTTCCCAAATTTCACACTAAAGAGTCGCCGATTTTCCTGTTTTTCTTAACAGACAGCAACCCATTAGAAAGCTTTTGCTCAGAATGACTTCGTTTCGGCTAAAATCATTTTTGAAATTAAATCAGTAGCTAATTTAGTATGCAAAAATTAAAAAAATTCCCAAATCACTCGCTAAAAAGCTATCGATGTGTCTTTTTCTTATCACATGCCTGTAGGCAACTTTTGGTAAAATATTATTTTCCTCACCTGACTTCAACAAAAAACATATTTTTTAAAATATGTTCCAAGCTCTGAGCGAACTTTTTGAAGTAGAAACTTCTCTCTTTATTTCTGTAGGCAGTAACCAATGATTTTTATGTGAATTTCAAATTACTCATTAGATAAATTTCAGTAAAATCCCTCTTTATCTCCGTATATGTTTACGTTTTCTGTTCCGGAGAAAATTCTTTCACCATCGAACGCACAGAGTTTAGAAAACCTGGCAAAGCAATTAAATTTCAAAAATACTCAAAATCTCTTACTTAAGATCTACTGACTTGCTTTTTTTTACTTTAACATGGATTTTTAAGTAAAATCTCCATGTTTTAATCAATCTTGGTTCCAGCAAGAACATTTTTGAAATTCAAGTGCACAAGGCGGTGTCAACGTTGGAAAGAAGCGAGTTTTCTAAAATGGCCCAAAACTCAATCTAAGGCGCTATGAATTTGCCATGTTGCCTGAATATTCAGTTATTTATTGAGTAACTTGTACAATTTACATGTCTCAATCTATCTTAGCTAACAATTTTTGAAATCATTGTGTTATATTGTGTGCACTAGAATAAATATACCTAGTTGGCAAAGGAGCAAAATTTCGAAAAATTTAAAAAATCTTCCAATACAGGCTCTTGATTTGTTTATTTCTCTAAACACGGTAACTTATTAGACAAATTTTCGTAAAAGGTCTATATTCCCAAATGACTGGGATCGAGAGAAAACAATTTTCGAAATCGAGTCCACAGAGTTGAGACAAATTTTCAAACACAAAATTTCAGAAAAACTTCCAAATCTTCTTGCTAACAAACTTCTGGTAAAATTGTCAGGTCCATAACTAACTTGGTTGCGGCGAAAACAATTTTTAAAATCAGGTTTAGCAAACTTTCCATAGTAGAAAATTACGGAAATTCTCCAAATCGCCCCCCTTAACAGCAAATTATTGAATTTTTTAAATCAATATACAGCTTCTGTATGGCTAACTCGGAGACAAACCTACAAGGGTTTATCTCTATTGGTTTCGCAGAAAATAATTTTTGAAAATAAATTAACCAACCGTGCAAAGTTAACAATTGCAGGGGGAGAATTAAAGTCTGAAAATATTTTATTAAAGCCCTAACAATTTGATTTATCCAATTATTCTTAATCGGCTCATCAGCTAACGTTTCGTAAACTCGCCATGTCTCTTTGCTTTGGTTTTTGCAAAAACATTTGCTTTAAATTCGATGCACAAAGTTACGTCGACTTTCTGAGTCAGAGAGTTTTCAAAAAATTGCCTAATTTTCTTCTAAACAGCTAAAAAATTGCATTTTTTTCTGTTTCTATTAACGAAACCGACCCATTAAGAAAATTTTGATGGAACCTGCATGTTTCAGTCTGGATTTGGTTGATGCCAAAATAATTGTAGAAATCATCCTGGTGAGTTCGCTTTTCAAAGTAGCAAAACTTCCAATACGTGGAAAACTTCCCACTAAAGATGGATTTGCGGTATTCTCTAAATATAGAGCCACTGATAAGGTAATTTTTGTAAAACTTCCATGTCCTAAACCGACTTGGTTCCGGAGAAAACAATTTTTGAAATCGAGTTGAGTGACAACATTGCAAGCACAAAATTCCGAAAAAAAATCTAATCTACTAAATAGATMATCAGATTTTCATCAGAATATACAGCAGCTCATTAAGWATCTTCTGGTAGAATTCCCAKGTCCCGAACTGAGTTGGTTTCCGAGAAAACAATTTTTAAAACCTTGGTAAGTAAGAAAGTTTCAAAAATTCTCCTCTCAAAATTTCTAATTAAGTGTTAAAATTCTCCAAAATCTTTCGCTAAAGTGCGAACAATTTGAACTCATGAGTCTCAATCCGCCCATCAGCAAACTTTTGGTGAAATTTTCATGTCCCCGATTGAACTGGTTTGTGGCTAAAAAAATTTTTCAATTCAATGGTTATTTTCACAAGTAAACTTCCCATAACTCCACAAATCCCTCACTAAAAATCTAACAATTTTTCTGTTTTTTTGAACATACAGCTACCCATTGCGTAACGGTTTGTAAAATAATGATATTCCCGTTTGGCCTGATTCCCCAAAAACAATTTTTGAAGTCGGATTGAGCCAACTTTGCAAAGTGAAAAGCTAAAAAAATCCTACAATCTTCCCCTAAAGAGTCCACAAGTTGATCTCTCGTTTCCGCTGCACATTAATAAACGGTTGATTAAATCTCATGTCTTTGACTGCCTTTTTTTGGAAAATTTTCTTCAAAATAAGTGCGCCCGATTCAGTCAACCTCACAAAGTAGATAAAAGAGCCACCCATGAGCTTGCTTTTGGTAAAATGCCCTGGAACCCATTATAGTGCCAGCTTTGCAAACTAGAAGACTTTAAAAAAAATTAACCAGCCATCAATCACCGCTGCAAAATAAAATCACCAGCCTTAAAACACCCTGTATATCAGTGGATTTGTGTTCTTGTGGCTTGTTAAAATTTGACCGATTTTCGCGTAATTTGCCTATGCCCTAAACATTAGATTCTTTAGGTGTAAAACAGTTTAATAGTGATTTAGAATGGTCTTAATCTGATTTGTACGCGCTTGAAACACACCATCCGACCTGCACATGCACTTTACACCGCAGGAAAACTCGGAAAGGAAAATATCGACGTTTAGGGGTTGCGCTCTCGCATCCAGGAAATCAATCGGGCTAAGGGTGAACGTGAATAAACATGGCGGATATCGAGTTCGAGCAGTTTGGGCAGAAGTTCGGCAAGAATTACATTTGCAATACCACTAACACATCGCCTTTTTACTCGTAAGTTTGCTAAGTTTCCCCGTCAGTTGAATCGACGAATTTTTCATCCCCTGCCTTCGAGAGTTGGTCTTATTGGAACTAACTCGATAAAAAGGGCTTTGATTTGGATACTCCCGATCTACTTGTGCAATTGAGAATCTTCTCTTATATCTTCCCAGATTAAATCTTACTTAAAACTTCCTCACATGAAATTAACATGTAATGTGTGGTCGATTTTAGGATAGTCCCAGTTGATGAAGACTCTCCGTCATCCAATTCCCCATCTCCAGATATTGACGTCAATGACTGTGATAACATCCAGGAGACCGGCTCAAGCTTACCGCGTACGTCACAAGTTGGTAAGACACTGCTCAATACAGTTGGACTTTCGATGACTAATTTTCCGGCAAGCAGATAAAGATGACTCCCAGTTGAGTGAAACGTTCTGCAGAGGAACAGTGTCATCCTCTTGGAAGGGCGAAAGGAGGCGCAGGAAACTACCGGAAATTCCAAAAAATAAAAAATGTTTGTGAGTGAAACAGAGACACGCAGGTTGAAAAACTGTGAATTTTCAGCTACAATGGTTACACTGTACAACACTCAAAGCTCGATATCACGCGATGTGTCTTTGGCTGAGGAATTGGGCAGCGGTGTAGGATCTAGTGGCCCCAGTTCCATGCTGGTGCTCAAGTGCGGATACCTTTGGGACGAATCTCCAGAATCAGATAGGTTAGTGTTCCAGTATCCATGTGAACGCATTTTCAGACATTCAGTTGTAGATTGTTAACCGATGCAGATAGTGGACATTCTACGGCTCATTCTCCTACAGGAACCGACGGGCCTAAATCCATGTCGCCGCTTATGGGCAGTAGTCTTTCAATGGTAGGAGGCATGGTGTATAATGATGTTGATCTGTTGGAAGCCACACATCGGTAAGATTAGTTAAAGGAAAGTCTCAAGTTTGAGGGACTTTTTACCGAGTTTTGCCCACATAATCTACAGGATTTCAGTTGAAAGGGTTTTCTCAGTTCGCATTTTTCATCACACTAAAATCCCATTTTAAATGGATCCATTTATTAAAATATGTTAGAGGTAGAGAAGACCAGTTTGAAATCTAGAATAGAGGTAGAAGTTTCAGCTGAACTTAGTTTTACAAATATTTAAAAATGCACGAATTTATAGAAGTTTTTTAAATGTCTGTATATATGTCTAATATTTTGAAAGGTTTTCAGAACACTTCGCTGCCTACAAGACTAAAAAAATAAAAACAACCTAATGAGTTGTTAAAAAAACTTTTATTGATTGAGTAACTTGTACAATCTACATGTCTCAATCTGTCTTAGCTAACAATTTTTGTAATCATTTTGTTATATTGTGTGCACAAGAATAAATACCTAGTTGGCAAAGAAGCAAAATTTCGAAAAATTAAAAAAATCTTCCAATACAGGCTCTTGATTTCTTTATTTCTCTAAACACGGTAACTTATTTGACAAATTTTCGTAAAAGGTCTATTTTCCCAAATGACTGGGTTCGAGAGAAAACAATATTCGAAATCTAGTCCACGGAATTGAGACAAATTTTCAAACACAAAATTTCAGAAAATCTTCTTGCTAACAAGCTCTAACGATTTGCCTTCTCTCTAAATATGCAGCAGTCCATTAGGTAACTTCTGGTAAAATTGTAACGTCCTTTACTGACTAGGTTGCGGCGAAAACAATTTTWAAAATCAGKTTGAGGAAACTTTCCGTAGTAAAAAATTACGGAAATTCTCCAAATCGCCCCCCTTAACAGCGAAATATTGAATTTTTTCAATCAATATACAGCTTCTGTATGGCTAACTCGGAGACACAACTACAAGGGTTTACCTGTATTGATTTTGCAGAAAACAATTTTTGAATTGAAATGAACCAACCGTGCAAAGTTAACAATTTCTRAAGGAGAGTTAAAGTCTGGAAATCTTTAATTAAAGCCCTAACTATTTGATTTATCCAATGATTCTTAATCGGCTCATCAGCTAACGTTTCATAAACTCGRCATGTCTCTATCTGATTTGSTTTTTGCGAAAACATTTGCTTTAAATTCGGTGCACAAAGTTACGTCGACTTTCTGAGTAAGAAAGATTTAAAAAAAATGCCTAATTTTCCTACATAATCTACAGAATTTCAGCTGGAAGGGTTTTCTAGGTTCGCATTTTTCATCACACTTAAATCCCATTTTTAAATTTTAACAAACTGAAAAAGCAAATTTGCTCTGATTTATGGTCCATCTTATAGCAGAAGAAAATGCGGATTAGACTAGYAGAAAAATTTACAGGATTTATTTGTTGATCATCAGRCAACTTTTGGCCATTTTACAATTTAAGCTGCTTTTAGCCTCATTYGTTYAATTGAATTTATTTAGCTTGGAATTMTTACAAAACAAATAGTCAACTGTACATATTATTATTAGTGSAGGTTTCGAATGTCCATCATCATCGGCTTTTTAGGAACATTTTTTAAATTTCGACCARTTTWTYAAAATTTTGCACGATTTTTTCATGGAAAGCAGGGCCTAAAGTTTCGGATCTCTGGCTTCAWCAGGCTATTATGTACAAATTTTTGATCTGCTCSATCATATCTTTAAAGATTGAATTMTCAGTTGTTAAAAGAGGTWAAACAACAAGACGGAAATCATACGTATTTTAATCTCCAAAAGTTTYGATTATCTGYTTCGTTATTATCAATTCTGCACTCGTTWCTATACTATACTATACGWTRAATTCYAAAGATTACWAAAAGCAAAAYTGATTCAGAATAGTAAAATAACCAAAAAGACATACAGATTTCCATTCTGGCAGGTTTTTCTTTCGCATCATCATCAGGAAATCATCGACACGTTTGAGTTGSTTTTGAAAAWTTTGTGGACATTAATTGAATAAAAAACTTTCATAAACAAAAAATAATTAGACAAGATTRATRATTCTTTAAGTAGGCAAATATGCAGATTAMAACATTTACAGATTTTGGTTGTGTTTAATCACAATTAATAATATTTTTTAAATGTTMCGTGAATARTATAAGCTGCATYTTTWAAGTCTTTTCCAAGTAATTCTTGAAAATTAAATGCTCAAAACGCTGAATKCTCAAAACGCTCAAAATGTTGAAATTTCTTCAAATTTTTTGAAGTTTYCCCGTTTTCACCATATTTGTTTGATCATAATATGGCCAAAAAATCGTACGTTTGYAGCCTTTGATGAAAATTTCGGATATCTGCCTYCATAAGTTMATTTTTTAAAWTTTYAGTGTGATTTTGTWATGTGGTGSATTAATASAGACAGAAAAGTRCTTTTTATRCTTTGCRGACGTTTCGATTGWTCGTCATCATCAAGCTGCTTTGRACAAATYRTCAATTTTAAACTGCTGTTACCAAKTGGTTTCCATCGCTTGTTTCAACCTGCTCTTGATGGAAATAAAAAAAMTATWCAGCAGTTTTGATTGGAACAATAAGACTTTTGGTATTAAGATAACAGATTTTTTTTTTAAAGTGGCTGACAGTTTCAGCTTTAACTAAAAACTTTTCTATTTCAAGCAGTTTTAAAAAATTACGGTACGAAAATTCTGCTCAGAATAAAATACTAAACAAAGGCATTTTTTGATTGATTGATGATGAAAATCGTATTATCGTCTGGTCTTTGAATATCTGAAAGTTTCTATTACCCGCCTTCATCAGACAATTATCTCACTTTAAGCTGTGTTTTACAATTTGAGAAAAAATAAAATATTAATCAAAATCCTCATTGAGTAGGGAAACATGTAAATTATAATTCTTGCCGAGTTGTATTGTCCATCATCATCGGACATATTGATAATTTCAAAATTTCAAGCATCTTTTAACTGATTCGTTTAAATTCGCTTAAGATGAAATGTTCTTTTAAATAATTTTAAACTTTTCAAAAATTACACAAGTGTTTTGCACTATGAAAGTTTTTTCAAGATAACTTTTAAAGTAAAATTATATTCAATTTCACTGAAAAAGGAGAGGAACCCGTACGAAAGTTTCGACTATTTTATTCTGTTTTGTATTCCATACTTCAAAGACGCTCTGGATATTTTGCCCATTGGACCCAGTTCCAAAGGCTCCACAATATTTATCTGAATAGTTTCTATTACAGTTGTGCATGTTCAAAATTTCGACCTTAATTTAATGTGGAAAATTATTCAAACTTTTCCGTATATTGGAACATTCTGGATATTATTAAGATTTTAAACACATGAGGCAACAATGTGGCAATTTGCCCTTATCCTTCTGTTCTAGGGCTTTGCATAAATTTGTTCCTCGACATGAAGACGAAATCGAATTAGAAATCGGAGATCCAGTTTACGTTCAAAAAGAAGCTGATGATCTGTGGTGTGAAGGTATTTTAAACTCACTCAACTTATTAGTGCTTGAACTGAACAAGGGCCTTTCAGGAGTTAATCTGAGAACAGGAAGAATGGGCATATTTCCTTCGGCCTATGCAGTGGACAGCGATTTTAGTGACTGGGACTCGAATACTGAACATGGGAGGCGGGAAAGATACCTCTTAGGTATGCTGGCCTTTGTAAACAATTTTCACCTCACTGTAATTATTTCTTATAAAGGGTACCTTGGATCGGTTGAGACTTTAGCCCATAAGGGGACTACCGTGGTGTGTCAGGCAGTAAGGAGGGTGATTGGAAATCATTCATCTGAACCAGAAGTTCAACCGTGCACTCTAGAAGTATCCGATCAGGGCCTGAGGATGGTCGACAGAAGAAAACGAGACGTAAGTACAGTTGTTTAGCTAAACCTGAAGAAGTCTAGCGGTGATTTATTCTAGCAAAACGAGCCTTGCATAGACTATTTCTACTCGCTCAAAAACGTGAGTTTTTGCGCATTTCATCCTCGAGACCATCGATATTTGGGCTTCATCACCAAGCATCCGACTTTGCAAAGGTTTGCATGCCATGTCTTCAGAGGACCCGATTCGACCAGACCAGTAGCCGAAGCTGTGGGGTGAGTGAAAGTTGCAATTTAACACTCTCGGGATAGTTTTGCAATTTTCGTTATTTCAGGCGAGCATTTCAAAGGTTTTACCAAAAATTCATAGAGACTGCATATCCAGTGGAGGATATTTACATAGAATAAGAACAATGATAATTAATAAATGTTGGTACTAAGAAATTCTTTGCTACTTACCACCGAAGGGCTTTAGCTTTTCTGTATTATGCGTCGTCAACCTGTTTTTATTCTGGGGGTTTTCGCATCCAATCTGCTGGTTAAGTTTGCCTCTAAAAATCCGCAATAATTATTAGTTTTCTGCTGGTTGCGACTCATTCTATTCAGTCATATCATGAGCTTCTGAAGCCAATTGTTAAAATTCTTAGGCACGTATTTAGATTAATAATCGGTACTAAGTACGCAATGTATTTGGGTTCTAGTCATTAATAGCTGTGTATGTACAGGGTGTTTAAATTTGTTTATACGGAAATTTAATTTCGTGAAGAACGCATGCAAGAGGAACATTAAATCCGTAAAATTGTGGTCAAGAAGCATTCTTCTTTTGTAAGAGGATGTATGGAGGAAGTTGAATTATTTACGCTTTGTTGGTGTTTAAATTGCAATTTCTTGGAAGTAAACTTTAATGGTTGTAAGTTTAAATTAGCAATTTGTAGCATAACTGCTTTAACCATCGTTTTGCTTAGAAGTTTGGGCAAAATTAGCTTTTTGCGTCTTTTGTGTTAGCAGAAATTCATACAAATGTGTTCATGAAACAGTGTGTTCTCTTGGAAACATTCTTGTGATTTTCCGCTGAATTTTTCCAATTAAATTTACAGAAAGTACCAATATGAAATGTTTCTTAAAGAAAAAAATTGATTGATTTTTAAATACTCTAAAAGTGGGCGATTTTCTTTAAAATTCCATCAAGATAAGCTTATATCAATCTGCAAGTTTGTTTAGAAAATAATCGTAAACATTTAAGGCAAATATTGGAAATATAAACAATTTTACATACGTAAAACTTTGAAGAAGAGAACCAGATTCAACGTTCTAAAACCTGTTTGTTGGGTATTTTGCATAAACATTTTTGTGTCATTTGAAAAAAATTGAATTTTCTCGCGCCTTTTACTACGCATTAGAAAAATATGAGAAAATTCTGTCTTTTTGAAAGGCCTCGACTTGAAAGTAAATTTCCTTTGCTCCATTAGAAACTCCTTCTTTGATTTAGCGAATATTGATATCTTGCTGTTGTAAACTCACTCACTCTATATACAGTTTTAAGTCATTTTTTGCTTTCAATATTCCTTCAGGAGTGGATATTTAAGCAAATAATTAACCGTTGAAACACCCTGTGTATATGAAAGGTTCTGAAGCCTCTTACATGCATGTGCATTTCCCAACTGATGTATTCTCTATAATCTAGGTAGTTCGTGTAAAGTAAGCGAACAACTTCAAGTGCAATCTCTATATTTTTAATGTAAATAACTATGAAAAAAACTATTTAGAGCAGCATAGAATGTAACTCTTGTAGAACGATAAGTTATTGTTAAATTTAAAGTTTCAATACTTCCTGAAAAGAGCAGATAATAATGTAGGGCAATATATTTAAAATTGAGATAAAGTGGATTTTAAATGCTAGGGAGATTTTTTGTATATTTTTGATACATCAATGAAGTTTAGTGTCGTTGTATTTGTTTCATTGTTTGTGATGTTTTGTCGTCTTTTTGTTACTTGTGTACTTACTGCATATCTGTTTCAATTTTGCTGAATATACTTTTGTTTTGACAATAAGTACAAGTGTTTTAACCCACAGAAGAATGAATATTTCCTCTGCTGTTCCTAACTGACATTTTCTCTAATTTCTTCAAATTACAAATTAAAAATCAAAATAATTAAAGGCAAATTAATAAAGAAACCACACAACTCGATAAACAATCTCTGTTTACTTCATATACATTTTAATCATATTGTAACATTTACACCCTTGATGTTAAATAATAAGAGGTTTGCTACTTGGATTTATCAGGTTTTGCCTCCTTTGGTGCCACTCCATTTTCCTCCATAGTCAATCCGGTCTGCAGCAGAGTGGTGATCTGGTTGATATCCAATGTGGCGTCTCTAGCGCTGATTTTCTTCAGAGCGCTATTCACAATACATAAATCGCCTCTGAGTTCTGATACCACGGCAGTAATTTTCTGAGCGTTGCTCAGCACTTCAACGCTCTGAGTATACGGGTTGTAGCGAATACCAAATGGACGTTGAATTTGTTCGGCAAAAGTTCTGAAACAAAATTTTAGCTCATTTTAGTCGGTGTCCGTTTTAAGAGTCAGAGGCACTGTGTAAATGTAAATCATTTCGGTCTGATTTGTATGGGTCAAAAATGAGTTGCGAGGGTGAGATTGAGTGGACGGTTTTGTCCTCATCCAATTTCAAAATTTCAGAGTTCTGCCATTCACTTGAAAAATATATTTTCGAATTACTTCATTCATCCTTCTCCGGTTTATTCGCTGCATCTTAGACCCAAACTAACCCAAACTAATTTTCTTGCGCTACATTTTTAATTGCGTGTGTTAAATTGTTCTCTATGTTTCTGTTGCTTACAGCATATTCTTGATTTATATGTTAGTGTCTGTGTTATTAATGTTTGCTTCTTATTTTCATCGTTTTTCCATATTGAGTCATGTCTGCTTTTCTTTCTGAACTTTCTCCAGCTGAAGTTTCAGTTTTCTAATTAAGTACAAAATTCTTCTAAATTCTAAGAAAATTCTAATAAGTTTTGACATCTTTCGTTCCGTTTGTTTGTTGTTTTGTTTAAATTCTCTTTATTTTTCGGTGTTAAATGGGTGTTTGTACGTTTACAAAGTACCTTACGTTTTAAGTCGTTTTCTGGGAGTTAAAGCCAGGCATTTGTCACTATTAAGTTTCTTGGCTCACTAAGTGATGTACTGAAGAACAGAATGTAAAACAAAGTCAACAGTAAATATTGGGAATTGTGCAAAAAGTTTACAAAATTCACAGCAAAATATCCAATTTTATAATTTCAGATGAGTTCCCCAATTTATTTCCTTTGAAAATCAAAATTTTCTTTGAAACATGTTTTCGAAATTCTCCACTCAAGGTTTTCCAGTTTCTGCTCTGCATTTTAGATCTCATGTAATTTTCTTTCACTTCACGTATCAAATTTTTAATTGCTTGAGTTTAGTTGTTCTCTATTCTTTTACATTTATCATTTAGTAAGTGTGTTATCAATTTTTTGCTCCTGGCTCGTTTGGCTTTTGTCTGCTTTTGCTTCTGAACTTATATGTGCAAAAACAGTGCACTCGAAAAGTCAGCAATAAATAGTTAAAGATTTAAAATTTTTAAAAGTAATATGTTGTTTAAAAGTAATATAAAAATAGTTATTAAATTGTTAGCTCTAAACCCGAAGTTCTCGGACAGAAATTAACAATTTAGGAGAAATCAAAAACCTATGAACATACAATTTCCGGGTACTAGTTGATGAATACAGAGTAGAAGAAGGGCTAAAAAAATATGTCGGGAAAAAAATCCAAGAGGAATTCTGCTATCAAAGTTAAAGCACGAAATAAAACTATTAAAAACCCGTAAAGTTCCAGGAGAGAACGTTTTTGCTGAGATACTCAAACGACTAGATGGGAAAAGTTGCGAAATAATAATAAATTTCTTAAACAAGATAAAATTCTGTGATTTATACCAATCTATATTTATTCTGTTACTTATATGGCCACGATATCACTTGATTGGCTTGATCTTCTGAAGAAAACTTAAGACCATCCACCTATGTTTTAAAGACTATAAAAAAGGCTTTTATCGATAAAAAATCCGCAGCTGAATAATATTCTTTATGAACCAAAAATGGGTGAAAAATCAGTCCATCCAGTTAAAAACATTCCATAAACGCAAAAAAAATTGGCAAACAGCCCATCAGAACAACGATTACACATTATCTCCAATTCTTTTCAGCACTTACATACTCATATATAAAAATACCCAAGAAAGTACACAAGTAAAGTCCAGTAACAGAATCAAACATCATACCTCATCTTCTCCTTGGCTTCTTCAAAGGTATCAGTATACCAATAGCCCAGCTGGAAATCCGTGATGATACACTCTTGTTTTGCGGTCGCTTCTGGATCAAATCTCTTCACTTTGGAAGTTGAGTTCTCGATGGCGTGCTTCAGCTCAGCGACGCTGCTCAGCAGCCCCGCCCCGTACACTTTGAGCTCTCCATCCTGTTTGCAAAGCCCAAATTCCACCGTGAAGAAATACAACTGCAATGTCGCTGAGTTAAAAAAATGCCATTCAATCCAGCTCAGTTTACCGTAGCTAGTTTGGTGACATCTTCATCGCAAGCCCCCAGACTAGCCAATCCGAGTTCTTGGGAGAACTGAGCAAAGCTGGGATTGGCCAGCAGGGGCATGTGACCTAAAAGCTCATGGCAACAGTCTCTGAAACAACATAAAGGCTTCATTCAAGAAGACAACAAAATGCAAGCTTTCGGATAAAACTTACGGTTCCGGTGTGTAAAACGGGTCGCTGGCATGCCGAATGTACTGGGTGCAGTGAAACACCCTGAAAGCTAAACCGCTGAGAAAGTCTCTGGGGCTCAAGTACCCGGCAACAGGTCGCAGTTGGAATCCAGTTTTCCTTTTCAGGAAAACACTCACGTCTTGCAGCTGGGGAAGATTGTCTTCCCGATATCCGCAATATTTCACCAGTTGGGGCCAGTTCTCCAAATACTCCCTACACGCATGCTGTAGGTAGAGCTTATGAAGCTCCCGAAACACCACCCCCCTAAAACATCTGGTTACCTGGGGAAGTTGATTTTGGACTTGACTTACCAAGTTTTCACTTCCTCTTCTGTGTACTTGACTTTGGGAATCGGCTGGCCACTAAAATTGCAAATTTCCAGATCGATTTCCTCAGCGTTTGCAAAACTTACTGTTTGTAATTCATAGCGATCCGGAAGAATTGTTCGCGTCTTTTCCGGTACACCGGGTCCTTAAACCCGGGATGATCGGCATCCAGTTCGCTGCCATACATCAGCACATTCTGAGCATTATCCAGTTCGGAAATTTTCTTCGGAAACCAGGGCATGTCATCAAAATCTGCAATAAACGCCTTCAAATGCAATTTAACATCTTATCCAGCCCCGTATAGGACATATTGACGGGAACAAATGGACTTTATCTGCTAAGTGTTTACTCTGTATTCATTAATTCGGGCTTCTCGAGGAGCTTTTCGAGAAAATCACTTCTATTCACCGGGTCTATTTGATTTAGTTTAACTGCTGCTTTAGTTAGACTAAAAGATTAAGGTCAGAATGGGGAAATAAATGCGAGATGCCGCTGAACTCCCACTTCAGTGGAAGTCAGTGTGTTAATTTTTTCGAATAAAATGCACATTTCAATTTATTGATTTTCTTTGTCCGGTCCACACTTACCAAAACTAGTAGTGGCGCTGAGAGGAGTGGGTGGTGGGAATTGTTCAGCACCAGTTCCATAAGAACCAATCACCATAGTCAATACTTCTCTCTGGAACCGGAAGTTTTTATTAAGGATCTCTAAATGTTGCCGCAATAAAGTGGGCTTGGAAATAAGAACATTTTGAAAATTAATTCAAATATAAATATAATGCATCATAAGACAAAAAAACTGTATTCTCTAACAATTTTATAAATAAGTGTCGAATTAGAGATGAGATGATAATGGAAAGTCCATTTCTCCAATATTTTTTAGTAAGTTTACTAATTCCGTCCGCGAATCCCGTTCTTGTAGCAATGCGAATAGCAATTGTTAGCATTTGCTCAAGACATTTGTAAATTTGTTTGTTATTCCGAAGAATTGTGTCCAGAATTTTTGATGACTTGAGCCACTTAATTTTAGTTACCTACTAAAAAAACATGTGTCATCACCTTCTTTTCTCACATAATTGTGTGGATGTTTTTTGAAAATATTATACATACCTTCGAACAGGTTGGGACCTAAAACTACTTCAATTTAGGGACCGATTTTTTTCCTATTTTTGGGTTGCAGGCTTTATGGGGTCCGGGTAATAACAAAGCAGATCATATACAAATATTGGCAATAACTGGAGACTTTAGATTTTCTGGTGAGTTTTTGTCAGTGCAATGGTTCAAGTTCCTGAAAACTCTAACCCACTCTTCACATTTTCCTGAACTAGAGCGGGAAAGCAACAGGTATTTGTAATAAAGACATTTTCTGATGTATAAACCTGTTGGTTAAATCTAAGGATAATTGGTAAAAACAAGGTTGCTAAATAATAAAATCTAATAATAAAATGCTGATAATAAAACAATAACAAATAATAAAACATCTAAATCTCTCTAAATAACATTCAACAAAACACAACGTTTAACCCCTTGTCTCGTTTATTCCTTTAGTTTTAGAATTTCTGTCATGGGCATATTTGATATTTTCTCAAGCTTTGTTCGAATTCGGTTATTTTTTTCCCGGCACTTACAGGTTACTCAGGCCTTAAAATCTTCTTTTGCAAACGGCAATTTATTGCATACTAATTGAGAATGTATAACTGTATTAATTATAAAAATTTTGATAGCTTTTTTTTATTTTATATTTACTCTATCGTTCAATCGATATAAAAATAATCTGAAAAATCATTTTTTTATCGACTGAACAGAACTTTAGAAAACTGCAAAGAAAAACAGTTTTGTTTCTTAGTGGATAATTTCAAATACAAAAATGTTTTTGTTTTTTTTCTGAAAAAAAATTGACTGCTTAAAGAGCAGTAGGCAAAGTTTGTGTTTCATTACATTTTTCAGAATAATCCCGTAAAAAAATATTTTTAGATATTTTTTTAGAAGTAAGATCATTTCATTGATTATCTTCACTACTTACGTGACATTTTTTTTATAGGTTTCTTAAAGTTTTTTTACCTACAGTTTGTAAAATTCAGTGAAGCTTTCATTATACCTGAGGATCTTGCATGTAATCTACTTCCACATCAGATTTTTTATGCTTAATTAACAGTAGGTAAATAACAAGTATTAAACAGGTAACTCAGTGATTTCTCATTTTGTTTTAGGCGTTAAAAAATAAAACATTGCTGAACTGGAAAAACGCTAACCGCAAAAAATGTGATGACTTGTTTCTACTTGCTAAAAATTGTCCATCCCAGAGTCTTGTAAAGTTTTAATCCGGCCCTGGGTTAAATGGTATGAGTTATAACTCATTGACTCACAGAGCGACATTAATAGAGTATTTTTTCTCATGGAAAAACTCCGTTGTACCTGCTGATGGAAAAGTTCAGTTTCAACTAGTGCGTCTTGTGTGCATTTGGAAGTTGACTGAATTCTTGAAAATAATCCAGAAAATTATTTTTTTGTGTTTTTCTTGTTTATGAACTTCAGTTGACTACACTTTTCTGTTCGAGGAAAATGTTTCTTAACAGAAGTGACTAAAAATGCTTTGCAAACGTCAATTCCTCGAACCAACTCTTGAATTTTCACCACCCAGTTAAGAAGCAAAATACATTTTTCAAACAAACATTTTTTTATAGCACCGAATAACTTAATTGTATGAGCAGTTACATCTTCTAACTCTTTCAATCAATCTAGCAACTGATAGTATTTTCAACTTTCTTTTAACTTCAAAAGCTACAGCTTAATTCGAAGTTAAGCTGTAGCTCCAATTGCAGCTTAGTAGTAAAAAAATTGCCTAGAAAACTAAGAGAAACTGTAGCATTATTAATTATTTTTATAAAGTCGGTCATGGGCACGCGTATATTAAGCCAAATTTTCAACAAATTCGATTATTTTTAGCAGTCGACTTTTTCCTCAGATTAAAGCAGATGAAGAACTATACATATTACACACATTTTTAAAATTTATTCTCAAAAATCAGAAAACTATTCTATTAGCTACATGGAAGGGAAATATCAATTAATGAACGTTGTTCGAAAGCTCTTAAAATCGTGTAGTTCTTTCTTCAATTATAAAAGAATTCGCAGTGTTCAAATTAAATTGAACAAACTGATACACACACGTGTAGAAAATTTAGAAATTTAGAAATAAAAACAAATTCACAGACATTCAACAATGATCAGAAAAAGAGAGTCTGGACTCTTCAATGCTTCATTGCTTCAATAAATTCAGGTATTACCTGAATTGATTGAAGCATTGAAGTCATCAGTAGTTAAGACGTTTAAAAAACAAATTTGTATGTTGCAAATATCAGCTTAATTATTAGTCAACTGGTCATTTTATACGTTTTCGAAACCTTTGCCTTTGAGAGGAAAATTATTTAACAGTCTTTTCGCATGTACCTAAAATAGCGTCGAGAATATCAGAACACTGCCATTAATGGGTCGTATAATTATCCCTGTGAAAGCATGGGCAGTTTATTAGTCCAGTAGCAATTATACTTTTATTGTATATTGCGTGCTTTATTAAAGAATATAATTTTTGCCGATAAATGTTTTACTGCAGATTGCCCCTTACTATGGCATTTATGGCTTGATAGCGCATTACCAGGTTGCTTGAACTTGAAAGCCATTAAATTGATGTTAGAAAATGGTACGTGATTAATAAAGCTATTTATAAATTAACCTACTTTTAATATGCGTCCCAACTGCTCCAATTTCTTCGGGTCAGTTTCGAAGTCCACCAAAAAATCCGCTTGATTGTCGCTGGTTTGACTTGGTCGGGACTCGATATGTTGGACGTTGATGCCCAGATCTTGAAAGGCTTGCAAAGCTCTGACGAGGCCCCCCACTTGGTTTTTGAGCGTAAAAATGATCGAAATTTTCTCAATTTCCGCCGGTTCTTTGGATTCCGATACCTGTTGAAACTCGTCAGTATCTACTTACTAATCTGGTGAAGATTTACCTGGTTTTTCAATGCAATTGGACTTTCTTCTTTGTAGTTCCACTCTTCTTCACTTCTGTACAACCAGAGCCCCAACAGCGGTTTACCCGATCCACTCATTATTTCAAAAACACCGGACTGGATGAGAGATGATTCGATACTTTCCCTTTGGCAGCGTAGCCTAAGTTTTCCCTCAAAGTTTCTTCTTGCGCTTTATATAATCGCGCGAGTGCTCCCTCCATTTCCTCGAAGGAAAATTACGAAGTGGATGAAAAGGGAGTATCGCTTTGATTGGCTAAATTAGGAAATGTAACGCTTTGGAGAAGCGACTGATTGTTTGGCAGATTTTCATCCGGAGTATAGTTTGATTTTCAGCTTAGGAATTGATAAAAATGTCTGTGGGTGGATCGATGTTGATATATTAGCTCGATTCAAGAGGAAAGCTTGTTCACTTTCAATGCAGAAAAAGGAAGTAGATGGGTTTTTAAAATAATTTTAAGTGTAGTAGAAAAGGGAAATCTGATTGGATTTTTGAAATATTAATTAAATGATAATTCTATTGCTTAGTGCCATGAAATGTACAAGTACAGAGTGGATGATTTTGTATCTAATATATTTTGTGTTTTACCATTCCAATGTGTAAAATCGGAAGGTAATTAATTAGGATTTTATGATATAATTAATCTCACGCTGTTGCTGTCCCTCGATAATGGTAGAGGTAATTTAATGTGCAAAATAAACGAATATTGGAGAATCGCACATTTGAAGGCTAAATGCATAGATTTTAACTGCACCAAGTCAGGTTGGGATTGTTTAAGGAAAGCGATTCTGCCAAAATATCTGCATTTGTTGTCCTGAATTTCATTGATTTATGGATTTTAAAGCAAGGTAGAGTTTGGAACCTCTTCACGAACAAACACAACTATTTCAAAGTGAAGCAAAAGGAAGGTTTTGGTAATAACAATTGGAAATTATGGAATTAATTCAGTTCAAACAAAAGTTTTACAAATTTATAACAGTTTTTGATGATTTCTTGACACCATAAAATTGATATTCAAGTAAGGATTCAATTTATAATCATTTATATACTAAAAGCTCGAAAAGTCGAAAACATTTTCTGTGTGACTTGATATATCACACTTGCTATCTAATATGTACGGTTTGGTTACCAGAGGTAAGTTTTTATGCATAGGAATTAAACACCGGAGGGCCGTACATTTGATCTTTGAGAAACTAAAAACTCTGTAATTTGTAGCGTATATTTGAATTTAAAGCAAAATGGAGTGTGGAAGCCTCAACATCAAAACTCTTTACAAATGAACAAAACTATTTAAGAAAAAACATTCGGGCGGTGACAATAAGGGCAGAAAATGAAAAGCTAAATTAATTGGTAAAATACTCTCTTTGGCACTACTGAGTTTTTCGGTCAAAAACGGGCAAAAAAACCTTTTTACTCCGGCCAACCTTTCGGCTATATAATCGGCTTATAAGAAGATAATTACTGCTGTAATTTGGCCGTAAAATTAGTTCATCGAAGAAAATCATTCTACAAATTTATGTTAGCTAATTTTGGCATCTAATTTCCAATTTGGCATCCAAAAGATGATTCAATTCCCAATCAATTATAAACCAGAGCTCAAAATGTCGTGAAAAGCCCAATTTGTTAGTATTTGTTGAGATATCTTGTATATTTGAACATCGGAGGCTCAAACATTTGAGCACTCAAGGTGCAGATTTCAAGTTACTTACCAAGTGTGGCACATCAAGTCATGCTGAAATTGGATGCAAAAATCGATTTTGAAAAAATACTTTTGTTTTTGTAAAATAGGAACTAAAAAAAGTTAGTTTCAGGGTTCTAATACTTCAGAAAAAATTAAAAACCCATTCATTTGGATGATTACTGGAGGTCTGGAACAATTTCCAATTATTAAATTATATTTCTCTCTACCATTAACCAGGTTACCAACTTAATGTACTACCAACARCCTGAATATAAAATAATTKAAWTAAAAAAATCTTCAAACTKTATAAAATATAATTGAGCAAATATGGATGTGTAAYCSATATTATAAAATAACTTAAATATATTACGAAAACCGAAAATGCATTATACCTTTTAGAAAAAAAATATAAGAACGCGTTGCCTAACAATTTTCTYACTTTTGAYTGCGAATAATTTCTCAGTCCTGTTATCCGATTTGAATAATTTTTTGATCGRATCATAGCTTTATTCTTGGAAAATATTTGAGTCGTAAGTCGTCGCAAAAAAAWAAATAAGCATATTGCAGAAGGTGTTTAACTAGTGTCAAGTTTTCTTACTCAAAGTTTAAATCTGTCTGCGGGMAACATAGAGGAACATCAGAGAGGAAAAAGTATACGTTGTTACAGACTCGTATATTTTGAGTAATTTGTATCTTTAATCGTCTGTTTATCGTGAGCCGTTCGAGAAGTGTCGACTTTCTTGAATACTTATTTTTTTCTTATTTGCCAATAAAAATTCTAGCAAAACGACTGCGTAAACCACATTTTATTAGAAGTTCATAATTCCGTATATGTTGTCACYTTCTGTGCTGTGTTGCTAAGTTGTWAAAKTTTTTGTTTTCCTAAAGGCAGTAAAACATTATTCTTATATTCTTCACGCATAAGCATATAGTTTTCTGYTTTGTTCTTTATAGATTAACATACGTAACAAARTAAACAGAGATTGAGCTGAAGTTTGTAAGAACATTTTGTCCGTAGATCCTTTTTCGGAATAAGAAAACGCTTAAATAAATTTCATCTGGAAAATATGACTGGCCATTAAAGACTCAGAAGTTAGCTCAGAACACATGCGTCTATAACAATGTATAGTTTTTTTTCTGTCTGAGTGACCCCAGACGAATTTACACTTTGACGAAGAAAACATGGCGCTATTTAAACCTCCTGCTAGGCCTGGGTAACTCAGTGAATTTTTAGGATTTGGCACAGTGTTACGCAAATAGCGCAGTAACTCAGTTCCGTTGCCGGGGAAATGTTGCTGATTTTTTTTACTTGTTATTAGATTTATTTTAAGGGCCATTTATCAATGATATTTTTAAAATTTCTTAAAAATATCAGATTTTTCCAGTTTTAGCCAAGTTACTCTTTCTTTTAAATGCTCAATAAAATTCGAATCCTTCGTCGCTTTGTAAAAAGTTTTGAAGTCCTTTTCCAGCGTCGAATTTGGAACAAAAATCAAATAATTTTCCATCAAAAAATGAACAGATTTAGCGAAAGTTTGTAACAGCTTATTTGGAAATCTCGTCGCCTCCATTCCTCTGAAGACCCTAGAGTTTACTTTACTTTTTTGTTTGCTTCACTTTTTATTCAAAAGCGCTCTCTTTTCTAGTTTTACTTAAAAATACTGACGATATGTTACACGAAAAATTGCAAGATAAATTTATAACTTTGTAAACATTTGACAAACATTTTTTCAGCGTCGAATTCGGGACAAAAACGAAAATGAATTCCTCCCGTTTTGTCCGAAAACCAGTAAGGTTTTTTCCAAAACCGATCACAGAACTAAAAGTTTTTAATCTAAAACGTAAACAAGCAATTATTTTCTGATTATTTTCTTCTTTTCTGACAAGAAAGAAAGACAAAATTAATTTTGCTGCAAAATTCGCCGCATTCATCAGTTTGCAGGAAACTTTAGAAAACCCATTTCAGCTTCAAATGTGTCACAAAAACCAAATAATTGCATTCAGTTTTTTACCGAAAGAGCAAAAGTTTACAAAAAATTGTTTTGGAAATTCGCCGCTCTCATCAAATCAAAAATCGYATTATTTTTTAGTTTTACTTAAAATACTAACAATATTTTCAGTGAAAAATTATAAGATACATTTTATTGGAACACTCGCCTCTTWAACCGCTTTGCAAAAATGTTTGAAATACTTTTTGCAGCTTCGAACTATGGACAAAYACCTAATAATTATTTCCYTATMAAAAAAGCGAAAKTTTAAAATCRTTTATTTGAAAAACTYTTGGAAACTGKRGTTTCTTCACTTTTAGGTCAATATTTCTGAAYAACACTGTCTCTAAACAGAYAAACCGCGTTTTTCTTAACGATTTACTGTAAAAYACTGGCAAACTTAATCTTTTACGGAARARATCCAAGAGATCTTAGATCTCTCTCTTCTTTGGACTCAGATCTGTWGCCGGGAAAATTTACATRWYTTTTTTYAGTTCTTTGAACAAAGTAGTAAAACGTTACTCAGAAAAAATGTKRATGACATTTTTTTAGATGTGAAAGTTCCAGTCTCGGGTCTCGTAAAGCTTTAAACCTAAATGTCTTATAACGCATTAACCGATGAGTTATAAATCGTTAACGCAGACAGCGGCAACAACTCAATAGCGCAACTCAACGCAGTATTAAACAGGCGTACCCCCCTGCACGATACATTTACTACATTTTTTTGTTTCAACTTGTAACTTAAATTTTGCCCAAGAATACAGCTATGATTTGAAAGAAAAACTGTTCAAATCGGATTACCGACTGGGAAAATATTCACAGTCAAAAGATAGGGAATATTAAGAAAACATTATTATATAAGAACTATTGTTTAAAGGTTGATTTAGGAATACGATGGCGCAATAATTTCACATAATGTCCAACAGTTTGCTGATCCAGAGGCTGTTATAATAATAAACCAAGGACCGCGCTTTATGTTCAAAAGCACGTTACAGTGCAGATTTCGCTTCCGCTTTTGACTCAAACAGACTGGAAAATCGACGACTGGAACATATTCAAAGCGAAATACGAAGGCTGCCTAATCGAGTTATCTCTGTTTCGAATGGGAGACAAATTATCCAGATTGCAGGCTTTTGTATCACTGTTGACTCAGCCTAATTGCCAGATTAGAAAATCCAGAATTGTTACTTAACAGTTGAATGTTATGGATCCGGTCTGGATGCGAGCAGAGTTGCGTTTTGAGTGATTCGATGTGTGATAGACACTGCGTCGCCTGAATCCAGATATGCATCCAGGCAGTGATCGAAGACAATACAATAAGCCAGACACCGATCTAAAAATACTCACGGTGTCGGAAAGAGTTGGGCGAGCCAACATTTCCGGCGCTATAAAACTCAGTCAAGCCGCCTCAACGCATAAGTGAACTAATTTTATTTGTTGTAGCTCGCCAAATGTGTTTTAAATTCGATCAGTTTTTTTATGAAACCACCAGTGTCTGCAAGTGTTTTTGGAGAGAAGGTTTCATTCACTGTATCAGCTGTAAGTGTTCCTAAGCGCGTCTATAATTAAGAGCGAATTAATCAAATTTCTGCCCAAACTGATATGTTAAAGATTGGCCAAGTTTCGAGGGTATTAGTGTGCCAAATTTTTCCCATTCAAAAAATAGCCGTAAGTATGCAATTATTGCTCAATTTCAGTCTACCCATTTTCATCGCGCAGTTCTGCCTCAAAGTTAGTGGCAGTTTCAAACTGAGGAACTTGGCGATGTTGCTATGAGTAGTCACGCCATATCCAACTGCCCAGACTCAAACATTCATCGGATAAGGGAATTTGAGCTGGAAAAAGTAAGTTTTTTTTTAAATTGTCCTCCAAAACCCTCTTGAGAGCCCAACGGATCAAATCCAATAAAAATTGCTCACTATGCTATGTCTACTACATACACACAAAACTGCAGCTCAAGAATGAACGCGACCAAAATATCTTTAAGGCTCTCACTTTCTGGCAATCGGCCAGGATCCTTAATGTAATTATATCATCACCTCGATTCTCTTTCTTCATAGTTCAACACTCAGCCAGCTGATGTGATTGTTTCAGGTAAATCTGATCGATGAGTTCGACATTCTACAAATCGTAGGCGAAGGATGGTTTGGAAAGATCCTCTTGGTTGAGCATAAAGCTACAGACACTGAAATGGTGCTGAAAGCCCTTCCCAAACCTTATACAGCCCTAGTGGATTTTTACAGAGAGTTCCATTATGGGCTCCAATTGGGATGTCATAAAAATATAATATCGGCCTATGATGTTGCTTTTGAGACTGCTGGGTTTTATGTGTTTTCCCAAGAATATGCACCATTAGGTAAGGCTCAGCCCACAAGTGTTTTATCGACGCAAATCGATGCAAATTTTTATGCATGCAGGCAGAATTCAGATCAATTGGAGATTTGAGTAGTTTCTCCTGAGATTGCTTTAAAAAATTCAAATTTTAATTAAGGATAGCTTGAAGGTTTCTCTAACATCGTGAATTTGGGGCAAATTCCTGATATTGGCAGAAAACATTAAACTGCGCTGATTCATTAAAGGTCTGATTTTTCAGTCCAAGTCCAAAAACCATTGTACCTATAATTAAATGTTTTATTGTAATTTCTGAGCAATATGGTATTAATGAAGCGTTTGCTTTCCGGTGGCATCCGTCCAAAAAACCTGCGCTATTAAAAGGTAAATGAAATAGCGATTTATAACACATTTTTCGTCTGGGATTTGGTTAAGTAGATACATTTTTATACATCGTTGTTAGCAATATTTATTTCTAACTTATAAATGCCTGTTAGATTCAATTTTGATGCTTTATTGTTTAGAGGCAAACTATCGAAAACGGGTAAGCTTTGATATTGACCTTAAAAGTAATAAAATAAAAAAAAAATCGAATAATTAAGCTGGTCTTAGTTGTAATTGTCCAGGGCTTCATCTTGAACAAAGTCAATAAATTCCCCCTTGGTGACTTTAAAAAAGTATAAATTCAAAAATCAACAATAAATTACTGTACCTATATTATGTATTTGTAGAAATATCATTCATTCTTGAACAGATTTAATCTTTTAATTTCCTTTGATACGATATATAAGCGATTTCTGCACAAAATCCATATCAACTTTAAGCGATTTGACCCTGATACAAACTGAATTTAATTTTTTCTAGTGAAAACCATGCGACGGACGATATAAAATCAAGAAACCAAATTTGATCAGACATGCACAGTAATTTAAAAATTAATTTTTGTTTAAGCAATGGCGCACCATTTTTCTCTCAAAAATATTCAATTCCATACTCGTAAGGATGACACTGGTACAAATAAGTAATATGGATTGTAAATCATGTAAATCCGTACAGAAAATTTAATAAAACAAGTTTATATGAAGTTTTCGTCTTAAAATAGACTTAAAATAGCATGTCATTAGAGAACACTCTGTATATTGTTAAAAGTTGTCTCTGTATATTCTTTTTCTTTGCTATTTAAACCTTGGCTTTTAGATACTTTTGTTATTTTAATATATTTTTGTTACATTTTTGACGCACTTTTGTCCGACCAAAGCTAATACTGTGTTATATTTGTCATAAATGGTTTTGCGCACAAACGATTGGAGTTTTTTGCTTAAGTTGAATCGTTTTTCGAATTGATATAATATGAAAATGAAAAGCAACTTTTTTGAGAAAATGTAATTTTCTACTTAATTTCACTTATATTCAGTGATGTTAAATATTGGTCACGGACTAACTTAAGTGGTTTCTGGAAAATTATGCGACTTATAAAACATACTATGCCCCCAAGAAATTCATAGAAAACTTGACTAGTTTTTGACGAAATAACTGTGAAACTCTGGGCTGCATAAATAAACGCAAAATACAAACAAAATTCAGAAAATTTTTCAAAATGTCCTGAGGACGAGTCACATAACACACAGCATTTCCATAGTCACACAACATTTCCTATCCCACATAACACACTTTGTGCCACGAATTGCATATAAATAAAACTCTCAAAATTTTATTCTTGAGTAAATGAATGCGAAACTACGACTGCTTTAATTAATATTCGCGAAAATCACATGCAATTTTAAAAAGTTTCCGAAAATTCCCTGAGAATGAGTCAAAATAGAAACGACTTATAAAGCACATTTTGGCCTATAAACGAAATACAAAAGTAACTGTTTTGCATTGTTGTAAGCTCTAACTTCCTGCGGAAATAAATGCCAATATTCGACCTGCTAATATCAGCCAAAACTACTTGCAATTTTGAGAAATTCTTGAAAATTGCCTGATAATGAGAAAAAAATTAAAACTTTTGCCACTTTTTGAAGACAGAATTTGCCCTACGAAGTACATATAAATACGCCAATTTGACTTTAATAATTCCGGAATAAATAAAAGCTAAACTCGCCCATGCAAAGCAAACGCAAAACCTCGCCAAACCACACAAAAAAAACTCGAAAAACTGGACAAAATTGCCTGAGGATGAGCGAAAATCAAACCTTTTGCCACCTATAAAACAGAGTTCACCTTGCAAAGTTCATAGAAGGGCACTTGTTTCACTTTGAACATTCCGGAACATATAAATGCTGAACTCTGCTGTGCAAACCAAACGACAAAACTCGAAAACGAAGCGCAATTTTGAAAAATTGTCAAAAATTGCCTGATTACTGAAAATCAGAATCTCAAAATTCTGAAAATTGTGATTTAATTTTCATCTTTTGCTTCTTAAATAGTCAGCTACCAAGCAGCAAAAATAGAAAAAATTAAAACTTTTTGATCATTGGAGACAGTTCCGAAACAAAAGCTGGATGTTTGCTCATAAAAAATACTTTTAAAAATTACTGAACCCATTTGAAACACAAACGTGGAGAGCTTGATTCATTTTTTATAAATAAATGATGTAAATAAGATATTTGGTTTCTGTAAAACTTTTGTTTTTGTAAAATAATAAGACGTAAAACCAAAGAAAAATTGATGCAAAACCTAAATTTTTCGGTACTTTGGGGCTATTTTGCAAATAACTGCTTTACACTCCCACATAAAAAAAACAGTTAAAAAGTAATTATAACGTATTCTTTTATAAAGATGGTTTAATAATTTCAGTTGGAGCTTTGAGTCCTTTTAGAGCTTTTAATTCTTTGGACTAAATTATAAAACCGCAATGAAAGTAAAGAAAATCCGATTTTTTTGCAGGATTAAAAATATTGCCGAAAAGAAGTCTCATTTTTGTACACGATAAATTAATACCTCTTTTCAAAACATAAAACTTTACGAACCGAAAATGGGTTTTTAAGCAGTTTTTTGCAGCTTAAACGGCCTCGGTCTTTGGATTTTGTAAATTGTTATTTTACAAGCCGAAAGAAAATTAAAGCAAATTTTGACCTTTTTAATCTGTTGCAGATGCTTGAAGAAGTAACCTTAAGAAGTAACCTTCAAGTAACCAATTACTGTTTTTAAATTTCTATTTTGCAAAATCATAGAAGTATTACCATTAAAATTAGCAATTTTTCACTTATTAAACCCTCTACATAGTAAGCCCAACTGTAGCGTGAGTCTAATAAAATAATACACATCTAAATATAAAAGAAAAGAAAGACCCTCCTGAAAGACCTAAAAAGTTGCAAAGCCGTTTAGAGATGAAAGTTTTAGTACATTTCTTACAAAGACCTTTGTATAAAACTTTGATGCCATAATCTTCCTCTACAAAAAAAACTTTTCAGAAAAAACCCTTACTGAAAAAAAACGAAAAATTGGTACTGAAAGTCAGAGAAAAAAAAGCAGAAAGGTGAAAGAACCGAAATTATAAAGCTTTAGAAATCTTCGACCAGATCATTTATAGATTTGAATAAAGCCAAAAAAATTGTGTCGAAAACCATTCTTTTTTGTGATTGCTTTTGCTTAAGATAGTCAACTGGCCCCACTTTCGCTTTTCAAGTCCCTTCAAAAGTCTAAGGAAGAAAGGAGAACAAACCGAATTTAAAATTATAATGATTGGCTTGTCAAGATACCTGTCTCAACTGGACAACAGTAGTAAAAAGACAAAATTCGGGGCTTAAACCTGGAAAATCCGTCAGTTCTACGACCTTAAGCTAGTGAGCTACTAAAATCTGTCCTAAAGCAGATTTACACTACACTACACTCTGTGATTATTAATTTAATTTAAATAGCACAATTGTTAGCTTAGACATGGATTTTTACTAATAATTTCTTCTAAAACTCCTTAATTGTTTGCAGGAGACTTAACATCAAATGTATCCGAAATCGGCATAGGAGAACTGCACACTAAAAGAGTGGCCAGACAATTGGCCTCAGCGCTGGAATTCATCCACAAAAAAGACCTGGTTCATCGGGATATTAAGCTGGATAACATTTTGGTGTTTAAATCCGACTTTTCCCGGATTAAGTTGTGCGATTTTGGCGAAACCCGACCGGCAGGGTCGGTTGTTCTGCGCAGAAATGAATGGTTACCGTACGCAGCTCCTGAAATTTTAGAGGTTCCAACAGATGAAACCTATATGTATGTATGAACTACCAGTGCAAAAGTCGACTGGAATTTATTGCAATTTTTCTTCATTCAGATGCAAATCCTTGCATGATGTGTGGCAGTTTGGTATCGTAATTTTCGTGTGTTTAACTGGATGTCTTCCATGGCAAAAGGCCGCTTATGACGACCCCCGGTATGTCCGATACAACAACTGGCAGAACAGCACTTTACCCATTCTTCGGCAACCAAAGATGTTTAAACTGGTCTCATCCAGAGCGCAGAGATTTTTCAAGCGATACCTAGAGCCAAAAGAAGAACGACGACCAAATGATCTGAAGGACGTGTACAGGTAGGTAAGTCCAGAATAATAACTTTTTACATCCATTGTCGTCCCGAGCCTACTTAAGCGATCTTGCAGATATCTAGACGATAGATGGATGACCAAAGGAATGGAAAAAGCCAACGAGACTTTAGTGGAAGAACAGGGCTTATGCCCGTCAATGTACAGTTTCCACAGTTCTCCAGATGAAAAAAATAAGCTTCTACATACGCTCACTCAGTATGGGCTGGAAACTACGGTGGATCGATGTGCAAAGAAGGACCGCATAAGAAAATGGATTGAAAACAGCGTCATAGTCGAGGAGGACAATGAGGAAGAAGTCGATGAGGAGCAACCGATGATCTCTTTGAGAACGCAAACTATCAAGAACATAAACAGCGAAAAAGAGCGCCATCGCAGACACCATTCCAGAAGACTGAAGGAAAAAGAGTATAAACCTCCAGTTGACCCCAGGATCCCTCTCGCAGTCCAAAAAAATCAGTTTGCAACCAGGTCTATCAAGGATTCGACTGTGGTGATTGGAAGGGCGGAATCAAAGGACGCGCTGGTTGAAAGCAACTCTTCCATGCACTTAGTGGCTGGTAAAAATCAGTCAAATGGCTCAATTAGCTCAAGGAATAAAGCAGATAAATTTGGAACTGGACGCTCCAAAAAGGTGCCGAAAAAAATTTTCAGTGCTTTGCCATTTAAGAACGTCAGTATCCAGCCAAGTTCGCTTCCAACTTCTTCAGATAGTGCTATAAGCAGCGATAGCTCCACTATTAAGTACCAAAGCCTGAAAGTACTACAGGAGAGTAAAATTGCTGATGTTCGAGAACAAATCCAAAATAAATTAAAGTTAGTCTGATATTGATTAATATTGTTAAATATTGAATAAACACAACATTTTTAAAGTTGTTTTTTTGCTAAAGCGACAACACCTTTTTTGGGACTTGTTTAGAGAAACCGCCTTGACCAAAAGGCATTTTCCACTTCTGTAAACTTCTAGATTATTGAAACTCCAAGCAATTACAGGGTGTTTTCAAAATAAGCGATTAACTTCACCGATAATGTAAAAAGAGCAAAACATGAGAGCAAGTCTCGATGTAAAATGTTTACAATGTGAATCTCATAAGGCGTCTCAACTCTGGGGCTTAAAGTCAAATTTTTTCCCACATCTTCCAATATAAATTTATTTAATTTGTTTTATTTTAAGTAGTAGAATGGGTCTATTTTTACATAAACTGGTGTAAAATTTGGTTGTATATGTCTTCTTTATGGTTGATAATAAAAATAATTTTTAGACGCAAATGTAGTTTTATTTTATCAAGAACTCACAGGAAACATTTTTTAAATCTAAAAGACAGTTTTTTTCTTCAGCTATTTGTTTTATTATTTGAATTATTTTTTTACAGCCCCCATAAGGGTAAACATTTGATTTGGCCCGTGAAGTAACAGAAAGTGAATGCGACGTAATTTTCCTCTCCGTGAGCTATTGAAACATTAATTATACACATTTTTTCAAGCTATGTCCTTAACTAAAACCAGATTAAAAAGTTTAAAATTTAGAAGATATAATCAAGCAAACAGGGGAACAAATTTCATTAGTGGCAGAAACATTTTAATTGAAATTTCGCCGTTGTCCCAATCCATCGTATTAAATGCATAAAAGGCAACATCGCAAACGGTATAAGCTTCAATAGCTTTATGGAAACATAGCTCCAAAATCACTTTACCAAAATAAAGCTGGGAAATATTGAAAAAAGTATAACGTTTTTGGAAATATAATTGATAATTTTTCAACACTTCTCGAAATTTGCGATTATTTCTCTAGAGGTTAGGACTATTCAGTAAATCTTCATGAGAAAACGCAGCTGTTGAGAGGGTCTTCCAAAAATGTTCTAATAAATATTCATACATTTTTAAATGTCTCGGAGATATAAGCCGTTAAACTTGCACTGCTCCTTAATTTTTTTTTTAACTGTTTAAAGGTTGGGAATGTCTAAAGACGCCTAAATAAATAATTTTACTTCTATCTCTTTAGAGGTTGGGTCTGGTAAAGCGTAATGAGGAAAAAAGCTGTACTTGGGTCGCTCTAATTGTCTTGTTAATAATTTCAATATTTTCTGTACTTATTGTGTTATAAGCTTTAAATTTGCAGTGCTTCTTTTTGTGTGTGTGTGTCTTTTTCAAGTTTTCTTTTTTCAAAAAGCCTAATTAGCGTATAATTTTTTTTTAAATCAAAAGGCCTGTGTTAAAAATTTTCTTATATATAAGTATTTAGTACTTATGCCTTATACCTATCTGTCTTTTTTTAGTTTTTGCTTTTCACCTTCTAACTGTTAAAAATTTCTAATAAAATCAATCATGGAAAACATAGATTCTAGATGTTCTAAAGAAACGATCCTACTCATTATTTGGATATTTGTAACCATTTCTGAAGTGCAATTAATAACAGTTTTATTTTTCAGATCAGCTTAAAATTACTAATTTGACTTCTACCTATGTAGAGATTGAATCTGTTGAAAAAGCGTAATTTAGAAAAAAATATGTAAAAATATCATAATAGAAACTTTAATAATTTTTGTAGTTGTTGAATCGGTAACAATTTATATTTTCCCTTCTATATTTACTTCTCTAAAAAGTTCATTTTTCAAAGGAACATTTCTGAAAATTTTTGATCACCAAGATTAATTTGAGTGATTCCATTTCATCCATTTTTCAATAAAAGCTCCTAATCTCTAGCGGTTTCTTAATGCTTGATATTTTTGCTTCTAACTTTTTAAATGTAAAAAATTTCTGACAAAACCAGATTGCAGAAATATCGTTCAAGGCACTGTTTCGTTAGAAGTTAAGATTTTTTGGTAACGAGTAATTGAAAAAATATATTATTAAATTAATAATTTTAAGAAACCATTTCTTGAGCTGCCCTATCAAAAATATTTTAATCATAATATTTACCGACCTTCAATCGTTTTGAGTTATAACTCACAAAGAAATGCAAAAGTATAACTTTATTGTTTGCATATTATATTTATTTTTGTCTGAGTGTTTTCTTTAAAACCTATTTTTTAATTAACATACATATTTGCAGTTTTATCTGATTTATTTTTTAAAACATTTGCTTATTTCCTCTGTATTAAACCCGATTAGCTATGATATAATCTTATATCTAATATAATAATGTGCATTACAAAATACTTTAACACTTTCTTTTCCAACTAAATTTTAAATTTAACTTAAAAAATACCCAACCAACTCATAGCCGCGCCCGTAATTCAGCCCAATGCTTCTTTAAAACTCCGGCGTTCTCAACGTAACCACAATATTGATCGGCGTCGACTGTCAAGAATTTAAAAATCAAAACAGAAATTATTGTGGAATCAATAAGTTCTATAAATTTAGTTATTTTTAGCTGATAGAGCATAAGAGACCTCGAAATGAAAATGGCTCATTCAATGCAAGGAATTTACTCACCGTTGCCTCAATCCTTGAGCGATTCGGACTCTGAGAAGGAAATTAGCATGGACCCTATATGCACTAGCTACAATTCAAAAAATACCAATAAGTCAGAAAATTCTTATCGACAGAACGGGAACCGCATAGGGCTGGATGAGGACACAGTCAAGATTAAACGGGGGGCCAGTAAAATGTCCACAGCTCGAAAGGTGGGTGAACAATTCCTAAACAGTGGGGCCCTTCTGGACAATCTCGTATTTCCAGCTTACATTTATTTGCTCTATCATCCTGTGCTTTTTGCCTGTGCTCATTTTTCTGTGGGTTTTGCCTTGCTCAGAGCTAAACACTTGTCCCATAAAAATTTCCAATTGGGAATATCAGCAAGAAGGCATTGAACTGAAGGGGCCAATTAATCTCGCCAGTGGGGCATATAAAACGAACTACAATCTGGTTATTATGTACAAAGGGAGCATCAACAGCGATAAAACCCTTAAACACGGCATCATTTCTCTCATGGGGTTAACAGGTAATTGATCCAAAATAAGTCCTCAAAACGTGGGTTTTTTAATATATGTATTTAGGCAATGTAGCCTGGGACTTTGAGCAAGATTCTGTTCCCATTGAAATGGACTGTAGCATTATAGATGCCAATCAGGATGGCCATTTAGATTGCCTGGTGGTGGATTTAAAAGTAACTTTAAACATTATTTATTTACCAAAAAAACATCAACTTAATGTACATTTTAGGGTCTTAAAGCCATCGAGAGTGTTTCTGGCCAAACTCTTTGGCACGCCCATTCACAAGAGGAAGCCAATCGCGTCACATCTTTGATGCATCCAATAGCTATAACCGATCTGGATAACGATGGCGTTGTGGAATTGTTATGTGTCTTAAATTCGGTAGTCTATCCAAAAACACCAAGTGACTGCTCTTACATGTATGTTCATTCCTTAGATGTACTTCCTGATTATATCGGGCAGAACAGGCGTAGCCTTAGCTAACATTCCTATTAAACATTGCGGAACGATCAAGGACATTTACAAGCCAGAGAAAAATGCCCATAGTTTTACATACAGTTGTGGAAATGCCACAGACAAACCCGTTGTGTACAAAATAGAGTAATACGATCACGTCTAAGTTTAATCGGCTGTTTAAGTCTTTAATATTTCAGCTTCGATGAATTGGCTAAGGTGTTCAGGGATTCGAGGTACGACATGCTCATTGAACAGATCGCTTTTCAACCCAGCAGCACAATTTCGGTTGCAAATAGAAAACTGACTGTAACAAATGAACCAAATTGCCCAAAGTGCCACAGTCAGCTTGCATTGTTTGACGAAAATGGCAAGGTAAGGATGTAGTTGATTCTGATTTTGGTGTTTTCAGACAGCATTCGGCTAAAAAATGACGGAAAATAAAATTGGTGTTACGGGTAAATGTTGAATATTGCCTACCTACTTTGTTCGGAAAATGTTGTGTTCAGGAACTTAAAAAATGGTGATGAATAAGTACACTCTTTTTATGAGAAATTTCCGGTGCTACCAAGCTAGAAAGGGACTGGTCTGGTCAAATCCTGATCTCTTTAATTTGCACCTTGTGTTCGTTTTTTCCCAATTTGAATTTGGAATAGTGAATATTTTTTTTCTCAATTACATTCAATGCAAAATTTTGCCTATTTGTTTCCAATTGCATTATGATTTTTTTATTATTTCGATAGCAAATGTTTATAAAATGGCCGTATGTTTGTTCGCGGACTCTTTAATCGGTATACAATTTGTCCAAGATCAGAAGCACCAATATGGGGATATCGGAAACCGTAAATAACTTGGATAAATGGGAAAAAATGGGGCAGCTAAAAGATTAATTAAATAGCGCTCTCAAATCTTTGTTACGAATTTTCGTTTCCGACTTATTTGGAAGACTGAAGTTTTCGAATCTCAATAGATTTTTTCTGGCGTTAATATCAAAGCTGGGGCGAAATCGACTACACTTTCTCAGGGCAACTGTAGGACAGCGTTAAAACCACCTAATCAGTTTTTTGTCTCAACGTTTCGGTTTTAAGAAATCTTCATCAACTTAACAACATTTTTTAAAATACGGCCCTGTTTATTTGCAGGCAAATTGTAAAAACTCTTTTCTTTCTGATCTCAACGATGTATAACAAATTGACTTTTAGTTATGTTTTGATGGACTTTTTAGCAAATATTCGAAAAATGGTAAACACGGGAATGCTTTTCAAATCTGGTACTGATATGGATATGTATTAAAATTCACTTAAAAAAACTATTAAAAATGCCTAAATAATGTAAGAAATGATCAAATGATCAAAAATATTACCCACATTTTCGAAACACAAATAGCATCTTCTAACTGTCGACTCTAAACAGGTTTGATCATATGGCGTCACACTCTCAAAAGCTGCAATAACCAATCTACCGAGTTCTTCTTCAGTTGCTTAATTCATAAACTTAATTCTTGATGATCCCAGAAAAATAAATCACGTGGAGTAATATCGGGTGACCGTGCTGGCCAGGGCGTCTCAGAACCGACAGATATTCTCTAACCCTTCTTGAGTCGTGGGCAGGCGCACCGTCCTATTGAGACCAACAATCGCGTACTTCGGCTAAAGGCAGATAGAGCGCTTCTTCTAAATAAATTTGAAGCAGATTTATTATCCTTGTTCCCAAAATTCCAGCCCATATATTAAGTCCGACCTATGTTGTGTTGGTGTCTTGACTCCCTGTATAAATGAGGATTTTGCTTGCACCAGAAATGTACATTTCTTCTGTTGAATACACCATTGCTGGAAACTAAACTTTTATCAAATACTCTCCTTTCCATGTTTCAAAATTATCCTTCTTTGCAGAGACAAAATCACTTTTTTGTATAGGAAATTTTGCCTGTAGTTTTTTAATATGTTTACTAATTTAGTCTGGTACATTTTTATCTCTAAGCGCCAAAATGTTTACAATTTCCACAATAATGATTTTTTTAAGTGATCAGAACGTAACTACCTTCACATGTTATAAATCGTTGAATTCAGAATAAAAAGAGGCTTCACAATTTGCTGTTAAACAGACGTAGTCGTATTTGTAAAAACGAAGTTGATGACAAACATTTTGGCTGCATTTTAGGTCTCAGACCGTGCCCAACTTTTCATTAACAACAACTTCTTTCCTAAATATACTGATAATTCTGATTTATTTTCCTGACTGCGTGTACTTGTTATGATATTCTCATCATTCCTGGGTCTCAGTCAAAGTGTGAGGTAAAAAATTTGAAACATCGTTTATTTCATTACGTTTCGGCGAGACAACAGCGCYATCATCAGATTTAAAATTTACATAAACTACAAACACCAATTCACAATTAAAACATATATACAAATTATAATTTACAAAGTGTTAAAACATTCATCAGTTTTTGAGGAAAAAAAATTGTTCCTTTTGGCAGAGCAAAACACCCGAAAATCAATACATTTTTTAGACATAACAGTAAATTATGATAATTCAGGTGAAATAAAAACAAATTGATATACAAAAGAAGTTTGGTCAGGAAGATGCTTAAACTATAATTCATATGAACCCCAAAAATATAAAAAAGCGTAATAACTGCACTTACAGATAGAGCTATAAAATTATCACATCGAAATTACAGGCAAGAAAATTTTAAAAAAATCAGAAAAATAATACTTAATAATAACTACCCAAAAAAAATTTTTGAACCAATAATAAAGCGAAGAATCAACAAGATTTACAATTAAACTAAATATAACAACAATGAGAAACAAAGAAAAAATATCTATATAATATCACTAACATATATTCCAGAAATCAATAAAAAAATTTCAAAAATATTAAAGCCACACAACATTATAATTGCGGAAAAAACAAAACACAACTTATCAACGGAATGTTTCCCAAAACTAAAACCAAAAACTGACAAAATGGATGTACCAAATATAGAGTGAATTATTTAGAATGTGATAATACATATATAGGACAAGCTAAACAATATTAAAAAAAGAGAATGTACGAACATAAATACAGTCTGAGAAATACTAGTGAAAATAAAACAGTATTAGCACAACATGCGCACCAAATGTTGCATAATTTTGATTTTGACAACGCAGATATATTAATTAGGGAAACAAATTGTCATAAAAGAAGAATCCAAGAAATGATACAAATAAAAAACCATGCAAAAGCAGTAAATTTCAGGTCAGATAACGACAACCTTAGCAACATCTACCAAACCCTAATAAAGCCATAAGTATGGAACACCCAGTACACTAGTGAAAAATGTAACCTATTTCTGCTTATCTCAATACATGCATACCACTTCCCTAATTAATATATCTGCGTTGTCAAAATCAAAATTATGCAACATTTGGTGTGCATGTTGTGTTAATGCTGGTTTACTTTCACTAGTATTTCTCAGACTATATCTATGTTCGTCCATTTTCTTTTTAAATATTGTTTAGTTTGTCCTATATATGTATTATCACATTCTAAATAATTCACTCTATATACAGTATTTGGTACATTAATTTTGTCAGTTTTTGGTTCTAGTTTTGGGAAACATTCCGTTGATAAGTTGTTTTTTGTTTTTTCCGCAATTATAATGTTGTGTGGCTTTAGTATTTTTGAATTTTTTTTATTGATTTCTGGAATATATGTTAGTGATATATATATTTTTTCTTTGTTCTTCATTGTTGTTATATTTAGTTTAGTTGTAAATCTTGTTGATTCTTCGCTTTATTATTGGTTCAGAAATTTTTTTTGGGTAATTATTATTAAGTAATATTTTTCTGATTTTTTTAAAATTTTCTTGCCTGTAATTTGGGTCTGATAATTTTGATGATGATAGCTCTATCTGTAAGTGCAGTTATTACGCTTTTTTATATTTTTGGGGTTCATATGAATTATAGTTTAAGCATCTTCCTGACCAAACTTCTTTTGTATATCAATTTGTTTTTATTTCACCTGAATTATCATAATTTACTGTTATGTCTAAAAAATGTATTGATTTTCGGGTGTTTTGCTCTGCCAAAAGGAACAATTTTTTTCCTCAAAAACTGATGAATGTTTTAACACTTTGTAAATGATAATTTTTATACAACATGTTTTAATTGTGAAGTGGTGTTTGTAGTTTGTATAAATTTTAAATCTGATGATGGCGCTGTTGTCCCGCCGAAACGTAATGAAATAAACGATGTTTCAAAATTTTTACCTCGCACTTTGGCTGAGTCTCAGGAAGGATGAGAATATCATATACTGATAATAAAAGCTTTTCATATGCTTCTACGTTACGGAGGCATTCAAACTGAAATAAAATGTTTAAAAAAACGCGCAAGTAGCACAGAATAAAGCTGTCGCAAAGCTTTTTGAACAAACAAAATGTCTATTCGCTAATCTACGCGCACAAATCTACACCTTCACTTGAACTCCTTAAATAAACAATGTGGATTTACTACAAAAATGAATCCGGCACACGAATGCATTCTTTGTTAAAATATAGTGTACATTTATTATAAGGCACATGCTCATTTACATAACTTGCGGTTGTACAATTTGTGTTCTTCTACAAGGAATTTGCAGTCGTATGTTCACCGTTCTAGTCCACCAAGTGTACCAGGGCACATAGTGATCCCTGAGCAGTAGATAAATCGATACCAGATACCCTAGTAAAATAATGATCAAGAACGAAATCAGGCTGAATTTGATCCAAGATTTTTCAACGCCGACTTTCTCTGCTTGGATCGCGAAATATTCCATCCCATAGATGCAAATGAATAATAACCCCGATGTAACCAGAGTGAGCAGCACCCCAATTATGAAATCTGAGCGAATGTGACGTCGGTTTCGTGGATGGCAAATCCACAGTCTGATGCTTTGGCACAAGCTGTATCTCTGGGTCTCTATCGCATCATATCTGAAATTAGTGCAATTTTACGGAGATTTCCTGGGGATATTCGAGAGTGTCTTGCCTAAAGTTGCACAATTCGCAAAAATTCCTGCCAGACTGGTTGAGCCAGCGTTCCAAACAGCTCAGATGGATGTAGGCCAGGGTTCCCTTACAATTGCAAGGTGAAATGAGCGGTTCTCCAGATGCAACCGTTTGGCAGATTCTGCAGCATGAAAAATTAGCGGACGGGACTTGAACTGGAGGTTTAGGGGTAGATGGGAATTTCGCCGATCCGGAGGACAAAACATCGAAATTTTTACTGGAATTGCTGGCGAAAGGTTTATCTGACATTTTAGTTTCATTGCCACAATGTCATATTTGTCTCCTATCTGGACACTGTGTGAAGGTACATTTGGAAGGGTAACTGATATTGCTTGTGTGTGCTTCTCCGATATGTTTTGCTGACTTATTATGGTCCTCTTTTKAATSCTATTTTTTATTTTTTTGCTTGTTTCCGAACCGATTTCTCGAAAAAACTCGCACAAAACTGGTTCCTCTCGATRTACTTTKATCTACTTGCTACCCSCTTTTTCACCAAATACTCCAGAACCCAAAATCGATAGTTTGATTTGTGAAACTTTCGTATGTGAAAGAAAATATGTTCGCACAACAAGAAACTCTTTATGTATACAGAAAAATGCAAAATAGATGTTCCAAATTCAAAAGGCTTACGAACATTGGATTTAAAGTGTGCACACTACAATTATCTGCATTATAGTCAGCCTCAGAAGCATTATTATGCCATTACGCCGCTCAATACTTTGTTACATTTTTCCTGATGAAAAGCTCAATCTGCATTAAATAATATTATTTATTAGTTATTTCTCATGATCTGATTGTCAGCATTTTGTGGGGCAAAGTGCGTTCTATAAGGAGAAAACGTTGCGATTTAAAGTCATCTTCAGTTAATTGTTAGGAGGCTTTTCAAGTGGCGTTTGGTTTTAACCGTTATTTGTACAGGCCGGAGTCTGAAACAGTTTTCCTCGGAAATCAGTAAATCCAGATAATTTTTTGTATCTATTTTTTAGGGCATAGTTCGATAACTGGAAATGGTTGCGAATTTCAGTCATTATCAGGTGATTTTCAAGAATTTTTCAAGCCTGTGTTCGGTTTTTGCCGGCCAGAGTTTAACAGTTATTTCGTCTGTAACGTGCGATTCTTGAGAAACTGAGAAAGTCAATTTTGAGTGCATTTTGTACCACAGAGTCTCTTCTATAATTGAACAAAGTTTCTATTTTCAATAATCATTAGGCAAATTTTGACAATATTGCAAATTTGTCTCTGGTTTATGAGGTTGATTTTGCAGGCAGGTTTTTCAAAGTTGCATGTAATTTTCGACGAAATTTCAGCAGGTCGTAGTTCTCTCTAAACTCCCAAATTCAGAAAAGTCACCTTTTGTTAAATTTTGTACAAGTAGAAAACGTTTTACTTTTTACTCATCCTCAGGAAATTTTCAATTTTTTTTTCAAAATTGTATTTATATTGCGTTTGTTTATGCAGGTCGGAGTTTCACAGTTGTTTCTTCAAGAACTAGTCAAGTTGGGGATTGACTTCTGTATGAATTTAGTAGGGCAGAGGTCGTTCTATATGTGGAAAAAGTTTCGATTTTGAATCATCATCAGTAGGCCTGGGTAACACTGTGTTGAGTTCCGTATTTCAGTTGTTGCAGCTCTCTGAGTTAATGAGCTTTAACTCATTGGTTAATGAGTTATAACTCATGGCCGATGACGGAATTTTAACATCTTACAAAAAAATACATCAACATGTTGGTTTTGCGCATACGATTGCTTGAAACTATTTGGTTTAAAACGGGAAAGTTCGGAAATTTTGATCAAACGTAAAAAAAATTCAGAGTGATTAGGGTGACGAGTTTTCCAAAAATTGATTGTATGCTTTTGATTTCTCTGGTCGTTTTTTGAGAAAACCTAAATTTTGTTGAAAAAAAAACAAGATAACATTGTTTCGATTTTGTCCCAAATTGAAAGGTAAAATGGGTATTCGAAAAAGACGATAAAGAAGACCAAACTGTAAAAACGACGACTTTTCTTGTAAATCCACCTTTTAACTTTTTTGCATAAAAGACTTTCAGTTTGCCAGTATTTTACAGTAAAACGTTAGTAGCTTTTTCAAAATAATCTTAAATTGGAGCCGATAAGAGTTTTCTAAAATTCCATACAGAGCGATTAATGAGGCGAATTTTCTAACAAAATTAATTTTGTAATTTTTGCTGAAAAGACCCCATAATTGTCAAAAAAGAAAAGCATCAGAAAATAACCGTTTTTTTTAGCCTTTAATTAAAAACTTTCAGTTTTTTGATCGGTTTTTGACAAAACCTTAATGATTTTCGGGAAAAAAGRAAGACWYTTATTTTCGTTTTCKYCYCGAATTCGAYGCTTAAAAAGTTTTTGTAAAATTTCTACAAAGCTGTAAATTTGTCTTGTAATTTTTCGCGTAAAATAYATCCAGATCGTCAGTGTTTTTAAGTAAAACTCTACAAAATAGAGWCTTTTTAAGTAGAAAGCAAAAAAAATATATATTTCAGTCACGAGTTTTCCAAATAATTTATTATAAACTTTCGCTTATTCAGTTCATTTTTTGATAGAAAATTATTTGATTTTTGTCCCAAATTGGAAGCTGGAAATGCATTTCAAAACTTTTTGCAAAGCGACAAAGGAGGCGAGTGTTCTAATAAATTCTAATAAAATGTATTTATGTATGTTTCTTGCGATTTAAGATTGTCAGAATTTCGAAGTGAATCTTTTGAAAATTGAGCATTTAGAAAAAAGAGTAACTTTTCTAAAACTGGAAAATTCTGAAAAAATGTTAAAAATATTATTGATAAATGGCCCTTAAAATATCAATGCAGGCCGAAAGTTTACAGTTATTTACGCAGAAAATAGTCAAGCACGGGATTCGTTTTTGTATGACTTTTGTAGAGCATAGTATGTGTTATAAGTGGCAGAACGTTTCGATTTTAAGTCATTCTCAGGATATTTTAAATTTTTTAAAATTTGTTATATACTTTTATGCATGTTTATGCATGCCTAAGTTTATGATTCAATGTATCAGAAACCAGTGAATCTGCAGATTGATGAGAGCCGTTGGTAGGGCAAAGCTCGTTCTCTTGAGGCATTTTCATGCAATTTTTGAGAAGCGTTTGAATGTGCTTTTGAAGTTGCTCTTAGAATCCTAAGTTGGGCATTTATTTCCTTGTTATACTGAAAAGTTGGAGAGTAACCTATATGTACTATGAGTGGAAGACGTTTCAATTTTCAATCATCCTCAGTAAATTTTCGGGAGTTTTAAAAAACTTTCTTTGTAGTTTGTTCGGCTTTTTGCATTGCTTTTCATTTTTGAAGTTGCTTTTGCTTGTTTAAGTTTGACACTTCTTTTCTTAATATCTAAAAAAGTGGGCGACATTTGGCGTTTGTTTTCTCATAAAGAAGAAAAGTTYGAGATCACCTTTACGTACATTTCATAGGGCAAAGGGGCGAGTTTCTACGAGTGGAACGCGTTTCAATTTTCAATCATCCTCAGGAACTTTTTAGAATTTTCTTAGTATTTTGTGCGTCTTGAAGCAGGTCAAAGTTTCACACTTATTTCCTCAGAATTATGTCAATTTTGGTATTTACGTCTGTATGAATTTTGTTTTATAAGTGCCAGAAAGTTTCTACTTTAAGTCATCAGCAGGCTGTTTCCAAGATTTTTTATTTGTGATGGAATTTCGGGATGGTTTATGAAGGATTCAGTTTGGGATTTTGTTTCTCAGAAACTACTGAAGCTCCAGAATCCCTTTTCGAGTGCCTTTGGTAGTGTAAAGCGCATTCTGCATGTGCAAAATGTTTCGATTTTGGGTTTGATTTCTGCCTCTGTTATCTGATCCAATCAAAATAGTGCTACCATTAGAATGGAAAAGGTGATACCTTACTTAATGCTACCCCTTGAAGCACTATTTCCATTCTTCCTCCAACAACTGGCCGTTCTCCAGATGTTCACTGTCCACCCAAAAATTACCCTTTTTCCAGTTAATGAAGCCTTGGAAATATGACAACGCCTACATCATGAATCCTCGGCCGTTCTCTTTCCAATCATCCTACGGAAACAAAAGTAGATTGAGAGGACATTTGAACGGTTTTATCGTGAAGATTTGGCTGTGGACGGAGCATTACAGGAAGCTGAGGCCGACACAGCGTATCAACAAGCGCAGTGTGTTCGGGTACGAACTGAAGAACTTTACCTACTATTCCACTGATATTATCGAGAATGTGATGCTGATTACATTTAATGATTCAGGTATGTGATTAGATAAGATGCGTTTTTAAAAATGGCCTTCTTGAAGCGAAGGCAAATAATTCGTGTGTTCTTGTTTTGATTGTGCTGATCGATCGACATTCGGAAATTTCCCAATAATTTCGGTTTTAAATACTGGACTTAATCCGGGACCGCTGGTTTTATAACTATGAGACCGATGCAAAGAAACCCATCTGCGGTTGTGCCGATTGGTGATGTTTTTGCAGATGTACAAATCATCAATGCATCATCAACGGAAATTCATCAGATCTGCAAATCCGTAAACGGGTCCGAGCCGGACTGCCAGCCGAGCGTCGAGAATCAAAAGGACAGTCTTCTGGTGGAAGACTTGGAGCATGATTCGAGCCGTGAATTGGTTAGTTACTCCAGCTCGTATGTTCAGAAGGGCGAAGATTGGAACTTGATGAGCTCCCTCACGGTGTTCCGACTGGAGGAAGAGCTGCCCAAGATGTATGGAAGTAAAAATGCATAATTTTTCGGAAACTTCCGTTTGGTTTGTTTGCTGAGGAATGGTTTTGAGTGGGCAGGATGGTGGGGTGAGACGACAACCCAACCCGGCCCTGGACTTGCCTACTTCAAAACTACCTGATTGTGATCCAGATTAGACGTTGTGAAGACTACTACTCATTTCCAGCCACAACATTTTCTGCGTTTTCAAAGACAATCTTCCTATCGCTCTGTTATTCGATTTTCCCATATCTTCTTCAGATATGGGCTTCAAGCGAGGCATTTGATTAACCCTGTATATTAGATGCACATTTTCGTAAGAGCTTTAGCTAGTCAAGTGGCAGAGTAGGTGTATCATTTCCCATTGGTTGAGTGTTGAGTACTCAAAGGTGGGGCCACGTTTGCAACATCCAACATGTTTTAATCTGTAAATAATAAAAAAATTACTCAAAGCACCTAAGCTGGTTTCAATTGCTCATCGTCTGACCATCACACCGCAGGTGCATCGATTTCAAATATTCCAAGACAATAAATTAAGCAAACATGGCCGTGCTATTGTCGACAGTCCGTGTTTGCTGAATGTTATTTATTTACATTTTAAGATCGACGTGACCTTTTCGATGTGTCCTCTGGAGGACGATCCGTATATATGCGTAATGTAAACATAAAACTGTTTAATAACTGCTTATTTGCGCTGATGCGCGCCTACTTTCGAGATTTACGGCTGCGTTTTATGATTTAATTGGTAGGTGTTGAATGGGAAAACTGGCGAACGGAATAATAAAACTACTCCTAGGAAATTGTCTGGTCGACAATTTGTTGCTGAATCGGTTGACTGACCTAAAACATATTGTTGCCAATCGGATCCAGTAACTCCTCCATACCGTTTAAGGTCGACAGAGATGATAGGAATATTTCTGGAGAAGTTCAGCAGTTGTTTTTTTTTGGTGTAGGTGCCTACCTAATTTTGTAGAATGTTTCTGTACAAACGAGATTTTCGATCTGAAAAATGTAAATGTACGATTTAAGTTCAGTTTACTAAATTATGTGTCTCAATTCAAGCGCAGTGCTCTGATTGTTGCGCGAAAAAAATACTAAAAAAATGTTTTATGTTAATCCTATTTACTCCTGTAAAGCGAATCAACATCTCACTTAAAGAGAAAGTGGCGATTCGGTGCAAATGCAGATTTCCAAAGTTTCTATTCGATCGGCTTGACCTCGTCTATTGTGCTTTGATAGAATCTTCCTCCCAGAAGGACTTTACCAATAGGCGCTTTTATAAGGCTCCTTTTATATTTTCACCACAAAACCTTGGCAGTTAGAAAAAATCGAGCAACAGCTTGAAAATTCTGGAAATGCCCCCAGAATGATTGTCAGCGACTTTCGTGTCTTGCACTATTTCCATACCCATCCACCGTGCTTTCATTAAACTCAGTAAACAATTTCGAAATTAATCAAACACACTTTACGTCTCTTTGGTACTCTTAAGTCGAAATTAAGTTATGCCTTCCACCTGTACACACATACGTATTTTCAAACATATTACACAATTTTATTTGCCTATTGATATTTTTTTTCCGATTCATCCCACTAATAAGTGCCAAGCGTGCCGATTGGTTCAGGCGGTAGTCGTCGCTCCGGCGACTCCCAATAAGAAGCATGGAGGTGGTACTGTGGGCGGGGCGATTGCAAATTCGACTGTAACGGTACGCCACCTGCAGGTACCCAAGGTAACCACTTGGTGCTGTGGTACAGCGGGAAATGAAGCTGCGTTAGTGCAATCTGTGCGGTTCCCGGAGAATATACTGAGTGATGCGCCTAAAGTAGTACCCGGGCCGAGTGAGATGACGCGCGTATTGAGTAAAATCGAGTTTACGAGAGTTTATTGATGTGGATCAATGGATTATGATGCAGCTGCTAACTATGCTATTGTAAGTACCCACTTTTCGGCTTTTGCATGTAAAAAAATTACGCCTTAACAGGTGCAACCACCTAGGAAATCAGTATCATAGTTTTCAAGCTGGTACCTAGACCAGGGCTTTTTGAGATAGTTTGCATTGTTGGGACGGTTTATTGTACAGTTTTTCCACACTAGAAGACACCTCGGTAATTTTTTCACATTTTTTACTTTTCCAAATTTTTTTGTCTATTTTTATTTGACCTTTTTACCTACAGCGATTTCAATTTCTACAACATTTTATTGATTATCAAATCCCGATCTGCTCTTCACATTTGGTTTTCATTGATTCTCAGAGTTTCATCGAGCCGTTGTCATTCGATTTTCCTATTTTTGTAAATTTTAACAGTTTTTTATATTTTTTAAGCTGCAGTTTAATTCTGGCTGAACTGTTTCCTCTTTTGCTTTTCCAAACCCCCAAAAAATAGAGTTTTCTTTGCTTGTCTACTTGTGTCCGCTCAATTCTAAACCTTCTGAGTTCTTAAATGCACGTAGATCCTATTGTCACATTTTTGGCAACGAACAGTGTGAAAAGGTCAAAATATGCTCTAAACTTACCAAAAGATTCTTAAAATGTCCATATTAGCCCAGAACGGGGCAAATATAGCTTTATTATACCCACTTCCAGATATTAAAATCAAATGGGTTTAGGTCTGGATTTTACAAGTTTTTGAATATTTGACTCATAGAATACCAAAATCTGTCCAGATTAACCAAAGCAAGCCGATTTTTTAAATATTAAAAAAATCCCGTGTAAACTATATCTACACATTTCATAGCGACTTTTTATCCAGCAAAAAAGCGACGCATTCTTATCGACAAGATTTTGCTCAATTTACAAAGATGCATTAAAAAAATGGAGCAACAATTAATTGAGGTGAAGATCTTTTGAAAGGATTTCAGATTTTATGATCAAAACAGAGGAATAATGGCAGTATTTTGCTGCAAGTTGTAAGAATTAATAAGTAAAACCTTTGGAAAACAGCCAATAGCTGAAGACGTAAAAAGAAAGTGCTGGTTTTTGCAAAACAATTACCTACTGAAATAATCCTAAACACAGTATTACAACCAGCAAATGAAAATTTGAGTGAAAAAGAGCAGAAAAATGTTTGTTTTGTAAAGCGTCGTAAAGCAGCTTGTTTTCGCATCGCAAACTAGCTTGTATCAAATCTGCACTGAGAATAAAATTAGATGCCACAAATAGAAATACAAGCAAACAGAATAAAAAAAAATTTAATAAAATAAACACAATTTAAAAATAATAATGATCAAAAGCCTGTATTATCAATAAAAAGAAGAAACGCCTGCAGACTGGTGTAAGGGCAAATATAAATGCTCCAATTATACACAGGAATGTAATAATATGTATTGTTACGTTTCCCGGGGTTCGAATGATTCCAGCAAACCAATAAAATAACACAACAACTTAATGTATAATTTAAATATGTATGGTGGATCATCTGCATGTAGGAAAGTTTATCGGAATTTATCAAAATACTTCATTCATTGATACTAAAAATCAATAGTGAATAAATAATTATTTTAGAAATTTGTCAAATTTGTTTGTGTAACGTTTTTTAGATTCCTGGTTTTACTTAAAGCTATAAATAGGCGCTAAACATACACAATTTTCAGTTATTTTCTAACCAGCTAGCTTTAAAACTTCCTGTCGAATTTTGATTTACAAAATTGGCAAATCCCTCTTCTGTATGTGGGTTGATTCATGAAACTGGTTAATTTTACAGATTCTTAATTGTTTGCGGTTTTGTTAAAGACACATTTATTAGCACTGTAAATTTGTGTTTGTTTGTTTTTAGCTTAAAAATACTCGAACTCAACATCTATTAGTCGGTAGCAAATATGAGAGTCTTCAAGTGTTTTCCCATTTGTTTTACTGAATAAATTTCTAATAATGCGAATGCGAACAACGCTAGAAATATCACTTTTTGTTTGTTTTGTTGTGTTTGTTTTAGAATCGAAAATTTTAATAGAAACGATTTTTTCAGAAATCAAACGAATTTTCTTTGAAATCGAAGCTCTCATTTGCAAGTTGAAAGGAAAAAGTTTCTTATATCAATTATCTTGTTGCAAAGAAGATACTTACATGAAAATCCTTTGAATGCAAGAACAACACAGATCAATCCGAAAGTCAGTCATGGCTACTTACTTTTTGAAATTCTCGAAATGAATCCAAGTCTGCTTTTAATCTTAATCACATACATCCAAGAAGAAATAAAAACAGTTAAAATGCGAATGCAACCTGTTTTAGTATCAAAAATCCAAACGGGATTTAGCTCGACAATCGCGTTCTATTTTTTCCCCACAAAAAAGTTTTGGTGAAAAATGATGCTCTTGATAATGCCCGGATGGTCCCGAACGACCGAAAGCGAATTTTAACATAAACCAGGGATAAAATGTTTTCCAATAGAAATTTGTTTGAAAAACGTCCAGGTTCAAATTTCAACAACTCGCAAAATAGTTTTTATTTACCTTTGCCCTTAAGTTTTTCTTTTGATAAATAGCAAAAAAATGTTCAAATTGAAATCGCTTTCAAAGTTCTGAAAATCGGTAATTTTTAGGCCAAAGAATCCGCACGTTTTCATTAAAAAAGAATCGAACTTTTACTGCAAAGGCATTTTTGCTCATTTGTGGTCAGTTTGCCACTCTCACTTTGGGCCTTGAGGGCTTATTAGCTTTTCGTAAAAGTGTTCAAGTTGGTGGCAAAATTTTACAAAAAAAATAAACTTTAAACGAAAACCACTTAGAATTAAATTAATTCATTGTTCTAAAGATGGATCTAATCAACAAAAGCATGCAATTGGGCACTACCGCATTATTAGTCCAGTGTGTTGGAAACAACACTTCTGAAGATGCTAGCCATGGATGTTAGCGGAACGTCTGGGCCAAATTCCTAACGACTACGGCTTTAAAACCCAGAAACTACCAGTTGTTGAAACTTTGAAAAGTGGGTAAAATCGGTTGAGATCCTCAAAATTTGGGGCTAAAATATAGAATAAATAACAGTCAGCAAAAGCCAATTAAAGGAAAGTGATTAAACTTTTCTAAATGTTGAGTTAGTGTCTTATAATTAAAACGTATTTTAATGGGTTATTTGGTCCATTTTTGCATTTATTTATTTTTAATTGACTATATTATGGAGAAGAGCATTTTTCAAAAGCTGGGTGATTGCCTAAGAATTTTTAAAGAAAAATTGTTTCCACTTTTGAAAATTTTGCAAAACTACAGATGAGTGGCGCTCATGTACACCACTTAATAATGTATGTGGCACTAGTAGTCGAAACGTTGCAACCAAGCTGAAAATTGGTACGCGCCTGAAAAGACATGAGTCGAATCGATCGCAAATGTTGCCAAGGCGGTCTTAGACCAAACGGCACTGTACCAACGCGATAACAACAAAATCAATTTTCCATTGCAAAAGCAATTAACCGGAATTAGTAAATTAATTAAAAATTAATCAATTGACAATGGCTTTCGTTATAAAAGTCACCGGGTGATCGACTGCCAGTACTATGGGATCTCTACTCTTAATCTCCCGTAATGGTTTTTTTATGGAGATTTCGCGGCCACTTATATGGTAGTCCAGAAGTTATGGTATATGTAATATGTATGTTCGAGCACATTAAAAACGAATAACAAAAAGCATCACTATGGGAGAAAAGACGTTTCCGAGTCGTAAAAACGGTTTGTTTTTAAAGCGGTTGGACACGTACATATTAAGCCCAATAGGTTCTTTATTAATATTACACTGTTTCTAGCTTTCTAGGCTTAATGGGTACCATAACCATTGCCACAACCGAGCCAAAGCAGAAGGGCATGATAACAATAAAATGTTTTTTTTTAATACAGAAAAATTACACTTGGGACATTATTAATTGTTCAGAAGAACCTGCAATGCGCCGCAAGCTGAAATGTTGTGAGCCTGAAACAAGTTTCCTATTGAAAACATTTAGCTGTTGTATGGAGCGAATTAAAGCATTGCTGTTCCTGCAATTCAGTGTTATTAGTCGTGTAGTTGGAATACGAAAATGGCATATAATAGTAATCATCCATCTGTCCATAAAGTAACAGTCAATAATCAATCAATTAAGACCTGCTGAATCCTGCAACTTTTCAATAGCAATCCATTGAATGGGCTCATAAATTATCAATGTATGATGCTAATTAGAATAAACTCATGTCAGCCCATTAGCCAATTTTTCAAAAGATGTCTTTGACTGATTCCCCGTATAAGAAACGCATTGAAAGAAAATCTCCGCTTGAACTTTACGGGACGGCATAATAAATTTGTTACATCAACGGCGATTCTGATTCCTGACAGCTTGCAAAATTCCTCACAAGAAAAGCGATAACGCATTCTTCTGCATAAATAGACATACCCCAGGAGACTGGAAAATCAAAACAGTGTCGTCACCGGCCGATCTAGAATGACCAAGTCTTGTCCGCTCTTTGCGGCACCCGTTTCGACGCTTTATATCTCGTCCCAACGCATAAAAACTCCATATAAATGTGAAACTCGATCGCTTTTATTTACCATAAACGATGGCTTTTTTCAATCGTATTAGTACCATAATCAATGGGCAGTTTTAGACACGTTTCGACTTAAACTAGAATTAAACTACACTTAAGCGCAAGACGTGGTATGTGGATGGGATACCGAAACCGTAAGAACTAGATGGGAAAAGCGCGTGGCTTTTCTCATCGCTGGACTGAACGACTTCAAATTGCTTTTAAATACAGGTTTTGTATTTTAACATTCTTTGTCCTACAGGATTGGAGTCGCAATTATTCGATTATGGGCTTTATTTGGAAAACCTTCCAAAAAGAGAGAGGAGCGGAGCCAGCGTTTACCTATTTATTTCAAAACACTAAAAAGAGTTGCACAGATTATAGCTTAAGCAGAAACATCAAAACCTTGATTTAGCAATATCAACCCAAGATCATGCGAGTCGTAATTAAAGAAGAGTGAGAAGGATTTGAAAGCTAATTAGGAATTTATTGGTACCAAATGGAGGGCAATAGGAGACAATTTTATTTAAAACCCAATAACGACTGGGAGATAATTAATGAATTAATGTAGAGAAATGATTAATATCGATTTTTGATTAAACTTCCTGGCTTAATTCGAGTAACCTCTTTGAAACTTCGGTCATTAAATAGTAGAAGAGATTTTAGTGATCACTCGACTATAAAAGATTTCCGATTTCCTCCATTACTATACCAGATGCTTGAACGTTTTTGGCGTCTGATCTTGACCAACATTTTCTAGAGTACCTACTGTTAAAAATGTGCAGAAAATAGCAAAAAACGTATTCTTGTCTTAACTAAGACGTTCTACTTCTAATAAAAATATTGTTATAATTTGCTGGTTGTCGACGGCTTAATTTCGTCATTTTCATAGCCCGATAATGACAGAAAAATTGTAAACATTTTGGACCCGGACTCGAAAAAGTAAAGGAACGTCATTTTTTATAATCACAAATTGCTGGGTTTTGTGTTACGATTTCAATTTTCAACTGAACTTTTCACGTTTCTAACGGACAACATATTAATGCCTTTTTTAGTGTTGTTTTTATGTTAGTGTTTTAGTGTCAGTGTTTAGTGTATTCACATGCAGACATTAAAATGTCCAATCTGTCCACAAACAAAAATATTTCAGGTATTTATTTTCGCCTAAACTACAGTAAACGGCAGTAAAAAATAACACATACAAAATATGTTTTTCAGTATTTTCATATAATTTTGGAAAAATCAGCCAAGCGAGTGCGAAAATATATGAACTTTCTTAATGCAAGGCAACCGGTGTAAATAGCCTATTTATATAAAAACCAAATTTCAAATTTATTTAATATTTTGTATTAAACAGAATTTTTATTTCGGATGAGAAAACTGTATGTACCTACTTTTCTAATTTAACTAAATAGATTTTTATTTTAATTTTTTGTAATTTTCTATTTATTATAAATAGATACCTACTGGCACTTTAAATGGTAAAAGCAAATATATAATTATGTTTTTATCTTTCCAAATACAAAATTCAGTTATCAATTAAGGACTATTTTCTAGGTCGGGGTAACACTGCGTTGAGTTGCGCTTTTGAGTTGTTGCCGTTCTCTGAGTTAATGAGTTATAACTCATCGGTTAATAAGTTATAACTGCGCCAACTCCTGAATATTCACTGAGTTACCAAGGCATAAATCAGGGTATTTTTGGGTCTAAAACAAGTGTCGTGCCCGAAGGGCTCGGCACAACATATGCATTATACACATCGGGATGTCACTAAATGACTTGGCATCGTTCCATCGCCAGTAGATTTGCAGAAATTGATTGATGAACTTTTGCGCGCAATTAATTCCTGATGATCGTGCGAATACGAAACTTTTACACTTAAACCCACACTTGAATTAATCTTGCTTAGGTTTAGCAGAAATACATTTTTAAAGTGTAGTTTACAAAGAAACACCCGCAGCTAAAGTTGGAAGGTTTCTCAAATTGTCCCTGATAATATCAAAAAAAGAAAAAAAACTTTCAAAATTCACAGATTAATGATTGCTCTTTCCAACACACGTATTGGCCACGTTCTATTCCACTTGGTTTGGCCGAACGGAATTTTTTGAAAATCCGTCTCTTTTCCCATCCATCCGCATCAAGCCATCTCACTCACTTTTTTAATTAGCCGCAACCTTGATTTAACTTTCCTTGAACTAGTGACGAGGCAAAAACCACTGTAAATTATCAATTGATTAGTGCCAAAAAACATATCTGTCGTCTTCGAAGATCTCTATTCAATTTTTACTCGCACAAAAACTCGCTTGTGCTCGAAAATTCAAAAACAAAAAAAAATCTTGAACGCCACTAGATCAAATTTTATTACTGGCAGTAGGCCTGTGTAACACCTGTTATAACTTTTTTATTAAAGCGGATTAAACTTTTACGAGACCCGAGACCGGAACAACACTCCAAACAACTGAAACAAAGTAACGTTTTTCCAGCCACGGAACTGAGTTACTGCGCCGGTACCGGAGTTACCCAGTCCTACTATTTTCATAACCAATTTACTTTAATGTTTTTACTGCGTCGTGTGCTCAAAACTTGTTCGTATGATTTCCATTTATGCTTTTCAAGGCGTTTTCCTGGAAACTCTTAAGTTGATGAGAAAATTGTACATTAATGGTAATAGTCAATTACGACATATTTATTCTTCTAATTCTTCCAATTTTGAATTGTGCAAAAGTTTGCGTATTTATTAGCTTCTTTCTTCCTCTGTTATAAGAAAAACTTTGCCTTTGATTTATTCAGAGCATGTAAGCGTCGAATATTCAACTTTAGTTCAGAAGGAGAAGTATGGTTACTTCTCCCGTCCACCGTAACAAAAGATGACAAAAAATTGAAAAAAGGAGTCGAAATCTTATTAAAACTCCAGCGATGCAAGACAGTAACTATTTAATGACAATATCAATCACTTAGCAAAATAATGAATGCTTAAATTTTCTTAGTGGAAAACTGGAGAAATCTAATAATCTCCTTCATTCCCTGAGGGCGAATACGGTCCTTACCATTTCCCTGCTGCGTTGACGTGAACAGCCCTGAGAATTTCACATTTTATTAGAGACAACTTCGACGTATGACAAGTTGCACGAGATTCGCCAGGGTTGGATTACGTTCAACTCTGGAAATGTTTTTTGATCAGGTATAATTCGTAAAAGGACCAATCGCGGTTGTTGGGGGGTCATCGAATTCCCACGGATTCTATCCGATTTGTACGTCACAATGGTATTGCCTCTATGCCCATTCAACCGCTGCTATACTCGTACCGGTGCCGTTGACAGCTGGGGCCGCGCTTTTCTTCCTTTTTCCCCATGGGCCTCGCTTACCTGAATGGTAATCAACCATAGGAATTGCGTGAAGTCTACAACGTGGACACCTAATTAAAGAACTAAGGCGGCTGGACCGAATGACACAAGAATGTCCTCTGTTCTATTGGCTGTGCAATTTTTTTCGATAGTCCATCGGTTGGGAAAGAACCATTGATTTATCTTTAAATGTGCTTCAAGGCTTGTAAAAATTAGTGAATTAAGCCTTAGCAGTCTTATCATTTATAACTTTTATTTTGAAAGCTCTGCTATTTTTCTAAACATGGAATACCATCATACTTAGGAAGAGCAGACGATTTCCCTATCTAACAAACACTTTAGAGCATTTTTTTCTGTTTTTACATTAAAGTTTCCATGTAGATTTCATAAAATGTTACCATCTAGAACTCTAGCTATCACTCTTAAAACATACTTTTTAAAATCCATAACTAGTGCAGAATATTTTAATACCAAAAATTCTGATCGTTTTCAATTTCTTTCACTTCTTTAGACGCAGAACTTAACATTGGTCCAATCTAGGAACTTTGTGGAAATCGTCTTCCTTGCATGCGCCACTTTTTAAGTCACTATTGTTCTCAAAGATTATTTTTTCTTTGTTCAAATTTTTGCTGATTTTTTCCTATTTTCAGATGAACCAATTATGTAAAGTCTGCGGTGAGCCCGCTGCAGGATTTCATTTTGGAGCATTTACATGCGAAGGATGTAAGGTGAGTGATTATTTAAAGCCACATTTTTTAAATTGTTTTAGTTGTTTTTTTTTTTGAAGATGGGCATACTTTTTTACTGTTATAAGTTTGCCTCGTAATGCTTCCTAGATGGTTAAAAAAAATTTCAGGTTCATTTTCAGGGATTTTTTGGTCCACGTTGATTTGAAGAAACTTTTTATAGTAACACAGTACGTTTCTTGGTTGAAATAGAAAAAAAAAAACGGAAAATAAATGACAAGAAAATTGCACAGCCACTCAAATCTGAAAATTTTGTTATCTAGTTGGTGCACTTTTCTTCTATTTGTTGACAAACATGTCAACGTTACAGCGGATTTGCGGTTAATATTTCAATTGGTCTCTTCAGATCTTTAAATGTATAACAATATCAAAATGTATTTTATTTACCTCTTTTGGGGATGCATTCTTTCGGTCAAGTCTTAGAGCGATTCGATTTCGTTCATTCTTCTGCGAACGTGAAACTGGTAGTAACTGACTTTCTGATCGCTGAGATTATGCCGAAGGCAGTGCTCAGGAAGACGAATAGAAACAAGCGCTAATAGGGTGTTTTCACTTTTTTTTAAATGTTGATATATAGAAAGTTGTCATGGCAAACATTACACTGATATAATTTTTTTGCAAGAAAAGTCTCCATAATAATTTTAAAGCCAATTTAATTGAAATAAGATATTTTCCGCCAAAAACGCCGAATCCGTATCGTCGGTTGCCTATCCCGATTGTGACGTAGCAGGTCATATCAACAAAGTGCCTCGTGTTTATTTTGTTGTTTTTGCAGCTTTGTTTTATTATTTAAATTATTGTGATTATTATTATTATCTTGCATAATGGAAAATAGTGACATGTATGGATCACAAAATAAGTGGTGTTTTGTTACAGGATGCAAGAATACTTAAATATTTAACTTAATAATAATAAATTAAATTTATTTAAATAGCAATAGATAGATAGCATAAACTTATTTAATCTTTCACATATATATATATTACCATAGATTAATGTTCAGTTTGTAGGAATTTTTGATACAATGAAAACACGCTATTGCGTCGAAAGAAAATCATTTAAAGCTTTTGCGCAAATTTTTCTTGACCTAGCAGTGCGGAAGAAATGTAAAATAGCGAAGTCGAGCAGTTCTGTGATAAAACTTGTATAATGAGTGTCAATTTTTGTTAATTGCCGAGCAGCAATGTGTTGAAATCTTTCGTAAAATGAAGCCTACATCGTATAATGCAAGCATTTTAAAATCAACCATATTCACTTTGAAAAAGCTCATGAAAATATGCATGCATTTAAAAAAACTGAACTCATTTTGCTCCAAAAAACTTACCCAAGTGTTTTTTTCAATAAAATGTTTAAAAAGCATTGCATCCAAAAAGAACCGTATATCCGCATATTGGCAAGATTATAAAGTTTTGCAAGAACCGGGCTCTGCCTATCTTTTCTCACGCAACAAGGACGTACATATTTAACATTATGGGTGTGTATATTTATGTTACATATTGCACATAATTTATTTGGTTTAGTTTAGTTAAAGTTAATAAATTCTATGGTTCGTTAATGATCTTACTTATTGAAGAGCCGTAATTTTCCCGTTTTTTACAGTTGAAAATTTGAGCGCGTTTGTGTTAGCTGTGTATGCGTATGGGTCAAAACGAGCCGATATTTAACAAGCCCTGAGCGCAACCATTACATAACGCAATTTCCCCAAAATTACTAGCCATTCTAAAGCACCTAATAAAACTGTTTCAAAGCCCATGTTAAAATGTTCCATTTTGTTGTTTAGGTAATCGCAGCTCATAATAATTATAGGAGTCGGCGCATATCCAATTTATTTAAACAATATAATAACAATCTTGACGTCCAATTATTCAATTAGTATGCCGTATAATCTCGGACTTGACATCTAAAACATCGTGTTTTTCGTTTTTCAAAGACGAACGAGGTTAAGGGTCTCCAGTCAACTACGCTCGTTGAGAATCACTTAATGCTGCTCGTAAAAAGTCGTCGGGAAATTCGCATTTTTTCTTAATATTTCGAGTCACAAGCCGAGCCCTAAAAGCGCAATCGGTTCGCATTCTGCATGTCGGATCATCCGGCCCACATCTGAACCTAACCTAAAAATAGCTCAAAAGAAATGAAGACTGGCGTTGACAAATGATCGGTTTATCTCAATACGAACAACTGTCTAGCCTGAGAACTATTAATTCTGGCTTTTCGCCTTTATGCATATTAATTCATGTATATCAGGCAGGATAGGGATCCATTGTCAGCACGTTAACGCTACTCTAATGCGACCAGTTAAATCAATCTGCGAATAATCAAAAAAATGCTTCAAAATAAAATTATTAATGAAAATATATACTTTCGAACAAAATGAATTAGAAAGTAAATGCAGTTGCAGTTTGTGTTTATTTCGTTTGCACTCGGACTACAGAACTTTGTCGCTTCAGGAAAGTAGTTTCGATAATGGTCCGCCGTATAGTGTGGAAGTCAAACCACATGACTCTTGGATATGTTTCAATATTTGCGTCCAATTTCTAATACGCGGTTGATATTAATCCGGGGTCAAATCCCAAAATATGATTTTTAGATTAATTTTATAAGTAAACTGAATTCATCTATGTAAATATACGCAAGTTGTCCTTTATTACCTTCAATTATTATGTGTAAAATTATTTTTTACATAACCGCTGTTCATTCTTTCAGTTTATAGCACTTTATAACTTAGTTCCTTTCAGGAAAAATTTTCTCAGTATACATAATTCGTTTTCTTTCTTTTTTAATGGCTCTTTAATGGTTTTTTGTGCCAATTGAGTTTCACAGCTGGTTCCACTTTCCACTAGGCTCTAGGTATTAGTACGGGTGTAAATAGTGATTCGTAGATTTTCTGGCTCATTCTTTGTTAAAGAATGTCATTTTTGGTTGATTAATTAAAATAATTGTGAAAAATAGTACATATAAAGAACAAAAAATATATTCGTTTCTAAGCAAAAACTTAAAAAACATGTCTCATCACGCACATAATGCATCTGGCTTGATTTTCTGTAGAACTTGCAACATGGAATTTTTAAGAGCTCCGTTTCTGGCTTTTATTGCCTTTGTCTCGAATGTAGCGGGAGGAACAACCAAACTTTCTCAGCTATGTAAATCCACTTTTTGCTTTCTTTAGTTAGCTATTTTTAAATAAAAGACCTAAAGAGCTTTGGTCTATTGTTGGCGCTATTTTAGAGCTGTTGCTCATTTATATTATTTTTTCAAAATCACGAGTAAAGTTACAGTTAAAAGTAAATGCCACAAATTTCTGTTTCGTGGAAAGCAACAATGCTTATTTAGTTGCAAGCATTTTCAGTTCAGAAGCTTCCATATTTTTATTTCCGTATCCGACTCGAAGGACCAAAGGTAGTTGCAATACAATTTTTGCCTGTCCAAATTAGTTTTTTCCATACCTAATTGTATGTTTTTTAATGATTTTTTTACTTCAAACTATAATTTTGATAAGATACTAGCTATTGAATTTATATTGAAATATTTAAACTATGCCAAAACCATACGTGATCAAAATATATTAAGTCTATAAACGTTCCGGGAATAAGAGGTATCATTTTATTAAACTTGTCGAAAATTTCTAATTTATTTTTGCTCAAGTTTGTTATCCAACGCGAAAGACTAAAAGAGGACCAGACAAAGTTCTTCAATCTATGTACATGTACAAACTGTTAATGTTTTCAAGGTTTCAACAAAAGTGTTTTTAAAAAAAATATAGATACAAATTTTGTATGCGAACTAGACAAAATGAAATTAACAAAACGTGAATAATTGCACTTTGGCCACAATCTATTTACAAGAGAAATTAGATATTTTAATACACAGCTTGTTAATTAATGTTTAATTTAACATTAAATATTGTCGAAACGTATCAGTATGCATTTTGCCACAAAAAATGCAATAAAAATTCTCACAAAAAAAATCGAGAATGCGAGCAAATGAGTTGGGTAAAAGCAAAATTTCTCCCAATTGCTCAAGTACAAAACTAAAACAATTCGGCAATTCAGCAGGTTTTTTTCCATTCTGCTCGTTTAAATAGATGCTCATTGGCCACAACAATCTTTCAACAAGAACTTACACACTCTAATACACGGTTTGTTAATTCATGTTTAAGGAACTAATGTTGCAATGTTTTCATATGCATTTTTCAACGAAAGTTCGACCAAAGTCGATGCTTTTCCATCCATTTGAGCCATCCAGCGAGAAAATGAGAAGGTCAGAAGTAAAGCTTTTCCTAATTTTTAAAGTGCAAAAGCAAAAGAGTTCGGCAGTTCAGCATTTTAACAAGTTACTAGAGTATTTCACCAAAATATGCATTTCCCATCTTACTCGAAGGACCAAATAACGCTATATTTTTGTGTTTTCGAATGTTCTAACCTCTGATGGATTTGAGAAAGGTTCAAATCACCTTTGGATTTGAGCTTCAGGGAGATGATTTTTTACTTTTGGGATAAATGCTTTATAATTTCACTGGCATAAAAGTAAAGGTCGTTAGTTTGCTTTGTAAATAACTTAATTCCTGGTCCATGATGCCGCTTTTATATGAGAATCTCTAAAAATTGCGCTCTTTGTTCCGACTCGAAGGACCAAATGAAACAGTTTTATTCTTTTTTCCTACTGAGTGCTTTTGCGGCGGAAAATGAACTGATTTCCATTGGATTCGTCAGCAAAAAAATGATTGAGCTGTGAAGACGGGAAGCTGGAGCAATTTTGTATGTGACAATCCACAATTTACTTATTTATTTACTTAAACTCTGCTTGAATTGCACATGTGAACTCTTGAAATTTTTTCCGCAAAGAAACCGTAAACAATACGAAAGCAGTCGCAAGAGTTCTCTATTAATTCGTTGTTTATTATCGTACATAACAATACCATATAACAATAGTTTATGCGCATTTCAAGAAGTGTCATTAGGCCCACGCCTGACCGGATGGAAAGG